TTTCAATAAATGTAAAATAAATTATCTGTATCTTTAAAATTTACACTTAATCTATTAATAAAGTTTATTGGAGCAAAACTCCGTTGGATATAAAAAAAAAAAAGTAATAAAAAAAACAATATCTAGTTTTGAAAATTTTCACGATCAGTTACGTTACACATATTGAACCAATAAAAATCACATTACACAAAAGCCTGTTGTCCCAAAATTTCAGTCGTCAAAAAATTATTAAAATCAAATTCCAGAAAAAATACACGAATATTTGCTTTATTGTTACAATAAAATATAATGCCAGATACATAATCCGTAATGCTTCCCCAAAAAATAGATTAGGAAAAAAGTTATCGTACGCATTGTATGTAGAATATATTGTTTTTACGATAAAGTGTGATAAATTTCTTTTAATATGATTTTTGGCAATTAAATATGCTCTAGAGAAAAGATCCAAGACTTCAGAAAGATATTTAATAAACATAGCATTATTTTTAATTTCTAGAAGCTCAGGTTAAGCCAAATGTTATTTAACTATTTGGATTGGATTACATAACTTTGGTGCATAAGTTTTTGATTATTTGTAAAATTATTTATTATAAACATTGAAGAAGCTTTGAAGTTTATGATGATACCTTGAAGAATATTTATAAAGCTGATAAGACTTGTTTTTTTTTTGTTATCCAAAATTAAACACTTCCAAGGCTTATAACTTGAGTCATGATGTCTTGAAGAAAGATTTAAAAAAATTTTATAATAGATCAAAAAACTTAACTAATTAAATATATATAAAGAAATATATATAATTTTAACAATTATGTTAATTCTTTTATTGTGTAATGATCACATGAATTACATTTTTATATTACGAAAATAACCTGTCACATCTATTGTTAAGATAATCATTTTTTGAGTGTGAAAAAGGATATTTTAGATTTTAGATATATCTTTGTGTTAGTAAAGAATTTAAAAATGGGAATAAATATATTAATAAGTTAATCATGTGATGAAAGTTATTAAATTTGACCTGCAGAAAATTTTAAAATCTCATCTCAATTCATTTTCTTTGATCTATTGGTTAAAAATAAACATAGCGCGAAATCTTGACAAAATTATTTGGTTATCTTTTTCTTTTCTTAAAATACAATGAAGACCCAAAAAAGAAAATTAAATCCTAACGAGTTCACTGAAGAGGATGTACGAAAATTTTATCGAAAGTTTTTTTTTTTGTTTTTGTTTTGAAATAAAAATAGTAAAATAATAAAATTGCTTGTTTATCAAATATTTAGAATACCCCAAATAAACGTGTCTCCTTTTCGCCTGCTTTAGTAACCACTGCAACCTATCATCCAGAAAGTGCTGAAGAAAATGATATTTCGTCAGAAAATGTCTCAAGTGACGAAGAAACTCCCGACTTAAAATCTTATAGCAATTTTTTTGATCTCGTTTTTGGCGAGGATGACGACGACGAGGACGATGAATATGTTTTTAAACTTGAAATGGACGAAGAAGAGGAAGGAAAGAAAAATAAAAAAGGAAAAGGTGAAGATGAAGATGAGGATGAGGATGAGGATGAAGATATGGGAGAAGAAAATGAGATTGATCCAATAAAAGATGCCGAGACACTTACGAATACATCATTAAATAGTATTAGTTCTAAAGGATTACCGGATGAATTGATAGCGATAAGAGAAGGAAGAACACCTAGAATGATGGAATTAACAAGTTTTGCCGAAGAGAGACAGCTTGCACATCTTCAGTTATTTAGAACAGCTGAGGAAATACAAAAATTAAGGCAGACAGGTTTATATAAATCAAATCTGTATAAACTTCAAGTTAAAGATCTTTTTTAATTTAAAATAATAATAATCTTAAAGTTAATTTAAAGTAATTTAAAGTAATTAAATAATTTAAAATAATTATAATTTTATTAGATTGAAGAACTTATAGGTGAAGTAAGCATCGATTTCACTAGAGTTTCACGATTAGATAATGCTTTATATAAACTGAGGGAGATTTTTATGGATATGAATGATAAAATAGATTTAACTGTAAGTAAATAAATATATTTATATATATGTATATATTTTCTATAATATATTGTATATATATATATTTTGGTATAATATATTTTATCATCACAAATATAATAATATTTTATTTTCTTCATTCAAAATAAAAGCTTTCGAATGCAAAATCTATTCTTTTAAATAAATATAATATAGTAATTCCATTCCCAGATCCACAACCTTCAGATGTTATTCAATATAAATTTGGATTTAGAAAACCAACAGCATTTTATTTGATTGGAAGTTACGCTTTAAGAAATGTGATCAAAGGACGAAAAGGCTTTAATGTTGATGTTGCAGTTGTGATGCCTTCGGTAAATTTATCATTACGTTTATTATATTTTATTATATTTTTTATTATATTTAATTATGTTTTATTATGTTTTATTTTCTTATTATTTTTATATTTCTTTTCTTTCTCTTCATTTTATAATAAATAAATAAATATAATTTATAAATTTAATATAATATAATATATATAGTCAATATTTCAAGAAAAGGATTATATGAATTATAGATATTTTTATAAGAGAGCCTATTATCTTTCAGTATTAGCAGCAACACTTCAAGAAAATCAATCAGATTTTAATGTTAAAGTGGAATTTGATACATTGAATGGAGATACTCGTTGTCCTATTATTATACTTAAACCATCTGGTGGTAAGTAATATCAATTTGAACATTTAACATTAAATAAATAAATATATATATGTATATATATATATTTTTAAATTATTAATTTTCTATAAAATTTTTATATAGAATATTATTATTAATTCTAAGTAATTTTATATTAGATGATTCAGAAACTGATTATTCAAAATTAAATTGTGTAATTCAAATTATTCCATGTATTCCGAAGAATTTATTTCCATCTCATCGTTTATCTCCTACTCATAATAATGTTCGTCCACGTTATAATCAACAAAATCAAATTGAGGAACAACAAGATCAAAAAGATAAAGAGGAACATGAACAACCAGATAAACAAGATAATAAATTACCACCGACACCGCAATATAATTCAGCAATATTAAAAGATATGAATTATCTTTCTCATTTAAATCTCATATATAGACATTCTAAAGACAAATCAGCATTTATTGATGCATCTAAATTAGCAAAAGTTTGGATTACTCAAAGAGGTTTTGGTGATACATTTGGTTTTAATGCATTTCTATGGTCAATGTTGATGACTTATCTATTTCATGAAGGAGGACCAAATGGTGGTAAAAAATTACTTAGTGGATTTAGTTCTTATCAATTATTTAAAGGAACAATGGATTTTTTGGGTAAATATTTATTAATTATATTTTATTCCATTATTATTTATTATTTATTTTTATATGATTATTATTTATTATAATAATAATAATTTTGTATTTTGTATTTAGCAACTCATGATTTTATAAAGAATCCCATATTTATGAACAAATCTGATAAATCTGAAGAGGTAAATCATTTTATTCCATTCTATAACATTTCATTTATGATATTTTTTATCTTAAAAATCTTTGTTTTCTTTAGTTTTCCGAGAAATCATTTACAGAAAATTATGAAGTTGTATTTGTAGATGATTCAGGTGAATTAAATTTATTTAGTGGAATGACAAAGGCGAATTTTAAACATGTAAGTTTTCATTTGATAAATCATAATTGTATCAGTTAAATATTAATTATTAATTAAATAACAATTTAAATAATAATAATAATAATAAATAATAATAATAATAATAATAATAATAATAATAATAATAATAATAATAATAATTAAATAATAAATTTGAATAATAATTTAGTTACAATACGAAGCAAAACTAGCGATGGAATATTTAAATGATCCGGAAAAAGATGGATTTGAAGAATTGTTCTTACAAAAAGTTGATGACATGAAGGTAAAATATGATAATTTTGTAAAGTAAGTATTTTCTTTATCGATAAGATTTATTTCAAATTTATTCTAATTTAAATTTATTCTTTATTATATTATATTATATATTAATTTTTTTATATCTTTAATGATAACAAATCGTTCGGTATATCACCATTATCATTATTATCATTTAGAGTAATTAAAATTCCTTCAACATATAAAGAATATACTGATTCAGTTAAATTAGATTATCCTGATATATTTATTCATTTCGCTCAATCAATCCAAAAATTATTAGAAAGAGGTCTCACTAATCGTGTTAATCTCATTACAATAAATTATGATAAATTTTCATCTTGGCCAATCAATGAATCACCAAAGAATTATATTTCATCAAATATTAGTTTATATTTAGGATTCATATTTAATCCTGATGAATCAAATAGATTAATTGATTTTGGACCTTCACCTGAAGATGAAATTGCTGTAAAAGAATTTCGTGAATTATGGGGTAATAAAGCTGAAACTCGTCGATTTAAGGATGGAAATATTTTGGAATGTGCGGTTTGGGAATCAAAAAATATTGGAATTGAATCACGTAGTTTAATTATTAATGAAATGGTACTTCATTTACTTAACTTTCATTATGGAATTAATGAAATAAATGGAAATATTCAATATTTTGCTTCCCAATTAAATGAATTTATTATTCCATCATCATTTGTTCCAAAGAAAATATTTGATCGTAATATTAACGGGTTTCAACCAATAATGAAAGCTTATGATGAATTAGTAAAACAATTCTTATCATTAGAAAATATTCCTCTCAAAATTACAAATGTAAAATCAATTAGTTCTTCATTAAGATATTCTTCAGTATTCATTCCTCAACCATATAATCTACAGAATGATCTTCAAAAACATCATGAAAAATTTAATGGAATTATTAAACATGAAGATAATCATGATTATAATAATATTATTATGAATTCACATTATATTGAACCAATAGAAATTCAATTTCAATTTGAAGTTTCATTAAAATGGCCAAATGATCTTGTAGCTATTCAAAAGATGAAATTAGCATTTTATATTAAAATTTCGGATCAATTAAAAGTTCAATTTCCTGGAATTATAACGAAAATAGTAGTAGTAGAATCAAATAATCAAAATAAAATATTTTCATTGGATGAATATTTAGAAATTTTCACTACTTCGGGATTTGCATTTAGATGTAGAATTTATTATGAACGAGAAATTCCTATGTTAGAACGATTGATTAAAGATCCAAATATTTCCAAACAAAAAAAAGATGTTTATAAGAATGCATTGAAAATTGAAAAGCATTTATTTATTGATCTTCCATTACTTAATTCTCAAATTCAAACATTATGTAATAAATATCCATCTTTATCATTAACTATTAGAATTACGAAAAGATGGTTTATGGCAAATTTATTTGAAGGACAAGTAGATGAAGAATTTATAGAAGTTTTATGTGCATTTATTTATTTGGAACCACGACCGTGGACAAGACCTGCTACAGGTTTCGTTGGATTTTTAAGAATTCTAAAATTAATTGCGGGTTGGAATTGGGAAAATGATCCAATAATTGTTGAGTTAGATGAAAATATACATAATGGTGATGATGATGATAATAATATTATTATAAGTAATGATAATACGAGTGATAATAATAATAAAAATGAAATTATTGAAGAAATTCGAAAAAAATTTGATAATTCTTCTAATGATCGAGGTTTAATGTTTGTGGCGACAACTTCAGGAATTATTTGGGGTTTAGAAAAACCAAATAAAGTTGTATCTCGGAGAATTCAAGATTTAGCAAAAGCTTCTATCACATTTATAGATGATAGTATAAATAATGATAAGGATGTAGAATTTAAAGTAAGCAATTCAAATCTTATGACTTTTATTATTTATTACTTTATTATTTAAATTGATTTTATTTAATTGATTTTTTAATTTATTTAATTTATTTATTTTTTTTTATTATTTTTTTTTTTTATTATTTAATTTATTTTTTTATTATTTAATTTAATTGATTTTAATTGATTTTAATAAATAGCGAATATTCGTACCACCGTTACAAGATTATGATGTTTTAATACATTTAGATCCAACTAAATGCACGCGATATTATCAAAATCATTCAGTCGACAAAAAACTACTTTCACAACGAATAAATAATGGAATAATCGATAATCTAGATAATAAAAATAATAATAATAGTAGTAATAATATAATTATTAATATTAGTAATGGTATAGAAGGAGAGAAGGTGAATAATAATAATAGTGATGATGATGATCAAATAACGCGAGATAATATTTTAATTGGATTTGATCCTGTCGTATGTTATTTAAAAGAATTAAGAAGTTTATATTCAAATATAGCTTTATTCTTTCATGATAAGTATGGAGGAACAGTTATTGGAATAGTTTGGAAACCATCGTATTTATTTCCCACTCCATGGAAAGTAAATCTTGGATATTCTAGTAAATTATGGATACCACAAATGGACGGAAATCTTGATGAAGATGATAAGGTAAATATTTTTAAACATTTTTTTTTTTTTAATTTTTATTTTTTTTTTTATTTTTAATGAACACTTTATTTATTTTTCAGTGGTTAGCAGAATTTTATTATGATAGTGGTCATTGTATGATGACATTAGATACTAAAGCTACTGTAATGGAAATGGAAAGATTAGGTGAAGGTTTAGTTATAGGAATTGATTTTAGAAAATAGTCAATTATACTTTTTTTTTTAGTTGAAATTGGGTCAGCATTATTATTGATATTTAAATAAATGTACAGTTTATTTTTTATTTAAAAAAAAAAAAAATAATAAATAAAATATTTCGAATATAAGAACTACGAAACAATTTATTTTCCTTATTTAACCATCCGCCATTGAAATTAAAAATCCATTGTTGTTATACAAAATTACCAAATTAATTAAACATGATCTACATGAAATTACTATCTAATAACGTATGTAATAATAATATAATGTGATGATAATTATGACAAAATGAAATACATCATAATTACTTAAATTATTTAATGATTATGATTAATTCTCATTAAAGAATAATGAAGTCATATTAGAATCGATTATAAATACAGCGATGAAAAAATCAACTTCTCAATATTTCCGATATTAACATTATACAATTATTTGAAGTTAAAATGTCTTCTAAATTACCTCCAAAGAAAGACCCTGAACGCGAAAAAGCTGAAAAACATGCATTAAAAGCAAAAGAGAAAGCTACTCGAGTTACTGAGGCATTGAAGTAATCATATTAATATTAATAATTCTAATTTTTCTTAAATTTTTTTTAATACATTCCATCGATTATTTTTTATTTTATATTAGTGAAGGAAGATTACCTAATACAGAACAAATTACCGAAACCATTGAATCAATACAAGAATCCGATGCCATTCATGATACCGCACGCGGTATGTCCCCATTGGGCAAAAAAGTTTTTGCCGACACAGAAAAACTCTTGGACAGCACCAAAACTTTGCTAGAAGAAAAGAATGCCGGCGATGAAATGCAAAATATAATTTATTATGGTGGAAAGGCTTCACGTGATATTGCCGATTCTACTTCTATTCCTCATGATCTTACTTCAAAATATGAAACTCATGCCGAAACTTCAAAATCAATGGCCCAGGATGCGTTTCAAAAAACAATGAAGGTAATTTTTTTATTTACCCAAATTTTTTTTTTAAACCCGATATAATGTATAAATAATTCATTTATTTTACATATTTATTTAGATACCACAACTTTTAATTTCGAGTTCTGAATTCCGTAAATTGGTTAACGACATTCATGAAATCATACAAGAAATTCTTGATGATACTACTCCAGGTCAAAACCAAAAAGAACAAAAGGATGATATTCGTGAAGGCGAAAAGAGTCCTAAAGAAGCACTTCATCAAACAACTGCTCAAGCACGTGGAACTGTTTATCCTGTTGCTAAGGCAACGGCTGCTACTATCGAACCACATATTAAGGAATTTAGTGAAGGTCGAAAATCTATTCAAGAAGCTTCTACAGAAGGAATTAAAAAAATTTCTACGAGTCTTAAAGAAAAAGTCGGCGATTATCAACTTTCATCTGAAAAACGTGATCGAATTACGACTAGATTCAAGAATGTTATGATTGATGTACAGAAAAAACCTGAATATCAAGAATCACTTTCGGAAATTGTTAATATGGTTTCTCGAATTACTGATTTTACTCAAGAATTTGCAACTCGTATGAGTGAACCTATTTCACAAGGAGCCGAGAAACAAAAAGATTCCTTATCAATTGCTCAACGTAATGCTAAAGAATTATTGGAAAATTTTTCCAATAATTATTCTCTTGATAAATTAATTTCCTTACTTAAAGAAATGAGGGAGCAACTTAAACATGACGTAGATCTTCGTAATCATCTTAAGGAAGTTAAAAATTTTGTCCTTTGCTCTTTAAGCGATTCAGATTTTATTCAAAAACGTGATTATAAAGATCATGGATCTCGCTTAATAAAAGACAGTCGTCATTTCTTATTGGAAAGACATTCCAAAACTATTAAAGCTATTGCTACGGAAATTAGGAATTTTAATGAAGCATTGCAAGAAGATAAAACCACCGCTCGATGGAGAAGTGATTTTGAGGCATTGATATCAGATGTGTTTTTGGATGAAAAAGGTCAACCTACCTTTAAATTTGAGCTTATTAAAGATTTTGGTAAAATTTTACCTCTTATTGCCGAAAAACTGAAATTCATTCCTCTTCCTCGAATTGAAAAGTAAGTTAAGTTTGATACTTTATAATCCTAATAATAATAATTAATAATAATCCTAATCCTAATAATAAAATATAATAATTATTTATTTATAGTTCCGATGATCAATACGATTACATTTTTGATAATATTGTATTGCATGTAGCTGAAATTGTTCCTAAACATTTACATATCAGTTTTCATTCTGATATCAATTTGGAACGGGGTGAAGATGATGTAGTACAAAATACTTTATCGATTGAAATGTGAGTTATCTTCTACCGTTTCGCGTGCTAAATTTATAATAATGAAAAAAATAATAATTATTCTTATATAATTTGCTAGTTCTAAACTTTGCGCCGATGCAAGAAACATTGCCTTTTATTATAAGAAGAAAAGTGGAATTATCACAATGAAAGACGTACGTATATAAACAAATGATAAAGCGATAAAATAAAAATATATTGTGAAATAACCACTTTTTTTTTTTTGCATACAGGTTGGATTAGTTGATTTTTCAATTCCATCTGAAGGATTAAATATTTATGTCAAATTGTTATTGTCCCTACCAAGTGATAAGGATTCTAGCACACAATTTAATATTTTACAAACTGAAACACACATTAAAGAATTGAAACTACGATTGCATGAAACGCGACATGAGTAAGTTTATTATAAATTTATTATTTATTAATTCACATTAATTTACTTTATTAAATTAAAATTATTAAATAATAAATTATCTACTTTTGATAATGTAGCTTTTTATATACACTTCTTACACCTCTGGTTGAAAAACGATTAAAACGTCAATTAGAGGAGATTGTAACCGACTACATTCGAAAATCTCTCGAATATCTTCGAGAAAACCTTGCTCACCTACGAGACAAAGTTGATCAAATGCAAATAGATAGTCAAGAAATTCATCCGAAACATGAAAGAAGAGAGTGGGAAAGTCCAGCTTTTGATGTGAAGAGGAAAGAAGAATAAAAATTTCTTTGTTTACTTTTTTTGGTTTAATCTATTTTTTATTTTGCATAAAAATGCTATAAAAATTATTATAAAAATGCCATAAATATATGTAATCAAAAGGTTTTCAATTGTATAATTAAATATAATCAATTATTAATTTTCGCAAGAATTTATGTAATAAAAAAAAATTATACGTTTTGTATTAATGAAATTAAGTATATAATAATAAATATTATAATAATAAATATTATAAATATTGAACGATATTGGTTTAAAAAAAAAAAAAGGGGGAGGGGGATTTAATTTGACACGAGTAAAATAAAAGATTTTATCCTTTTGTTTTAATCGATGACGATGCTAATAATAAATAATAATAAAGAGTTAATGTATTTGACAAAATATGGTAATATAAAATAAAAAAACGAGTATTAATAGTCTTATTTATAACAATATACAGTATAAGATTCTGCATTGGTGGTCTCCACAGACATTAATTTTAATATTATAAATTTATGACTAAACATTTTGTTATTCGTCTAAACCAACTTTCTTTGCATATTATATTCATTATATAGCTACCGCACAGAAACTTACTTATTATTAATTAATTCAAGATTAGTGGGTTTATTATTATCAGAATAATGTAATACATTTGAGTTTAAAAAGATTACTCATAGATGGTACTCAGAAATTTTTGAGAATGTAACTCTTTCGATAATTTTTTTTTTCTTGCATTCTCTTCAGATAGATTTATTTTATTTATTTTCATTTTATTATTTAATTCAATTGTATATATTCACCACAGGTGCTTTTTTAGATGCATTTTTTCTTTCTTTATAACATCTTTGCATTTCTAGATAAAGACATCATATACAGTATAATAACTATATAATACTAAATGAAATTGCTTTAAGAAAAAAAAAAATCATAAATTTTCTTTATTATATCTGGAATATTTGTTTTTTATTTTTTTTAAAACTCTAAAGAAAATTAATAAAATTTGAAAGGTATAATTTTATTGCATTTTGTTAATGATGTTATTGTTAATAATTTTTAAAATTAATTCTTTAAATCATTCATTTATTTGATTAAATCATTTACTTGATTTCACTTTATTATTATAATATTTCGATCAATGAATTCGATCGTAATGATTATGTATCATATATTTCAAATTAGGCACAAAGATAGGATATGCATCATATGCATCTCTATCTTGTGTCTCGTATCTCCAACTGTAATACAAATGTTTCTACACTCTAAATAAACTAAAATATATAAATAATTAAAAATCTCATTTTTTTAATTATTTCTCTTTGATTTTTCATTATAAATATTATAAAAATATTAATATCATCAGTCATAAATATCACAAATATCATAATCAATAAGTCGCAGTTATGCATCGAAGAAAGATCCTTTGGGTCGTGGCCATTTTAATAATTATATTTGGGGTATTATTGATAAAAGCGGAAGAAATCTCTGATGAGATTGATTCAAGAAATGGAGAAATAGATGAAACTGTAACTGAGGTAATATATTGTTATTATTATAATTTATTTATTGATTAAAAAATTGAATGTTTTAATTAATTAACATACAAAATATCCAATATATAATAAATTAACAGCAATTGGTTAACATAGAAGCAGAAGATCCCGATCTTGTTGGATCAGTTCTTGATATAGATTTAACTGAAGTAAATAAAGGTCAAGATATGAAATCATTATTTCCGGTTGTTAATTCAGAAGAATCCGGATCATTCTTTATTGGAATAATTATGATTATTGTATCAGAAATAGGAGATAAAACATTTTTTATCGCTGCCATAATGGCTATGAAAAATTCACGACTTTTAGTTTTTACTGCATCATTTAGTGCATTAGCACTTATGTCAATACTTTCAGCAGCTTTCGGTCATGCGGTACCGAATTTAATTTCACAAAGATTTACAAATTATCTTGCATCATTATTATTCATAATTTTTGGAATTAAAATGGCAATTGAAGGATATAATATGACAGATGAAGAAGCAAGTCAAGAATTAGAAGAAGTTTCATTAGAATTAAAAGAAAAAGAAGAAGCGGGAATTTTGGAAAGAGTAGAAGAAGGTGTAGGAGTGAGTGAAGAAGACGATACAGGAGATACCGGAGGTAGCGGAAGTGAAGCGGAAGGATTGAATAATAAAGGAATGAATAGTGGAACAAATAGTGGAAATAATGAAGAAATAGATCGAGCTACATTCAAAGAAGGCTTGATTAATTTATGTCAATTTATATTTTCTCCAATATTTGTTCAAACATTTGTACTCAATTTTCTTGCTGAATGGGGTGATCGATCACAAATTGCTACAATTGCTATAGCTGCAGCTCAGGTGATTGATTATTATTATTATTATTATTATTATTATTATTCACATCAATTAATTATTATTTTAATTATTATATTATAGAATGTTTATTGGGTAACTGCGGGTATCCTGATAGGACATGCTTTTTGCACAGGTCTTGCCGTGATAGGTGGTCGATTGTTAGCAGCTAAAATATCTGTTAAGAAAAGTGAGTGTAATTTATTTATTTTTAATTTATTTTTATTTTTGATTTACTTTATTTTTAATTTTGATTTACTTTATTTTTAATTTAATTGACAATAATTATTTTTATAATTAATACTAATAATATTTAATATTTAATATTTATATAGTTACTATTGTTGGAGCATTACTTTTTATATTATTTGCATTTTTTTATTTATATGAAGGCTTATATGGAGAATATTAAATATTAAGATTTTAAAGATTTAAGATTTCAAGGTTTAAAATTTACATATTTATAAATATTTCAAATTTCATATTATAAATATTTATAAATGTTTGCATATTGTAATTATTTTTTTGATGGGCTTATTTATTATTATTTTATTTTTATTTCAATCGAATTAATTAAATAAATCAAATATACATATATACATACATACATACAACATACATACATGTATATATCTATCTGATAATCTGATATTGAATGTCAAGGAAAAAATTCCAATGAAGCAGGTTTGCAAATTAAACTTGAGATATTCCTAACCAATACAAAATTTTTTATTTTCCTTTTTTCCCTGTAAATAATTATATATAATATATTAAATAATTAATTTAAATATATAAATAAAATTATATAAATAAAAATATATAAATAAATAAATAAATAAAAATAATTACATTTTCTCTAATTTAATTAAATCAAGAATTCCTGTTAATGAACAACTTCCAATTCCAATTCCATGACCTTGACTAAATGAGAATTGTCCTGTTGTGACATATCCAATTATATCTGATGCTAATGATAGATCTTTTAATTTCTATAAACAAGATAATAATAATAATTTAATAATAATAATTTAATAATAATAATTAAATAATAATAATAATAATAATAATAATAATAATAATAATAATAATAATAAATAATAATAATAATAAATAATAAATAATAATAATAATAAATAATAATAATAAAAAATAATAATAATAAATAAAAGATACCTTCTCAACTACTAAATCACCATCATCGTCATCATCATCATTATCGAATTCTTTAAATTTCCTTTTTCCTTTTCTTTTTCTATTTCTTAATTCATTCGTCCACTTTTCATATAATTGTTTATTTTCAACTTTATAAATAATAGCATTATATTTAGGTATTCCATTTGCTAATAAATTAACTCGTACTTTGATAAGTGCTTTAGTTAAATCTACATTTGACTCTAGATTATTATTATTATTATTATCAAAAGTAATTCTTCGATCATTTAAAGATTTCGTGATAAGTGAGGTTAATGATAATTTAAATTCGGATTCTATTGAATCATTATTGTTGTTTTTAAATGTTTCTAATAATTGAATACTTTTGTTACCCAATAACAACCATGATCGTTGCTCCATTTTAATTTTATCATTATCTTCATTCATTTTATCATTATCTTCATTTTTATCATCTTCATTCATTTTATCATCATCATCATTCATTTTATCTTCTTCATCTTCAATCATTTCAATCAAATTATCAGCTTCCACCATTTTTTCAATATCTATTAGTTTTGCTTCTCTTTCATCTTTTTCACCCTTTTCGATATTTTCTTCTTTTAAACTATTTTCAAAGTAATTGTTCTCAATGGATAATAAATTATTAAATGCTGGTTCAAAAGGTGAATCAACTTTAAATTTCTTATAATTTACACGTTTAGCGGGTGGACGTTTATGATATTCTTTCTCTAATTCATTTTTTATTATTTTAGAAGTATAATTAATAAATGATTTTGTATTAGGATAATCATAAGGAAAACAAGGTAAACCAGATTCAAAATGATTGGTATGTCTTTCACGTAAACCTATAATTGAATAATAATTGAATAATAATTGAATGAATGATAAGTGAAGTGAATGATAAGTGAAGTGAATGATAAGTGAAGTGAATGATGATTGAATGATAATTTGAATGATGATTGAATAAAATAAATAAATAATTATGATTTATATTTACCACCAACCCAAGCTCCCGCAAATATAAAACTTTTCCAAAAATCCATTCCCCAACCAGTTGGAATTATAAGATTCCATCCTCCTTTATATTCTGATTTCTTATATTCCGTAAGTCCATCACGTTGGATTAATAATATTGGAATCACCGAATCATTGGGTGTCCTTAATAATTTTTGACCTGGTATAAGTAACTATAGATAATATATATAATATTAATATATAATATTAATATATAATAATATTTTATATTAATAATAAATATAATAAATATCATATATACGATAATATTTATAAATAAATAATTACTTGACTTCTACGATTATTTAATTCACCATCAGATATTTTAGTAGAACGTAATAAATTAATTAAATCATTATTCCATAAATCAGTTGATGCAACATTATTTGGCCATTTCGTTAATATCTCTTGTAATGATTTTTCTGATTCTTTAGATATTGTATTTGTTCGTGGTGGAACTTTTTGTGGAAATCTAATTAAAAAGAATTATAATAATAATAATAATTAAGTATTAAGTATAATGAATAAATAAATATTATAATTAAATATAAATAAATGAATGAATACAAACCGTAATCTTGGATCAAAAACTTTCAATCCTAATGCAATTCCTGGTGGTAAAGATGTAGAACTTTGTAAATCTTTTAAAGCTTTCCATGTCTATCATTCATGAAATATATAAAATATTAGATAAAGTTATAATAGTTATACAATTACAATATATACATTTGATATTATAATATTAAAATATATTATATATTACCTTGTGAGCATCAGCATTAATAATATCATTATCATCATCATCAACATCTAATACAGCTTGTAATAAAGCAGTTGTTCTAGGCCCAGTAAATTCAAACATTAATAAATTATTACTATAATCTTGTATGGAAATATTATTATCATCATTATTATTATTTAAATTCATAATTTCTATTGCATGATTAAATGCTATAAATGCTTCATTAAATGCACTTGGATGAATCCAAATTAAAATATTTCTGTTAATATGATCCCATAATAAATTAATAGGGGATATAAGATGTGTTGGATATTTATGATATTCATATAAATATGTGGAACATTGTCTTCTTCCTCCTAAATATCTAAATAAATTAATTAATATAAATTATTATAAAAAATGGTAGATTATAAATTATTAAATATACAATAATAATAATATAGTAATTATGGATATATATGTATATACCTCTCACTTCCTACAGATGCAATAGTAGGATCAGTCATACAATTCATCAACATTATTAATGTATCTTGATCACCTGATAATTTAATCCATTCAAAATATGAAGCATCATGAATAATTGTGACATGTTCACTTGCTCTATATGATGATCTGATACTTTTCTCATTTGGATGTTCTGCCTATTATTATATTAATGATAATATATAAATAAATAATTAAATAAAATTTATTAATAAATAATAGTGATTAATAATAATCTATAAATAATAACTACCAATTTATAACCCCATAATTCAACCATTTTCATTCTTTTAGTATGCCATATATGAGTTTCAAGCCATTTTTTAGTCCCTAAATAATATATATATATATATAATTAATTAATTGATATAATTATAATGTTGTGTTGATAATTTGACACACACACACACACATATATATATTATTGATGTTAAACCTTGTCTTCTCATATATTCATTAACCAATGATCCAGGTTTCCTTTTTTTACGTCTGCTTGATTTTTTGGAAGTTGTATTGTATGATTCCATCTAATGTGAATAAATATAATGTATATATATATATAATTATATATAATAATATAATGATAATAAATAATATAATAGTTAATATAATAATATATAATAATATAAATAATAAAAACCTAAAGTAATACAAACTTCTTCTATAGCTTTCTTCCTTAATCTAACAGGTAAACGCTTAACATTGTGACTTGCTGTTCGACGTCGAAGATGACGCGGAAGTAATTGAGCTGCTTTGGAATTCTTTGCTTGACTATTAAATAATGATTTAATATAATTTTAAATATAATTTTAAAATATAATCGATAAAAATTAAATAATATAATTAATTAAAAATATCATACTTTGCACGTTCCAAAGCATCATTCAATGCATTGATTTCAAATGCTCTGGCCTATAATATAATAATAATATAATAAAAATATTATCAATAATAATAATCATAATTATTATAACAATAAATATATTATTTATTATTATTTACTTCCGCAAAGTCTACAACATCGATTGTTCTTGGTGTAGTCGTAGTAACTGTTTGAAGTTTAACTTATATTTAAATGTAAAAATATAAAATTAAATTAAATTTTATAAATTTTATTATGAAATAATAATAACAATAATAATAATAATAATTAAATAATAATAACAACAACAGCAACAATAATAATAATGAAGATAAATAATAGTAATAAAGAATTTTACCATTTTCACTGGAATACGTTTCAATCTTTCTCTGAGCAGCTGTTTTGGCTTATTGAGATGATTTTTTATTAAAATTGATATTATTAATTATTAATTCTCATTATTATTATCATCACCATTGATTAATTATCATTATCATCATTATTATTATTTTAAAAAAGAAGAAACACTTAAATATAATAGATTATAATAATAATAATAATAATAATAATTATAATTATAATTAATTAACAATAATAATAATAATTATAATTAATCAACAATAATAATAATAATAATAATTAATCATTATAATAATCAATCATTATTATGATAATAAGAATCAAATAATAATGATTTATAAATAATGATAATTATTTCACCTCTTTTTTTATCTTTAGAAGATTGTTCTTTTATATCACTTTCTTGCATCGTAATAATATATAACTAATATATTAAAAAATGATAACAATAATAATAATAATAAAAAGATATAAAAAGAGATCAATAAGATAGAGTTTTGAATATGTGTAAAAATTATTATATAATAATACGATACGATAATAATCTAATAATAACCTAACCTATAATAATATAATAATTGTGATAAATTAAAATAATAACAATAACAATAATAAAAATAATAATCAACAATTCTGTCAAATTACATAACAAACTGCACCGACTGCAGTCTTAACTCCACTGTCTCACTATACCTTTTAAATTTTTCGTAAAATTCCAAAACAATAAATGAAAAATCTTTCGAACACCTTATTTCCCTACCATTAATAGAAAATGGTTTGTGCCCACATAATATATAACATATGATACTATAATTATAATTATAATTTATGGAATAGATAGAATAATAGCAAACAAAATATATCATTCAACACCATAAAAATAGGGTAAAAAAGAAAAAAAAAAATTTTAAATTAATCCAATGAAAATTGGTCGTCTTTAACTAAAAATAAAGTTATGAAGTAATGTAGAATATGTAGAATAATGTAAAATAATTAAAAAAAAAAAAAACAACGGAATTAGATAAATTATATAAATAACCACTTTTCTTCTCTCCTCGAGGAGTGTGGCGTAGTGAAAAATAATTTTTTTTTAAAAAACTAAAGAATTAATAAAAAATAAAGAATTAATTAAAAAATAAAAGAATTAATTCAAAAAATTAAACGAATTAATTCAAAAAAAAACAATGGATAAGTCAACGACGGCAACGGTATCTGTATCAACGACGACGACAACAAATAAAGAAAATAAAAAAAATAAAGAAAAAAAAGACAAAACATCATTAGAAATAAATAACATTAAAAATTATAATAATCATAATGACATAAATAATAATAATGCAGACATTAATAACTGTAATAATAATAATAATAATAATGATAATAATAATAATAGAAATAATGATGAAAGTGATAACTGTAATAATAATATTAATAATAATATAAATGACACTAATAATAACATTAATAATAACATTAATAATGATGATGATGATAACAATGAAAATAATAATAATGATGATGATGATAATATTAATGACATAACATTAGAAGATATAATTATACCAAATGAAAAGGAAGAGAAAAAAGAATTTCCCCAAATCATATATTTAACAGAATATAGAATTATTATCCTGTCCATATTAATCCCATTTTCAATAATTGGAGTATTAATTCGTATCGGATTAAATAAACTTCATCAATATCCTGGTGCTCCAGTAGATTATTTAGTTTATCCTCAATTTGTGGGATGTGTAATTATGGGTTTTTGTTTAGAACGAAAAGATTTTATTATGGAAAGGTAAATTTTTATTATTATATTATTTTATTATTTATTATTATTATTGATCATATTTTATTATTATTATTATTTATAATTTATTAATATTATATTTTATTATTGTTATTATTATTAAAATAGTTACCTTCCTTTATATATCGGATTAAAAACGGGACTTTGTGGTTCAATTACAACATTTTCTTCTTGGATTTTAATTATATTTGAAGATATCATAAATTATCCACCATATGACAGAATAGGATTATATTATGTAATTATAATTCTAATTCTCTAATTATATGTTATTATATTATATTATAATTATTAAATACTCTAATTATTATTATTATTATTATTATATATTATAGGCGATATCGGGGATAGCAAAAATAGGAATAATTATAGGAATGTCAATAATAGGATTAAAATTTGGTGAACATTTTGCTGATTTAATAATGCCTAATCAAAAGGCTCCGGCGGGATTAAAACAGCAAATCATTTTAAAATCTCCTAAATTTAAAGATTTATTATTTTTGGATTGGATTTGCTTATTTTTTGGTATAAGTTCTATGATTTTGGTTATATTTTTGGCTACTTTTATTAAAGTGAATCGAAATATTTTATTCGCGACGGTTTTCGCTCCGTTAGGTAATTCTATATTTATTATATTTATATTATTATTATATATTACATTCACATCATCACATTTTTATATAGATATTATATTCACATCACGTATTATATATAATATTAAATATTTTATATAGGAACATTAATAAGATGGTATTTATCACGTCTCGACAATAATTTTGGATCTTCAACTTTTCCCATTGGAACATTTTCTGCTAATATGTTGGGTACATTAATATTGGGATTATTATTCTTTCTTAGTAATGGAATAATACATTCTAATCTTAAATGTGAAATTGTAACTGGATTAATGGATGGTTTATGTGGTAATTATGATATTATATCTAAATTTAATAAAAGTATATTCAAAAATTTATACTTATATTTCTACATGCACATTTTATATGTTTATAGGTTGTCTTACTACAATTTCAACATTCACAGTAAGTATAAATAATTATATTCATATATTTATTAATGTTACATGGTTTATATATAGACATATATATATATATATATATTAATATCATTTTCTCTTCTCTTTTATTTTTCCTCATTATTATTTATTTATTATTTATTATTTAGGCAGAGATATCAACGCTTAATAGACGTCATGCTTATATATATGCTACAATTTCAATAGTGGTGGGTCAAGTTATTATGATATTTACGGTAGGAATATATCATTGGTCAGTAGGTTTGACTAAGACTTGTTCAAGTTAATTAAAATTAATAAAGTAAATAGAAATAATTATATAATAATAGAAGTAATAGAGTATACTACTATTTATTATTAATTTTTATTTTTATATCATTTTTACTTATTATTATTATTATTATTATTATTATTATTATATTTTTTACTTATTATTATTTATTATTATTTTAGAACATTTTGTAAAGTTTAAGAAAAAATTATTAGATAGAATATTAATGTAATATCTTTTATTGTCATATTATTTGAAGTTTATATAGAATAAAATTTTTTTGTATATATTTTAAAATAAATATCTTAAAAATAAAATTAATTTGTTATAAATTTTAAATTTATTCATCTTTCTCTTTTTCTTTTTTTTTTTTAGAAATAATTCATTTGTTACATTTATTAATAATTCATTTTTTTTAAAAAAAAAAAATAAAATTACAAAAACAATATAAACATTATTATATTATTAATTTTTTTCAGAAAGTGCTGATACTCCTGGTAATTCCTTTCCTGTGTAATAGATTAATAATTAATAACAAATCTATAATAAAATATATGATAATTAATAATATATGTATTAAATGATAAATACCTTCAAGTAGTTCCAAGGAAGCACCACCACCGGTAGAAACATGAGCAAATTCATCTTCTTGATTCCATTTAGCAACTGCTGTAGCTGTATCTCCTCCTCCAACAATTGCAATTGCGTTATTTTTTTTAGATGCTTCAACAATTGCATCTAATGCTGATTTTGTTCCTACGGCAAATTTATCAAATTCGAAAACTCCTGTTGGACTATAAAATAGATTCATAATAAGTAATAATAATAAATAATTAATAACAAGTAATAAGTAATAATAAGTAATAATAAGTAATAATAAGTAATAATAGGTAAGAAATAAATAAATAATAATAATAGAATGATAACATACCCATTCCATAAAATTGTTTTTGATTCAAGGATTGTTTCTTTAAAAATAGCATTTGATTTTTCACCAGAATCTAAACCTAACCAACCGTCAGGAATACCAGTTTCATCCGTAGCATATCCAGTCTATATATACGCGATAAATAAAATTGATAATAAATAATAAATAAATAAATAAATAAATAAATAATCTTACATTAGCATCCTTGTCAAATTTATCAGCAGTCACGTAATCAACAGGAAAAACCAATTTAACATTTCTCTCTTTTGATTTTTCAACCAATCTTTTTACAGTTTTTGATCCTTCTTCATCAAAAAGTGAATTTCCAATCTATCATAAAGAAATTAAAATGTAAAATGAATAATGAATCGTAAAATGTAAAAATAGAATGAATGATCATGAACACTTACTTTAACGTTTTCAAGTGTCTTTTTAAATGTAAATGCCATCGCACCTATATCAAATCAAAAAAAAAATGATTCATTGATATTTAATGTAATAATTAATTATCAATATAAAATATAAGAAAAATTTCAATATACCAGTAATAATCATAGAATCAACCTTTTCTAAAAGATTATCAATTAACTTAATTTTATCTGAAACTTTAGCACTAAAAATAAATATAAATATATAAATAAATTTTTAATAAATAAATAAATAATTAATTATAGGGATAAAATAATAATAATAATAATTTTGAATTACCCTCCAAGAATAGCCAAAAAAGGTCTATCCGGATTTTCCAATGCTTTGCTAAAGTAATCTAATTCTTTCTTTAATAAAAATCCAGAAGCACGAATAGGAAGATTTACTCCAACCATAGAACTATGTGGTCGATGTGCAGTACCAAATGCGTCGTTAACATAAACATCTCCAAGTTTTGAAAGTGATTCACGGAATTTTTCAATACTTTCGGCTGATGCTTTGATCTTTTAAATTATTTATTTGGTAATAAATGAGAAATATATTAATTAATTTTGATAATTCAATTTTTTTTTAATTATTTATTAAATCAATGCCCAATACCTTATTTCCTCCTTCATCTTTGCCGGAACCTTCTTCTTCAATGTGAAAACGTAAATTTTCCAAAAGGATAACTTGACCTACATGTAACATTGCATCATGTTTATATACACTTGAAACATATATGATGCACACACACACACACACAGACAACATAAAGTTTTAAAATTTACACACGTACCACCCTCGGCTTTTGAAACGGCTTCTTCAACATCATGTCCGACACAATCTTTCAAAAATAATACATCTTTATTAAGTAATTTACCAAGTTCAACGGAAACAGGTTCAAGAGAATATTTAGGATTTGGTTTTCCATCCGGTCGACCAAGGTGAGACATAAGAATTACAGCTTTGGCATCTATGAATAATTATGAATAATTGTCTGGTGATTATGAAAATTGCAAAAAAAAAAAATAATAATAATAATTATTATTATTATTACTATTATCTAGAGCATATTTGATGGTTGGAAGAGCAGCTACAATTCTCTGATTATTTGTAATCTTTCCATTTTGAAAAGGAACGTTAAAGTCAACTCTATTGAACAAAAAAAAAAAATTTATTATTTATTTTTATTATAATTTAATTTTTTGCGAATTAATGAATTAATTTAAATTTGAATTTTAATAAATAAATAATTAATAATTTAAATTAATAATTAATTGAAAATAAATAAATTTAAAAAATTTACCGCATCAAGACACGTTTATTTTTAATATCAATGTCTTGAATTGAAAGTTTATTACCAAGACTGGTTTTAGACATTTTGACCTTTTTTAGAATGAAGTTTTATTAACGAGGGAAAAAGTTCGATCTTCGTGAGAGAGATATATATAATTTATAAGGTTTCACGAAAAACTAAACTAAAATAAGTAATTACAAAAATATGATGTAACGTTTATAACAATGAACGTAATCGTATGATAACTGAAAAATTTTCAAATCTAATATATCATAATAAAAATTCAATCTTTATTAATTATTTAGGAAGCGTAACACACGAAATTAAAATCTAACTCATGTATTTCTTTGAGTCTAAATATTCAGGCAATAATTTTATTTCCATAAAACAAACTTTTACATCATTAAACATCAAGGTTAATAATAATAAAAAAAAATGTTGTCATTATAAAATACTTATTTTTTCATGGTGCCAAACCATGCAACTCAAAATAATCTTGATAAATGAACAATTGTAATTGATTAAAAAATAAGGTCAGATTTTTTAAATATACGTTTCAGATTTTTGGATTAAGAAAAATATTGAAAATCCCCCAAAAATAAGAGAAATATATTATGTACATCTATTTCATTGTCATGTGGTGTAACGGATTACGACAAAATAAAATTCTGCGATATGAATTATTTACTAAATTATGGAAGAGTTGGAAAAATAATACAAGAATTATAACATAAAGCATTTTTAAAAAATAATTATGAAATCATAATTCAAATTAAAAAGGCTGAAGAATTTTCCTAACTATAACTCCAAAAGCAATTATACCAGTCGACTTTCAAAACCCGTGAATGAATCAAAGAAATATTAACATCTATTTCTGCCAAGTGTTTAACTATAATTAAAATTGATTAAAATGAAGTGTAAATATTGACATATTTTGACTTGCATATGTACCATCCCATAAATATAATATTGTTAACTTCGAATTGAAAATTGGAATTTTGGGATTCATTATAATTATAGAGGATGGATTAGATTTGTTCAAAAAATTGTTCAAGTCTCCTAACGCTAAGCTTTTAAATTTGACTTCGGCTTTTTTCCAATGTTTAAAATTGATTCGTTTTTTTTTTTTTGCATCAATATTTAATCTTGAATCTTTTCTTTTGCAAAGCAAAGTTTGTTTTGTAAGCTTTAAGTACATCATTCATTCCTTCATTTCTAACATCATAAGATGTCTCCAAAACCTACTTGTTTTTCATTCTGAAAAATTTTTTGCTTTGAGGAATTCCTTCATTTTTGTCTTGGAGATCTTTAATTTGTCTTTTGAGGTCTTCTTTTTGGTGATCATTTGAGACTCTTGCATAGTATACTTTCGTTTTTTTGTTGTTTTGGACTTTCTTCTCGGAAGAAGAGTCGTTTGAGTTATTTGACATTGTTGTCCTTGTATTTTAGAGGAGACTTGCTCATACTTGACAACAAAAAAAAAACAGGATTTATAAAGTGCTGATCTTTGTTTGAACAGTGAAATATTTTGAACTGCAAATTCAAAATTTTATGAAAAATTGCATCAAAATAAAATTGGGCCTTTATCACCGCCTGCATTCTGTACGCTGAACAATCATGAGCATAACAAACAAAAATTAAATCAAAGACAATTTTAAACGATTATGAACAGAACAATTATTTAATGGAGTTTACCCTCGTGAATTTAGTTTCGTTAATAATCACGTGATTTTTATATCAGCATTATCAATTTCAATTGTATGATTGAATTTTACACAAAAATATATTTTCATCATTACACAAAATAAGGGGTTTCTTTATTTCTATTTTTTGTTGTAAATGATTTTAAACATACGTTTCAGATTTTGGATTAAGAAGAATATTAAAAAATCCAAAAAAGTGAAATATTTTGGAGTATTATCCTATGATGAAAATATATTGAAATTCTAAAAAGATAAATATTTCGGAGTATTTTAGTATATATTATCTGACATAGCCACTATCATGTGGTGTAACCAAAAGTTTCATTTCACAATTCTGCGAGCTACTTATCAACCCACTCTTTGGTAAATTATGGCAAAATATCACAATGATAATAACATAAAGAATTTTTATGAAATCAATTCAAATTAAAAAAAGCTAAAGAATTTTCCTAGTCCAAAATCAAATTTATACTAGTCGACTTCTAACCCTTATTTTTTTGCTAATTAATGTCCATAATATTAAGTGAAATGATTACCATATGATTGTTTCCCATAAATATCATTTAAATGTTATATAATAATTTAATGTCTTGATTAGGATTTATGATTAATTAAATTGGTTCCTAAAATAAAATAATAAGGGACCGAATTCGAATCCCAAGAATAATGCGTGTTACATGTTTACGTTATATGATGGCCACTTTTACATATTGAAATTATTTATTGTTTATATAATATATATATATATAGAATAAAAACTATTTTATGTGTTTCAATTAATAATGTCAAGAATAATTCTGGATTGTTACCCTTTACAGTGATGATAATAGCTCTATAAATAAATTTTTGGTTTATATTTAAATATTGTGTCGTCCTTATTTATAAAAAAAAAAAATTATTTCTCTGGTTTTCGTTCATTAGTAAATATGCCAACAAATATTTTCAATAAAACTTTATCTGAAGATAATAATGATAATGATGTCAGAAATAAAACCACATACAAGGTATATATATTATTTATAAATATTTTGAGTATAATTTTTTATTGGTGTGGTCTGTTGTGAACTTTACAGGCATTACAGGTATTACAGTGCTTTAAATTAATGCTTCTTTAATTTCTCTTTTTAATTTTCGCAGTTGATAAAAGTTTTTACTTCGATTAATTGGGAAAATCGTGAACATCAACAACTCTTTTTTAATATAACCAATTCTACCAATACGTCAACACTTACTCCGGTTTATTGTCGAGAAGTTATACGGTCTAAACAACAAAATTTATATTGGTATAATGCTGCTTTGAAAAAGGTTCCACGACAAAATTCGTCACAATCAGATAATGGAAATAATTCAACAAATGAATCATCTCTTCCCGTGACAATTTGGGCTATTCATCCTGCAAAATTAAAAATTTCGAAAGTTTTAAAATTGATTAAACGAAGGCCAAAGAAATTTAAAATCAGCTGTACGCAAACTGGCATACAATCATCCTTTGAATATGGCAGAGAAAAAAATGAACCATTAGGTTATTCAGGTGAAATAAATGTACCATTCGATGAATATTGTATACAGAGATTTCGTTGGGTAAGATATGGTGATGGTTCAAAATGGGTTTTCATTTTTAAAAATGATCCTCGAACTCCTTTGGCGGAATTTCGACGTACTTCCGTTGAGAATGAATTCAAAATTGTTTTTCTTGAGGATGCACCACCTGGTTGGAATTCAAAAACGGTAGAGCGATCAAATGGACCAGGATCTCCAACATTTCCATCTCCATCATATCCATCAGGATTCACGGTGGACAGTTTTTCACCAAGTATTTTATCCCAATATTCAGGATATAGCGAACCTACTTGGTCGAAAGAATCGAATAAATATCTTTCAGGAAGTATTAGTCTGATGAGTGCACCAATGAGTTTGATGAGTTTATCGAGTCCATTGAATTCAACATATAGTACTACCGACGATTTCTTTTATCATTATGATGATAACTCATTAAACACATTATGGCAAGAATATGTATTAGCTTCAACTGTAGCAATACAAGATGAAGTTAATTCAAGGAAAAATAGGTTACGAAAATGAAATGTTTTTTCTTTTTCATTTACAAAAATGATAGTCAATTCATTATACATATGTACTCTGTACATCATGCATTTAAACTTATCTTTATTTTATACTGTATTTTTATTATATTTTTTATTCTACAATAATTTTATTTCATACTTTGGTGAGGGTCATCTGATAATTTAATGTATTAATAGATTTAATACCTTCTCGTATTTGAACTGTATATAAATCAATTTTCTTTTTTTTTAATAAAGAATTTTAAAGCGAGATGCTTATCGCAGTTTTATTTATTAAATAATTATATCTCTCTCTCAAAACGTCAACTATATACATATATGATAAAACGATATCACATAAAGGTTATAAGATTAGATAATCTAGTTTTTATCTTGATCATATGATTTTACCGTTTTTAAAAGATCAAACGATTGCACGAGTGCATAATCTTAAAAATAAATACACATTAAGCTTTTTTTATCATAGAAATGGTTTGTAGAAAAAAAGACATTTGAAAGAGAAATTTTAATATTCAAAATGCAGAGTTATAAAGTTGATAAAGTTTTATAGTTTAGGGATAACCGAACCGAAATAAGTGAATTATTAATAATAAGTGAGAAAATTTTTAATAATGATAACAAGTGAGAAAATGAATTAAAAATGTAAACAGAGAAACGTAACTCAAGAAAGGAAAATTTTAATGAAATTTGAACGAATACAAAGTTTAGAAAAGTGTTACGAAATAAAAAGTTGTCGGGAACGAAAAAAATTGTTGTACAAAAAAAAATCGAATAATATGTATCACACCACGCATTTTCAATGTTTATTTCTCGTACAAATAAAAGTTATTTAATCCTGTTATCAACTCGTTTTATGGTCGATTCGATCTTACTACGACATTTTGTAAAATTTAAAATTTTGATATTTTTGATTATTTTAAAGAATATTTTCTTGATAATGAATATTTTTTGATAACGAATTTGATAATTTATATATTCATCTTTTTTTTTGCAGTATTTTATTTGAAAGTTGATTTTAAGTTATAGATTATAACAAGTGTAATAAACAGAAGAAGAAATCAAAAAAAAAACCTCATTACGGCAATAATTTTACCACGAGACACGTAGGACCAAGGTTGTACATTTTACATTTCCTAGAGCTTTTTTGATTGTCCATACTCTTAACTAGCTTATAAAGATATATTTAAACTTTATAGATATATGCAAAAATCAATTTTAAACAACTTTAATTAATGGCCTAAGTAGATTTTTTTTTAATATAATTTGCGTTATTAACGTTTAAAAAAAATAAGTACTGTCTCGTGATGTAGGACCTATTAATGCTGTTGTAATAGTAATTAGTAAAAAAAAAAGGTTCAAACTTTAATTTAACGAGAATGTATTCAATGTTTATGCTTTAACATGTTAAAAAAAAATAATAATAATTGATTAAATTTTGATTTTTTTTTTTTTTTGGTAGAAATGTCATTATAATAAATAAAAAAGGAAATGAAATTATTGTTAGACAATGCATAATATTTTGGACTAATCTTTATCTCTATCTCTATTGGCATACTGGTTTTGAACATGGTGTGTATGTGTGGTTCTTTATTTAATTAACGATCTCCGTATTTCGTATTACATATTACATATTTATTATTAAGAATATTTATCCGTATAATTTTTAGTTTATCTTTATCTATTGTTATGTCTTTTTTTTCTTATCTTACAATTGTACACAATACCCAACACCAATATTAATAAGTTAGTTATGATGAATTTTATGAAGAAAAAAAAAACATGACAGTAAATTCAATAAATAGTGTTTAACAGAAAAAGTGAAAAAAGAAATTGCCCAGAAGTTTTGAACTTGAATGAATACTTTTATAGAAATTTTTTATTTAAATTTTTGTAAAAAAAAAGGACGAGTAATACCGAATAAATAAATATCGGATAAATAGTGAATTGAGACTCTTTGATATAATATTAAGGTTACTGATGAAAAATGTTTACATCTATCGTACACGAATATTTTGGTGTTTATTATCGTACTCTTGTGACGATTTATGAGAATCAGTTCAGTATCGTGATTCGTTTTACGCTTGCATATTATGCATAATAAATCGGCATTAATTGTTATTATAATATTATAATATAATACTCTCTAATTTAAAATAAATAAATTTCCGTTATTCGCCGACGCAACAAATTTACAATAAATTGCAATAAATTACAGAAAATAGTAATTAAAAATGATTAAAAATGATTAAAAATTAAAAAAATTCAAATTAAAAAAATTCTAAAATTCAAAATTAGAGAATTCAAAAATTCCAAATTCCAAAAATAAAATTCCAAAAATAAAATTCAAAATTCAAAAATAATGATAAGCATTATGCAAAGTATCCAGTAATATCAGTAAAATGAAATTAAACGATCGATTACATTGATTACATTGTAGCTATTATATTTGTAAGTTTAGATTAACTTAATTAATAAAATGATTTAAAAATATTTAATAACAGATTGAAAATCTTTTCAATGAACTTTAAATCTTAAAAACCGTTTTCTTTCGTTTTAAAGGAAAGTTACAATATCAATTGTTATTTTGATTTTTGATAAATATTATTATTTGTTGATCCACATGATGATAAAAATATGTATTTTATGTTTCTATTTCCATCCAGATTTTACTCTATCATGTTATGTAGCATTTTGTTATTGTTCTTTTATTTGAATTCGGAATACCCGAGATAATCGTTTAACCAATTATGCCGTGCAATTAATGTAATTAATTAGAATAATATACATTAATATTTATTAATAATAAAATTGAAAAAGTCATGAATTGGTTAAGAAAAGATAGTAATAGATCGTAATCGCGTAACATTAACATTAATTTTTACGATCCAAAAAAAAAAATTGAATGACAAACTCTATCATCAATATAAACTTTATCATAAAATATATATAAAACTTTATCATAAAATATATATATAAACTTTATCATAAAATATATATAAAACTTGATCATTCATTCCATATTTGATCAAAAGAGACAGACCACTAAGATTTAATTTTTAGATGAAACATGAATGATGAATAACGTGGCATGAAAAAAAAAAATTAGATGAAAAGAAATCATTATAAGAAAATTTTTCTGCATAAACAAAAAATAAACAAAAAGGTTCTACGTAGAAATGTCAGATTTAACACAATCACTGCATTACTGAAATTCTTAGTTCATTGAACACACAGTTATTCCGAACGAATCATCGCACATATAATTGTGAGAGAAGAATGAACGAATATAATGCAAATAAAATAATCGGATAATTTTACTATTGCAATATTTATATTCAGAAAAAAATAATAATCTAAATAATAATTTAAATAATAATCTAATTCTAATTAGAAATTACTTTATAAAGTTTATTATTGTTTTTTACCAAATATCGATAAAAACTTCACTATCATGATTAAATTTCCTAATTTACTTAGCCTGTGTTTTAATCATTAATTAAATTAAATTGACAGTATCTCTGTTTATTGATTTGTTTTTCTAGGCAAAACAAGATTCAAAATTGAATTATAACTAATACAATGGAATTTATATATATATTATATATATATATATATATATAATAAAAACCAAGGATTTCGCGTAAAATATGGAACGTGTTCGACTCACGTGTTCATCATCTAACACCAGGCAGGTGTTGACATACACAATAATGAAGATAAGGGATTAAGTTTAGGTTCATAAAAATGCATGACCAATTTTTTTTAAATAGTTTAATGGTTTTAAAGTATTATTTTATACCTTAAATTTAAATATTATTCTTATTAAATTTAAATATTATTCTTATTAAATTTAAATATTATTCTTATTAAATTCAAATATTTATTCTTATTAAATTTAAATATTATTCTTATTAAATTTAAATATTATTTATTATAGAAATAATCCCCTTAACATTTTGCATTTATTTTGCAGTATTTATTATGATTTTATTAAAATCTTCTAAAATCTTCTTCGTTTAAAAATAATAATAATAACTTTAAATTTAATCTGAAACCTATTCTTTAATTCTTATAAATTAGTTAAATTAGTGATCTAATTCGTGGGAGTTTACAGTTTTGCAGCGGTTTTAGTGACAGTTGTAATACGTGACAAACATGACAAAATAATAATGTAAGGGTCATTTTTATATTTTATTGGTTTTTTTGTTTTTATTTGTTTTTTTTTAATGCCTTATCTGTGTAATATAGTATATATAGATAAATTTTTGCAAATTTTATTTTGAGTAAACATAAACATTTGATACTGTATATATATATATATATATATTCTTATATAAAATTTTTGATCTAAGTAATAAAATAAAATATTTTCCAGTCTATTCTTTGAAGTCTAAAAAATATGTGATACATGTAATGTAATGTATGCATAGTTTATCATGAATTTAAAAATTAACAAATTCGGATATAACTTGTCACGTCGACGGTCTTTGGCGAAGAAAAACGAAAGATAGATTTTACTATTTTGCTATATAAAGTTATTCGCTTTTACATTCAAATGCCTGGTTTTTTCTTTGTTCGAAAAAGGTAAATCTTATCTTATTATCTAATATATTTATAATTACGATTGAATTATTTATAATTATTTATGCATAGCATTTTTACTTGACACACATATTTCTCTATCCCCCCCTTATAATATAAATTTTACTCCTTATTAATAAATAGTAACAGAATATTAAATTATATAATATGTCTTATGTAGCACGTGGATAAAACTCAATTTCAATTTCAAAAAAAAAAAAAAATAAAATGAGCTCAATAATTCGTTTTGTACAAAGGACCCTGTAAATTCCATGCATAGAATCAAAATAAATAATGAAATTTTAAATTTTAAATTTGTTATCTATTGTGGTTTTTATTATTATTATTTTTATGATTAAATAAATTTGTTTTTATTTATAATTGCGAATTTTCTCACTAATTTCAAAACAAATCTTGAAATATATTCATTATAGTTCATTGTATTCTTTTATCGAATTAATTTACATCATGAATATCATAAAATAAATTATTAAATAAATTATAAATTTTTTTATTATCGTACAAAGCATTCGTCCACAGGAATTGTTTGACCACACAAGTATGGACCACTACATGTACTGTTCGTTTAAAAATAATGATAAGGAATTAAGATAAAAAAAAACGACAAATATACAGTATATTTTTATACATTATTAAAATATATTATAATTATTATTTATTTATCGTATGTACGTTATTATTTTATAAATTTTGTTTATTTATTAACTTTCACAATATATATAAAATCGTCCAGAATTCTTTTTCGAGTGTAGCTTTTTTTTCGAAATCTCATCTGCTACTTTTATTATAATTATATACGCTCCTTTTTTTTTTTTTTTTTAAACAATAAATTTTTTTTAATAATAAATAATAGAATTATTTCATTACCTAACTGCAGATTTTCGTCAGATTTTTTTTTTATAAATTTATAATATTATAAAACTTTTATTATATTTTCATAATTATTTTATTATAAACAAATATATTTCATACAAAAAAAAATAAATTCATTTCATTTACATTTACTAACATATCGACCGCATCTTTTCGCATCTATTTTCGCATATCATTATGGCAACATCACCAACTACTAGTTCCCCAAAAAATCAACCCCTCGCAAGTTCTTATATAAAACCACATAAAAATTTTACGTTTTCTTTTGCTAATGAATCCAATTCTTTTCAACAAGGAGTATTGGGTGATTCTGATAGTTATTTAGAAGGAAATTTACATTTAAGATACACAAAACCTAAATTAATTAGAAGTGTAACTTTAGATTTTAAAGGTTTTGAAAAAACTTCATGGTATAAAGCTCAAGCTAGAACCAAGGCGGTTTATTCTGGTGACCAAATTTTAGCAGAAAAAAGTGAAGTAATTTGGGATAATTCAAGGGAACAAAGTGTTACAGAATTAGATATTCCTTTTAAAATCTTTCTTCCTTATAATTTACCTGAAACGGTTGTTACAGAAATTGGTCAAGTTAATTATATCCTTCGTGCTACAGTTAATCAAAAAGGTTCAATAATTACTTCATCATCTCAAATCGTTGAAATACAATGTCCACTTAAAAGAACTTTAATGTTAGATACAACAAATGTTTCAACTTTTAAATTACGTGGTGAATCAAGAAGTGGAATTGATTACACTTTCACTTTACCTCCCAATAAAAATTTTAATTTGGGAACGTATGTATCAATTCCCATGAGAATAAGATTTTTACGTCCAGGAGTTAGTGTTGAAAGAATTGAAATTGCATTAAAAACATGTATGGATTTTAGATGTTCTAATCCTAATGAAACGCGACATCTTAAAGAAACATCAGCGACATTAATTGTGCCTAGACAAGAAATTGTTTATTTACAATCAAATTCACCACATTATGAAGGTGAATGCATTCATACAATTAATTTATTTGTTCCTCGAAGTGTTCAACCAACATATTCTGGTCGTTTTATAAGTATTACACATCAATTTTGTATAAAATTTTGTTTATGGGGAGCAGATAAAGATTTTCAAGTAGAAGAAAGTGTTAGAGTTGCAAATATTTATGAAAATAATGGTAATAACAATAATAATAATCAAATCATCAATAGTAATGATAATGATTTATCTTTCTCTACTCCTCAATCATTACCAACACCACCACCACAATTTAATTCGCCACAATTTAATCACAATAATAATATTTCACCATTTCAATATAAACAAATTTCTTCTCATAGTGATAAAACATTATCAACAGCATATTCTGTTTACGATGCTTATGAAGATGATGAAAATCCTTATCTATCACCTATTTCTCAATTTAATAATAATAATATTAATAATAATAATAATAATATCAATAATAATAATAATAATAATAATAATAATAATATTTATGATGATCAAAGTAATGAAATTGTTAACTTTAATCAATATAAAGAAAATAAATTAGGTTATCATCATCAATATACAAATCTTCAACAACAACAAAGGCAACAACAAAAACAGAAACAACAATTTCAACAACAACAACAAGTTCAACAACAAATTCAACAACAAATTCAACAACAAAGACAACAACAACAACAACAACAACCAAGACGTTTATCAACGTCATCATCTTCAAATTCGATGCTGGAAACTCTACCATCATTTCCTTATGATGGAGAGTTATTTGATGGGTATGATCATCAAATTTTTTCATCTTATTTTGATGATGCATTAAAATTAAGTGATGATAATATTTATCATCAAAATTATAATAATGATTTATTGTTAAACCGAAAATTAAAATTATTAGCAAATATTTACCATCAACACCAACAACAACTTTTATATCAAAATAAAAGTCCTATATATATAGCTCCAAAATCTCCACCTATGACTCCAACTCCTCCTCTTTCGATGGTTAATATGTACAAGGAAATGTTACCTGGATCTACTACTCCTACTTCTTCTGCTGCTTCAATTAATTCCACTACCGCGACTGACCGTTCTTCTTCTCAGAATTCTTCCAAATTACCTCCTTACGAACGATCTCATCTGATGACTTTGGAAAGATCTATTACTCCAAGTACTATGGAAAAAATTCATTATAATCAACATAATAATTCTACTTTACAACAACAACAACAACTGCAACAACAACAATTTTTGCTACAACAACAACAACTACAACAACAACAACGACAACAACAATATCACTTGAAGCAACCTCAACAACAATATAGACCTTCAACTCCCGCTTCAAGATCTATAAATAATGCAAGTCCTTCTCCGAGATCTAAAAATGCAAGTCCTTGTCCTTCTCCGAGGCCTTCCCCGAGGCCTTCCCCGAAGCCTTCCCCGAAGCCTATGAATAATCCTCCTCCTTACCGTAATTCTCCTCAATCTCATCAATATGTTGAGGCTTATACCTGTAATTTCGATGAATAAATCTTGTTTATTTTATTTATTTACCTTTTTTTTTTTCTTCTTCTTTAATTTGTATTTATTTTTTTAATTGTAAAATTTTTATTTTTTTTAATATATATTTGGTAGGGCAAAATTTTTTTTGAGAATTTCTATCCGTTTCTTTCTTTTCCTTTTGTTTTTCTTTTTTTTTATTTGTATATAATTTGAATTTTTATTTACTTCCATTTTTTTCATTTTTAATTATATGTTGTAATTTTATTATAATCTATTTTATCAATTTATCTCTTTCTTTTTTTTTTCTTTTCTTTTGATAATCAAAATGCATTATTATTTATTCAAGTATTATTAAATATAAAAAAAAAAATAGATGGACATTTTTTTCGTTAATTGGTATTTCGGGTAATACCGTTAAGAAAATTATTTCCGGCAATGATTTTGAAGTATCTCAAATATTACTACATATAATCCTTCGGGTAGTATACAAAATTATTATTATTTTTTGCATTCTATAGAAAATATGCACAAGAAGAAGGAAAATAATGATAAATAATATTAGAGACAAGGAGGGGAAGGAGGGGGGAGAGAATTAGAAACCCTTTTTTTGTTTGTTTATCATTAGACAAAATTGAGTTTTGTATAATGATAATCATTTATTCAATATATGATATATAAATGACAAAATAAATAATAATAATAATAAAAAAAGCTTCAAAATGATATTTTACATTACATTTTTATTTTATTTTCATGGAATTATATCGTAAAAAAACTTTTAAGTGTGGGACATGTAACATGAAACAGAGAACAACACAATGATTACATAACCATCCATCGTGACTAATCGGAATAGATATTAATAGGTCAATTTTGCATTTCGAAATTTCAAAATACTTCGATATCATTGACACATTTACTGTGCATGGTTACATGATACATATAAGAAATCATGAGTCATAGATATGATTAAAAAAAGAAGAAATTTGTGCTCTTTCATTTAAATTATTCCTTATTTTATTCTAATAATAATAATATTCTATGTATAATTATAATGCTCTAACTATATTTTAAACCACATTTTAACCAACATTTTAAACCACAATTTAAATTAATCTTTTTATGGTTTTATTTTTTTTCGAAGAAATAAAAATGGGTTGATTTTTTAATTAACACCTGCGTGGAAATTTGAAAATCAACCAAGAAGGAAATCTAGGTAACACATAATTGGAATTGTTTATCTTGTTTATCTTGTTTATCTGTCCTACAAATTTCCCAAAACATGCTTGCATCTTGCTTAAAAATTTCTTTGACTCTTCTACCTGTTCAACTGGTAATTTAAATTGATCGCCTGGGAAAAATCGAAGCATGGCTTTGTTGAAATCTGCAATGTAACAATTGTAAATAGTCAAAAAAAATAGAAATTTTTTTTTTGTAAAAAAAAAAAAAAAAAAAAGAAAATCTGGAATTTTAGTAATTTTAGTAATATTGGGTGAATAAATTTTTAACTGATACCAATAGATAACGAAGATAGAGTTAATCAAGATTACTTCAGGAAGTAAAAACTATTTTAATTTAAATTAATAGCAAAGAAAGAAATAGATATCAACCATGCATTGTTCTAATATAATGACATTTCCTTATCGGTATGTTTCCTTATCTATGTTCCCTCTCTACGTTCCAAAAACAGAATTTGACACATTACGATACGAATGCATGAATGCATGAATGCATGAATGACAACACAAGACGTATGATTTATTGATAAGTCTTATAAATAATTACACTTGGTGTCGTACCTTCGTACAACATTAAAGTTTTTCCATAAATTATGCATAAATTATGTGATTTGTGGCTTCCGAATTTTATTTTTTTTAAATCATTTTTTTTTTAAAAAAAAAGAAGTAAAAAAAAATTTTGGATTCCACTTGATTTACTTGATTTGATTTGATTTCAAATATTCAATTTTTTTTTTTTTATAAATTTTTTTTTTTTATATTTTTTTATTAATCGAAATAAATGGTTCCACCACTTCCTCCCGAAAGTATGAAAGAAATTCTAGAATACTTAAATGATGATATGTCGGCATTATATTCCTGTGTATTTGTCAATAAACAATGGGCTCAGGTAGCTTTAGAGATTTTATGGAGGGACATTTCGAAATTTAGTGAACAATATATATTCAGTTATTCAGCACCAAAAATAATTTCTACTTTATTATCTTGTTTACCTAAAGAATCAAAAAACATTTTAAGAAATCGAGGATTAAAAATACCAATATCCACCAAACAACCTTTCTTTAATTATTCTGGATCATGTAGATATTTAGATATTTCACTTATCAACAAAATGATTGATCTAATGGTAATTCCAATTAAATCATCAATTAAATATAATAACAATAACAATAATAATAATAATAATAAAATAGGTAAAAGATCAAATGCTGGATTTATTGATAAATTTACCAAATATCTGGTTAAACAAGAACTTTATAAAATGTTTATCGATCAATGTCGAACTTTGAAGAGACTTGAATATCGAGATAAAGACATTTTACTTCCATATTTTAATAATTCTGAAATATGTTTATCAAATTTATCTGAGTTACATTGTAATACCACATTACTTCCAGGAACTTTTTATCAATTAGCATCAATTTGTAAAAGTTTGGAAAAAATAATCATCGAAGATTGTTCTTCGGATAATGAAGGATTAGCTACTTTAATTGAGATTCAAAATAATTTAAAATCTTTGAAAATTATTACGAAAGGAATTTCTTTTGGTAAAGGAAAATTTTTAGGGGTAGGACGATTTAATAAGAATGATCTTAGTTGTAGATATTCAAAAATAGCGACAGCCATTTCATCACAATCAAAAAGTTTAATACATTTTCATGTTGGAGGGAAATTATTAAAAGCGATTCCACCCGAGAACATTTCTTCCTTATTAAATTTACAATCTCTTACCATCACATTTCATGATGATATAGAGAATATTTTAAAATTATCAATATTTCCTAAACTTAAAGAATTAAAATTAAAATTAATACCTCAATTGGAAAGTGTAATTCAATTTATTTCAAGAACTGAAGGATATCTTGAAACTATTTATTTTGAAATTCCTTGTGTTTATCCATTTACTCAAATTCCTTTATTTAATCAAACGGTAGCAAAATATTGTCCAAATTTAAAATATTTAAACACATGGTTCTTTAATTTAGACGTGAAAGAATTTAAACAATTATTTATAGCTTGTCCAAATTTAGAAACTCTATCTGTAGCAAGTTATAAATATGATGAAGAAACATATGAAGCACATATTAATGAATTTTTGGAGATATTGGAAGAATTAGAAATCGATTTGAAATTAAAATCCAATCTTTGTAAGATAGAATTTTATTATTCTTGGGGGATCGATGTTGATGTATTAGAAGCATTCTTATGGAAAAGGAAAGAAAGAAATCAAGAATTAGATAAATCTCTTCAACAACCTTTGTTATCTTTTTATTTTCACAGTTCATTCATTTTTAGATCTGATGTTGATTTCGCTGATTATTTGGAATTAAAATTTAATCAATTTAAACGAGAAGGATTAGTTAAAGATTTTGGAATCATGAAATATGATGGATTCAAATGATTTCAACAAACATATTTATTACAATATATAATTTATTTTCTATATTGTTTTTTTAAACATTATTCTTATTTGGTCTTGATAAAAAAAGATGTCGGATAATGTGATGGGTTGAATAATGTTGAGTCAAATAATTCAGGATTTCGTTTTCTTTAATTATAATAGTGACTATATCACATTTGTGAGGATTTCAAATAATTTTTTCTTTTTTTTTCTTTTTTTTTTTATGGTAGGTTTAAAAAAATTCTTTTCTTTTTGTATAATCTTTATTATCACATTCGATCCATAATTGTTACTGTGTAACAACTGTAAATTTTGTAAATTTCGCTAATGATAATAAAAACAAAAATAAATTTTATCTCACTATATTAAGCGTATAATAAACTAAAATATATCATCACGTGATTTAACATGCATTAATGATATAAAGAATTACTTCAATATTGATTTAAAATTTCCGATCCATTAAAATAATAACACAAAATGAAAATAAATCATGTTTAACTGATGTTATATTTAACATGCATGACTTGATCATAATTAGGTGAACGAAGAATTACCCACAAATCAAAAGTTTATTGTTATGTGTCAAAAAAATATGAAATAGTACAACAAAATATATTAAATTCTAAATGACAAATGTAGATATCAAAATTTTAATCTAAATGACAAATGCAAAATGCAGAAAAAATGTATTATTCTATTTATCTAAATGCGTATGATTGTATGTATTATAGAATACTATAGGCAATGAGATATCCGTACCAATATTACATTTCAGAGAATTGAAGCATGTTATGTTCCTTTCATCATCATCGAGAATAAATGGAATGATTGCTTCCAACCCATCGCTACGATCAGTTTGGCGTCTTTCTATCCTCGGAGGAATTTCTGCAAATCCTGTTGGAGTAATCGCATTTGTAGTAGAGGGATTTTGATGAATAGTGAATCAGCGTGAATATTCTAATTGTAGTTGAGATTTAATAGACTTTTCAAAAAGAAATTGAGAATTTTTGTAATAATTAAATATTAATTTTATTGCCAAGTTGTTACGACAACAATATGAAAGAAATAAAAGATTTTATGAAATTTCTATTTAAAATGTCGAAACTTAAAGCAAATTCTTCACTATTTATAATGTTAAAACAAATTCTTACCATTAACAGTTATATTGTTAATAAATAAACTAGCTCCAGAATATAAAGAAAATATATATCTGCTAAAAATTTTGCTTTGAACTGTCAAAGACGCGAACAAATAAACTTATAGAAGGCCAATAAAAATGCATAAAAAAAAAACATAAACTCGCTATATAAAGATTTGTATAATAACTTTGCTAAAATAAACTTAATTGGTTTATAAATAAATTCCATAATAAAGTAAATTTTTGAATTAAATAAATCTTATATTAGAAGTTTTAAATATGTAACCATTTTTATTTTTAAAATTACGTGAATTTGACGTAAAGAAAAATTCACTTTTAATCATTTAGCATTTAATATTTTTTTGTATTATTTCATATTTTTTGACAATCAACCCAACGTATAACGAATCTCCAGACCTTCGTTATAAAAAAATTCGTTAATGTTATAACGAAAATCCATAAAAAATTCTTTATAAATTTATTATTTTCTAATTTTAGGTAATTTCATTCACCAAATTCTTTATATACAGTATTTGATACTATTTATACTCTGTTTCAAGCTTCCAAATGAGTTATTATCGTATGAAAATAATGCCAAAGTCGGCTTCGTTATGCCGAAAAAAAAAATTCGTTCTAAAATTCGTTCTAAAATTCGTTACGTGTTCACCTGGCTAATATCGTACTAAGTAAATTCGTTTACATCATATTTATGAAGAAATTCGTTATATCAAAATTCGTTGTACGAAGTATATTAAAAAAATCTGATTTAGTAATAAATATTATACGAATTTGGAAACTTAATAAAATCCATGATACAGATGCGTTTTAGAGCAGAAAAATGTAAGGAAAAAGAAATTATCGATAAAGAATTACAAGAATAAAGTAGTTATCATCAAATCGTACTTATCAATATACAATTATAAAATCTGAAACTCATTTCTTTTGAATATATTTTTTTTTTATATGTAATGAAATCTTTTTTTTAAAAATACACTTTGCTTATATAATAGTGTTATTTGATGAAATGAATTTCTTTTTTCTTAAAATAGATCCCAGTTTAGACTTTTATTCTAAAACCCTATATAAATAAAATTTTAAAGTTTGATAACACGGGGATTCATAGGAGACCCATAAATTTATCCTTATACTGGATCACATGATTTGAAATGTACAAAACATTTAAAATTGAAAAGTTATTTGATATAGAGAAAGATAAATTTAATTGCCAATCCGCCAATGGTACAGTCATAGTTTGTCAAAAATTTATTAATAATATTTAAAAATAAATATTTTATAAGTGTTAAGATACATATTCAAGAAGGGATCACAATAGTTACACATTTAAATTTTATTCTATCAAGTTATTCACTATTATCTAAGACAATTTCGAAAATAGCGATAAAAATAAAAAAAATTAAATTTTCGTAAATTGAGCATTTTTTATAGGTTAATCTTAATCGATAGAAATTTCACATTTTTTGAACCACTTTTTCTTAGAAGATAATATTAATAGATGTTTTGAATTATCTATATATTGATTTTTAGATTTATAACTAATACTTTTATTGAAGAAAAAAATTGTGACGGGAATTTGGTATAATTTTGACTAATTGACAACATTTAGGAATAGTTTGTAAATTTTTTTTGCATTGTAAATATTATATTAGATGTTTGGAAAGGAAAAGCCTAATCTCAATGGTTTTTTGAGGAATTTACTATATGCGAATCGGCAATTAAATATTTAATTTAACAGAAATATATTGCAAAATAACAAAGCTTTCTAAAATATAAGGAAGGACAATCAACTCTATAATCAACTTGGATGTTACCATTCTGTGTAAAATTTTATTCAGGATTATAAATCTAATTTGATTTTATTTCCCATAAATTAGCTTTAAAAAGGGTATTAATATTTAACGATTATATTATTATTATTTGAATAAATAGAAAATTATAATTAATAAGAAAGATAATTTATTACATTACATTAACTAAGAAAATGTGTTCTAATAATACTGATAAAGATGTAAATTCTATTAAGATGCTCAAATGACATTATCTAAATGAGAAATATTGATCCAACGACAACTATAACACCAATTATACCAATTGGAATGGATAATTTCTTTGAACTATTATTATAGTCGTATGTAGAATTATTTCCGAAAGTTGGTGAATCTGTAGCTTCAGGATTGGAGGAAGGCGAACCTGAGGAACTTTGAGTACTATTACCTTGTGGGCCATAACCTTGTGGTGGCCACGTGAAACTAGTATCTTGTTCTGTTAAAAAATAAAAATATAATTTTAATTTTGTTTATAAATTAATTATCAGGAAACTTTTAAGGTAGGTTGTTTACATACGAAAACATGTTATGTTGACCCAATCAACCGCCATTGTGTACATTTTATTTGGATCACTCCAATCAGTTGGTGTGCCGGCCCAATCGGCAGTACCTTTAGCTCCTTCACCACCATCCCATAAGGAGAATGAAATTCTGGATGGTTCAGATGGATATTTGTACACTTTGGCACCCTGATCATAAGTTGATTCCTTTGTCACTTGACGTACGAGCTTACCATCGACATACCAGCTAATTTTAGAAATTATTAATAAATAACTTAAAAATTAAAAACTAAAAAAAAAAAATATATATTTTTTTAAAAAAATAAGAGATGAATGTTACCTGAGTAGTTCAGGCTGCCAATCAATTGTATAAGTGTGAAAATCTTTTGAGGCGTCAGCGCCAACTGGGATTTTTTCTCCTTTGGTATAATCTATTACCCCATGCCAGTAGTAATTTGTTTGTACCTCGTTGGTATTTAAACCTACCCATTCCAAATCAATTTCGTCACCGATGGTAGAGACAGTCTGCAATTGTGAATATTTATGTTATTGTTATGAATTTATTAAAATTATAAAAATTATTGACAAGGTAAATCTTCTTACATTATTTGAGACGACAAACGAGCTGACAACACCCAAAGATGAGGAACCGGATTTAATACGTGCTGTTACAGTTCCGTATAACATCCATCTAATAATTATTATAAGATATTGTGAATTAATTATAAATTATCGATACCCCATTTGGATCCATGCTAAAACTTACCGAGTTGAACTAACAGTAGCGCCAAACCCTTGATAATTTCCAAATTCATTTTTCTTAGATGTATCTAACTTCATATTTAATAATAAATTGTTACCATCTGTTGCCGAATTATCTGGTGTGAAGTCTGAAGTCCAATCAGCCTCGTTAGGATCTCCAGTAAAATCTGCAAGTTTTTTGATTTTAAGACTGGTGAAATCATCATAGTAGTTAATGCAAGGTGGTTGGGGATAACATGACTTATTACTATAGGAATTTAATGGTTCACATCCTATTTCATTAAAAGTTAAAAAGTTAAAGATCAATTTTGATTCTATCATTGATTTACATGCTTAAAAAACGGTTAACTTACCACTTTGAAATTAAGGATTGAGGATTATTAGAATTGTTGAAGAAAAATCAAATAAAATAATTAAAATAAAATAATTTTTTGAAAAAAAAAAATTTAAAGAAATTTGAAATTCTATACATACGTTAAACAGAATCTTTTAAATTAAAATTATGAAAAAAAAAGTACAAAATAAAAAAAATAAAAAAAGTTAGAAATAATTTTTAATAATTTAAATATAAAAAAAAGAATAAATTCAGTGCGTTACTTTATATCATTAGAACACCATCCTTTATTACAACAAGGACTATCTTGAGGGCAATTTGAGCCATAATGTTCACAGATTGCATTTACATGAACGGAAAATACAATTAATCCTATTATTAAGACAATTGATGTTTTCTACACAAGTTAACACACATATAATTTAAGTTTGGTTAATTCATGTACGCGATATCATTTACCAATTCAGAGATGTTGATATATTAAATCACCTTCATATTTATATTTAGATAAATTAAAGTGGTGGAATATGTTCTTGCTGTTTCGAAATTAATGATAAAAAATTGAAATAAAAGAGTATAATTGATGAATTATCCACCTTATACAAAAATGAAAGGAAAGACTTATGATACGTTTATGAGAAGAAAATAATAAGAAACGACAAAAAACAATTTTGACGAAATTTTAACATGTTGGCACTCTATAACTAGTCATCTTCTAACCATATGAACAAAATTAATAATATTACGTTCATTAATTTGAAAATCTTTTAATAAACAAAATTCAAATTTGGTTGGATATCAAATATGACTTATGGCGACACTCTGTCCTTGAATGGAATTCATTTTACAGTAGATTTTATTTTATCCAATTTTATTCTTTCCATATATAACTTTTATATTTACTATGTTATTAAGGAGCCGTTAAAAAAAAATCGATTTATGAATTAGTTTTCATGTGACTTTTAAGAAATCCACTGTGAATACAGAATATAATTCTAAAAATATTCGCTACTAGACTTTTCTGAAAGTGAACCATCTTTTGAAGGAATATCAATCGAAGCGTCACAATTTTATTAATAATTTTAGTTATTGACAAAAATAGTCATATAAATAGTTGCATTGGCATACAGACGGAATTTAATTTTAAATTTCTCGGTTGGAAATGCTGAGACGTTCTGAACCAGATTTTCAGCATTTTTTTTTTGACCTAATTTTTCTGATAACATCTTAACAAAAAATAAATAATTATAGATTATGATAATTTATATATTTAATATCTAGATTCAGACAATTTTCAAAATATAACAATATAACTTGTCTTGTTGTAGAAGTCTTTAATGCGAAGAGATTATTATTAATTATAATTATATTAATTATACTCCTTGTACTTGTTAAGCTAACTAACAAAATTCCAAACTGTTGTGTAAGATTGGCACTAAATCATATATTAAAAAAATACATATGATGGTGATGGTTGATATTTCACCAAACCGCTGGATAAGTTGAAAGAGGATAAGGTTACTTTACTGAAATCATTGTTTTCAGTAATATTGATGCTTTGCCCATTAATCGTGATCAAAAACCGTGAACACCGTTCACGATCAAAATCATGTGATTTCAAACTTTCTCGTTCCCACATCTGAACATATCCGTATCTTATATAAAACAATGGCTTTAGAAGGACATGAAACCAGAATCATAAAACTAGAACAGGGGAAAAAATATTACTAATGTTTCACAATCTTCGGTTAATACCATCTTCACTGAAACAGAAAATTCTAATGATACTTCTGCATCCGATATATATGACAACACTTCAAATTCCGATATTTCTGAACAGATAGATAGCCAATGTTCTACATCTCCTATTTCCTCCGAAATAAATTCTAACGATACTCCGGCATTTGATAATGTTTCGAATTCTGATATACACCAGAAGTCAGAGACTCGATGCTCCGCATCACTTATCTGCACAGAGTCTATATCATTAGAAGAAAAGGAAGAAAATGATTTCATGAATTTGAAAAATAAGGAACAGGTTAGTAAAGAGATTATTCGGAGCATTAAGGAGAAGAAGCTCCGGGATCAAGTGGCATCTTTGGGAAAACAAGACACTTCTTCAAAAGAATTACTTCTTCAAAAGAATTGATGTCACTTTTATCACCAGTGGAAGCTGGTACATACGTGCCAAGTTTAATGACTGAAGTTGTACAAGGTTTGTTACAAGGATTTTTAGTAAATTCTATAGAAGATAATATCGAATTTATTAACAGCCCACCTGGTGCAGTCGAGCTTACTCATTTGTTATATCAAGCATGTAAAGTGACAAAAAAACTCTATCAAAACTAAACGGGAAGAAAAATGGATTCTACTGTACTGTACTGAAGATAATGGTGAAGATTCATTTTTAATTCATAATTTGTTAGATTTTCTAACAAATTGTATTGCTTCCTTAGTTGAAAATAATGTGAATTTGCAAGATAATCAAAATTTTTGTCAGAAAGATGGTTCTTTAGATGCAAAGCAATTGTATTCATAAAACTGTCTTTTGTTCCAGTTAGGTCATTTCCTTGTGGCAAATCTGCAGTAACTATACAAAGTCCTTTTTTATGAGGTATTCTATATTATTAGCCCTTACTAGAATATCAGAATGTTCTTGAGGAATAATAGAATTTATGTTATATTTACTTCTTGTATTTAGATTGTTTCTTCTTTTTTCTATTTCTAACTATAGACATATTTATAGTAGTTTTGTTAACTTTCCAACAGTAAAACAAAGTGTGTAATTTTTGTATCAAATATATGAAGGAAATGACTTGGCAAACAAAAGAAACATATTGTAGTGAAGTTAGAGAAGCAAATTCTATATCCAATCTATAAATTGATTATCAATTTTTGATTTTTTCTCAAAAGAAGCTTTGATTGTTTTCTGCAAAAGAGATTCACTAAAGTGATGAAATAGTTGAAATAATAATTTAAATCTGTAATATTCATCAAATTTTACAGATCTATAAGTTTTATATAATATTACACTAGAGTTTTAGTATTGCAGAATCTTCTCAAAACTTAAAAACAACTCTATAGTCTTTGATATTATTTAAATATCAAGATCTCTGTAAGAACCACACCATTCTCCTTTCAAACTTGAGCTCCTGCAAGACTATATTTATAAAAGGATTGGTTTGTAATATATAACTAAGAGATCAAATTGTATTTTTAAAGAGCTTTGTTACATTTTACAATTCTCTATTGTAGTATCCACAAAATTAAATTATTCACTCAAATTTATATTTTTAGTTAATTTCAACTAAAAATCTTCCAATTCTGAATTAAATAAAAACAACTTATTTTGTTCATTAAGGCTGAAGTTTTTATTTTTATTTTATTTTTTTATTTTCATAGCTTTGATTTTTTTTTTATTTTCATAGTTTTGTTTTTTTTTTTTGGTAAAAATTCCATTGCCCATCATAAGTAAAAAAAATACAAACTATCATATCATAATGAATTTTAATACACGCAGCAAATGATTGTTGATTAGTAGTAACGGAATGGTTTATGATTTCTTGCAAAGTCATCAGCAGCAGATGTAACAAAGTATTTTGAATATGGATATTGACATATTTTAATATAAAATTATATTATAATAGTAAATTCTCTGTCTGTTACAGAAGAATTGCTATAATAAAGAATGTCAACAATAAGAAAATGAATGAATAGGATTAAGATTAATTAATATGTAAATTATATGTTCATTACAAATATAACCATTATAAATACAGGAGACAAAAGTTAAGTCAGTTTCACATTTTAAGAATGAAAAAAAATGGTTATTTTTTTTAGACAAAAGGAAGAGAAGAAATCTAAATTTTTCATCTTTTTAAAAAAAAGCAATCAAAGAGTAAAGGTTTGAAAGTAAATAATGATTTTCAAAATAATTAAATGAACTTTGCTTCTTTAAAGATATATATTTTTGTTTTTGTTAATAAAATTAAAAAATGTGCGAATTATCAAAAAGCTTGTGAAATTTGTATTAATTAACAAAGTAAAATGCTATTAAGAAAGATTTCTCTTTCTTTCCTGAATGATTCTGGGAAAATAATAAAATAATAAAATAAATACGTGAATTCAATCAGCGCGAATATACATAAACTGCGTGTAAAAAATAGAAAGGGTGGCTGAGATAGAAATTCTCATCAATTATTGGTCTAAGCCATCACAAATAAATAACAAAACAGGTTGTTATTCATGTATTTTACTACATTGTTCTTTCTCATAAAATTAACAATATCAGTTGAGTGGAAAAAAATTAAATGTATTAACAATAAATTGTTGTTATATTAATATTGTAATATCGTAATAATAACAATTTATTAATTATAAAGAAGAGATGAATGCAAAGATGATAGCACCAGCAGAAATTATTGTTCCTAAACTGAGTAAAGAATTGTATTTATGTTCTCTAAGACCAGCACTAAAAGATCTTTTACTGCGCAGAATAAAACCGTTAAAAGAAGAAAAGGAAGAAAAAGATTCAGATGAATTTATTATCAAAGCAGAAAATGATTCATTTAATATAATTAATTCAAATAATTATAAAAAAGATGAAGAAAAAGAAAACGAAGAATCGAATGCTAAAATAATATTAATTAATGATGAATGGCCGAATATTTCTAAATTTAACGTTGATAAATATTTTAAAATTTTAAATAAATCGAGAAATTATTCTTTAAATTATGAATTTGAGTTTGGATCAATTGTATTATATGGTGAAGTTGTAACAAGTACTCAAACATTGCTTGATAAGTAAGTAAGAAAGAATGATTATTCTTTATTAATTGATTAATTGATTAATTAAAACCTTTCGATTATTAATTATTATTATTATCTTTAATTTATTCTAGAAATGTAAAATTAACCCAAAAATTACCCAATGGATTTGTTACATTAGCTGCACAACAAGTTGAAGGACGTGGTCGTGGTAAAAATACATGGATATCACCTCCGGGATGTTTACTATTTTCATTTGTCATGAGACATTCTCTAAATAATAAAGCAGCTCCAGTTGTGTTTATACAATATCTTTTATCATTAGCTGTAGTAGAAGCTGTGAGAACAGAACCTTCATATAAGGTATTCGTTTCAATTAAAAAATAATAACCATAATTAATGCGTGCGTAATTTACTTATAATATTTTTATAATATTTTTATAATATTTTTTTATAATATTAGGATATTCCTTTAAGACTTAAATGGCCAAATGATATCTATGTTGAAAAATTTAATGATTCTTCAAATTCACCAGAACTTGTCAAGATCGGTGGAGTTCTTTTAAATTCACATGTCTTTGAAAATGAATTCTTGCTTATTGCAGGTATTTCTTTAACCTTTAATTAATATTCTTTAATTATTAATATAATTCATTACCCTTATTTCCCTAATTTTATTTTATCTTTATCATATTTATATCATATTTGTTTATAGGATGTGGTGTCAATTTAAACAATTCATCACCTACTACTTCAATTAATCAATTAATCACTACTCATAATCAATCACATTCTGATGACATCAAAGAATTAATCTCTCAGGAAGAATTGTTGGCATCAATTCTGGTGAAATTTGAATTATTTTATAAAGAATTTTGTGAAAATGGACGTGGATTTGAACCATTCTTTGATATTTATTACAAGAGATGGTTACATAGGTAAAATATATGTCTTCATTAATTAGAATGATTTTTCATAATTATTCATAAATTATTCATAAATTATTATTTATTAATAGTGATCAAATTGTAACATTGGAAACTCATAAAAATCAGAAAGCAAAGATTCTTGGTATAACAAATGATTTTGGATTTCTTAAAGCTCTTATAATAGACACAAATGAGATAGTTGTCTTGCAACCAGGTGGAAATAGTTTGGATATGATGAAAAACATGATCATACACAAGATATAATATTTATATTTAATATATTTAATATTTTATTTACACTATTTATTTGTATTTATTAAATGTATTTATTTTTTTAATGTTGATCTTTATTTCAAATATAATAAACTTGATAAATTTATTAATATATTTAATATTTAATAAACGCCGGGAAATATTTTCCATCTATTAGGCCATTTTTCGCCAAATCTTTCTATACCCCATAAATCTGAATTTTTAGCTGAAACCCCCAAAACCAAAGCTGTCCAAATGGCCACAGTATAATTAGTAAGAATTTGTCCTTTGTTTAATATAATGAAACTAATATATATCAAAATTTCTGCAAAATAATGAGCTGATGAAACATAATCAAACCAATCCCCTTTGGGAATAGAATAAATGCCAGGAGGTGAAGATTTAGGTCGAAGGGATGCAAGAATTTTGTGAGCTATAAATTGATGATAAAAAGCGTATAAAAATAATGATACTCCAAGTAAAATATTCCAAGTTAAAAAATTGGTAAGAGGAGGGAATGTAAAAGTATTTTTATCTAGTATAAAAGAAAATATTTATGAATATTTTATCAACATTTTATGAATGTGAATAAAAAAAAATAAATAATAAACAAACCTTTTCCTCCTCCATAAACACCCAAGTTACCAATTCCTTCAATAAAAGTTGATAAACAAGTTGGCAGATAAAATGTTATTCCAACAATATAATGTAAAATATGCATTTTTGAATTAGCTAAAGTTCTATCCACGAAAAGACATTCGTAAGCTCTTCTTGTCACTTGCATAGAAATCATAAGTAATCCAATTATACATTGTTCTACTGGCTGTTTGGTATAAGCAGGAATTATTACTGCTTGGTTGTCGCTTTCATTCCCTTCGATATATCTTACAAATTTAGCGAAATATCCATTACTCCCATTACGCAAAATGACCAAGTCTGTAGTAATAAAATAGGTATAAATAATTCCACAAATATAAAATTGATAAAATAAACTTTTAGAAACAACCATATTTCTAAAAAATTTCTCAATTGTATTTCTAGCATTTAATTGAGTTACTTGATTCATTTTTCCATAAGGAAGTAATGAAACTTGAATGGGTCTACAGATTAAACCAAGAATTACAGCCAAAGTAAATATAATGTAATAAAGTCTTGTAAGAAATAATAAATATGCCATTTTTTTCATTAAGTTTTATTTATTTTTTCGTCGTTTTCACTAAAATTTTTTTATCACAAAAACCCAAAACGTATTGAAGGAAAGAAGAATCTCTGTCTTGACTTATCATCTGACTTAACGATCAGAATTTTGTACAACTTGCATAATATCAATATTATCAACAACGCGTATTTCATTTATATCAGTATTTGAAAATGACGACGATAAACTTCCCAATAATTCACTTGATGCTTTCGATGGAAACACATTCTTTTATATATTATTATATAAATTTAATAAAATTTAATAAAATTTTCAGTAATTTAAAATTTTAAAATTTTAAAATTTTAATAAAAAGTTACCTTGATATATTGTTTTAATTTGGCATTGAATTCACGGATGCGTTTTGATTTTTCTTCAATTTTAGATTCAAGTTCTTTTTTACGTTTCATTTTATTGATTTTCATATCTTCCAATCTAAAGAACGAAAAAAAAAATAAAAAATAAAATAAAATAAAATGAAAACTATTATGTGAATTATTTAATATGAATTAATATGTTTTATAAAATTATAAAATTATGTAAAAATAGATATTACCGATCTCTTTCATGTTTTTCATGTCTTAATCGTTGTAATAAAAGTTCACGTCGAAATTGATCTTGATTATTATCTTTATTATTAGAAGATTTAGTTTTATTATTAACAATATCAGCAAAATCATGATATTTTCGTAATGGTTCAATAAATTCTTGTGGCGCAGTATTGAGAAATTCCTCAAGAGGCTTTAATGATATTTTGTGATATTTTGGTCTAAAATATAAAAAAATGTTGTATTTCATAAATTTCATTAATTTCAGAATTTAAAATAATAATTCTTTAATTAACTCACTCATCACTTTTTATAGCATTTAACTCATAATCTAATAAAAATTTTCTGTAATTAATTTCTGAAAATCTATGTTTGGCGTCAGTTAAAACATATTTTGCTTTGTTTTTGGCATTTTTCTCATCTCTCTTTCTAAAATAAGCTTCAGAATTTACTCTTTTCATGTAAATAAATCCACGAATTATTTGGATTTTAATGTTATAATCCAATTTAATCTAATTTATTAGATAAATTTGTTATAGTTTGTTATAATTTTTTATAATAAATTTGCTTGGAAAATGAATAAATATATTTAAATAATATTTTTGAACTTACCTCAGTACCATCTTTTTTCTTTGCTTTTTCCAATAACTCTTTTGCTCTATTTTTAATCTCATGGCATTTTTCCATAAAATTACCCATTATTTTATCTGGCACTTCTCAAAGTATTAAAGTATTATTATTTTAGAATGTTAGTATTATATAATATATATAGAAATTATATAAAATTCTATTAAATTTGTTATGGGAAGTTTCATAAAAAAAAAAAAAGGGAACTCAGAAAAAACCACACAATTTATTTCAAAGAATGAAAGATTCATATTTTTAGTTTCATAATAATTTTTTGTAATTCGCTTTCTTCTTCAAAGTTAAGTTATCTCTATAAAAAATTTCACTAATAATTTCTAAAAAAAGAAATAATTTGAAATCACCTTTTTCAGTATCATTTTCATTATTACTTGAATTAGAATATTTTTCAAGTTGTAGTTCATCTCCTTTATTATGATAGTTTTTATAATAATAATAATTAATGTTTAATGAAAAAAAAAAAGATAATTTCAAATATTAATAATAAAAATCAATACCAAAAGATAATTCTTTAACATCAATAATTGGACATTGTGGTGGTGGCGACGGTGTTGGTGGTATTGTTGGAGGTAAAATTTGATTTTCTAGTTCCATATCATCTGTCATCTTGACTGTTAAAAAATATAAATATTTTTTAAAAGTAGAATTATTTAATATCACAATTTATTTCTTTAATTATTATCTTTAATCATTATCTTTAATTATTATTGAACATAACATTTATTTTCGTCACGTCAAATAAATTTAATATAATATAAATAAATAAAAAATAAAATATTCACTTTATAACAATGATAAACAAGGAAAGAAGAAGAAAGGAAGGAAGAATAGAGAGAAAAGTTATGTTATTATATACATGTCATTGTATTGTATAACACGTGTCATAATGATTTATTTCTCTTAATTGTGTGATAAATTACAGAATGATTAAAGAAATTATAATTATCACACATTATTTAACACATTTCTGAAAATTTAACTGAGAATGAACTCAGAATAAACAAAAAAAAAGTATAAACCTAATGTTACAATTGTAATTTAATGCATTAAAAATATTTAAAATAGATAGTGACAAGATCAAAATAAAATCTTTCTTTATTCAAATAGATCTTTTCTACGATGTTCAATTACTGGCATATTGATTCTTAATTGTTTCAGTCTATCCAAATCAATTTCCGCTAATGCAAATGTGGGTTTAGTTGTTTCCGGACATTTTGCTAACACAGTTCCCCATGGATCAACAATCTATTTTTATTTTATTTTTTTTGATTTATTAGAAATAATCAACGACATAATTTTTAAATATTATTATAAAATTAAATTTTATCAAATCACCATTGCACTCCCAAAACTTTCACGTTTTTCATTGTGTTGTCCAATGTGAGCACTATAAATAAGGATTAATATATTTTATCGATCAATTAAAGGTGAGACATTAAATGAAACAAAAGAGATAAAAAAATTTTCACCTTGCTATAACATAAGATTGGGTTTCAATAGCTCTTGCACGCAGTAATACATCTAAAATTTTCCCAAAATGTTCAGTCAAATTCTTTGCAAATTTTTGAAATTTCAAATTTTATAAAAATAATAATAATAACAATAATGATAAAGATTTATGAAAAATCTTTCTCTTACCCCAATGAGCCATTCCAGTCTTAACAGTGAAAGCAGAAGGATAAGTTAAAACTTCAGCACCTCGTTTTCTTAATGTTAAAGATAATTCAGGAAATCTTAGATCATAACAAATCATCATTCCTATTTTTCCTATAGGAGATTCGACAGGATCAATAATTTTATCTCCTCGTAAAGTGGTAGAACTTTCAATAAGTACAGGACTATTTTTGATATTTATATCGAAAAGATGTAGTTTATGATAACGCGAAACAATTTCCCCGTTAGATGAGATTATGAGATGCGTATTGTAAATGTGTTTTGGTGTTGGACTCTATTTAGATCTCACGCATAGCATAATGTTAACAGAATTTCCATTGACTTGAAAACAATGTTTGTATCAATTTATTACAAAATTTATTATTCTCAAACTTACAGTCTCATGAATTCCAATAGAAATCCATACTTTATTATTTATTGCTTGTTTTCTCATTTCATCCACAAAAAAATTGTTTTCATTTGTTAATTTCAAAGTTTCTTCATTATTTATACCAATAAAATCTGATGCCTCCGGAAAAAATACCATCTAAAGAAGATACTTAAAATTACTAATTATTTATTAATATCATTTTTTTTTCTCATACCTTAACTCCCCTCTTAGCAACATTATAAATCAATTCAGAACAAATTTTTAAATTTGTAGCTATAACATTTGTTCCACAGAACTGAGTTACTGCTACATAAGACATCTTTTTACTTTATAGTAAAAAAAAAAAAAAATTTGCGAACAACACCACCTTTATATCTTTTGTATTTTTGATCATCGTGTAACTTCAGAACGGAAAAGCAAGTTTGACACATGATTGATAATATTTATGAAAATAATTAATTCTATCATTACTATGACTATTTGCAAAGAATTACCAAGAACTGAAATAAATAAATTTACAATTAATACGGATATTTACCAAAAGAAAATGAAATTAACAGGAAGAAAGAGTCTCTGAAGTTTTCAAGTAGTATTAGCAGTAATATTGATAACAATGTATTGATTAATTCTGTATCCACCCATTACAACCAATTGATAAATTTTTGTATACATTTAAGAATTTATCATGGCATACTTCTTTCTCTTTACCTTGTCAATGATTACTGGCAGGTTGAAATGAATTCGGTTGATAAAGAAAGAACAACATATATAACCCAGTACGGAATATATGAATGCCATTGCAACTTTTCATAGATTTATAAATCAGATTTGAAAAATTTGTAATGGTATACTAGAATGACTTTAATGTATTCTCTCCAGGTTTGAAGTTTTTTATACCTGAAACAAAGTATGTTGTGAAAAATTTTATGAAAGTTATTATTAGGGTGGCATTAGTGGGTTATTTTAAACATAATATATATATGTTATGTTTAAAATACTTCATCAGTAGTTGGGAAGATGAGTAATCAACTTTAGATAAATTATCCACTAATTCTAGAAGATGAGGAAATGGATGGTGTTGAGGAGACTTCAAACGAAAACAACCCTAATCTTAGCAGCAAAAAACGTGCTAACCCTTCCTCTTCAGTTAAATTTCCCACTAATAAGAAATCCAAGAAACCTATTAGTAGGGACAAATCACCTACACTACAAAGATTAATCAAGGAATTGACCTGAGTAATATTTCATCAATGCAATCATTACCTGGATAAAGGGACAAACAATTTTTTAACATTGGGAAAATAATAAAAAGTCAACACAAGTTATTCGACATTATTTTATTTCGGAAAAGCACTTAAGGAGCGATTTAATTATTATACAGTGCGGAACCTCTATAATAGGAACTTAGTTATAATAAAAATTATTCAGTCTTTTTGCATTAAAAATTTATTTAATATATATAGAAATAAAATTTTAACCGTAGAAATTGATAGTTCAGAATTATCGGTTAAAATTTTGATCTGATCAACTTTTAACTTTTACTGGAGTTGAAGTTCCGTATTTAATTATACCTATCAAATTTGAGAATATACTAAAAATAGTTAACAATTATAATTTTACTTTAAAAAAGGATTTCTAATGATTTTAGATATTTTGTATCTGTTAAGAATAAAAAAATGAAATTTATAATTTTATATAAACACGTGAATATATTTTCTTGAATTTTTATTGATTAAAATTGCATCATGTGAAGTTTACATAAACCAAGAAAATTGAGAAAATTTTTTTTTTTCCATAAATGGATTCCTCCAAATGTATACATTCAAATACTATAATATAAAAGAAATCCGAGCATTGGATTAAATTTTATTTGAGTTCCTATTATAGAGGTTCCGCACTGTAGAAAAACAAATCCTAAACGAACAGCACAAAGGTTAGTTAACAATGAGAAGCACAGCTCCCTGAAGTTGTTAGTGAAAGCTTACTTCGTAAAATAAAGGAAAGAGCTCAGAAAATCTATGATCTGTTCAATGAAATTGGTGAGGATAAAATTCATCGAATTCAATCTTTTACAGTAGTAACACTAACTAGTATTACCCAGGATAATATAGATTATGTTTTGCATTGTATATTTTTTGTTTTTTCGGTTTATTTTTATATCATGTTTTTGAGGATGATGATCATGTTTTTATTTTGGAAAAATATATAATAAAGTTGTGTTATTTTTTATTATGGAACAATATACACGATTTTACACTTCTGATTTTTTCCATATTACATAAATAAAAATATATAAACATTATCATGTAAGAGGTTATTTGGGTATTTGCGTTCCGAAATAAATTTTATTTTTAATGATTGAAACTTTGAATTGCAATTAAAATTCTATTCTGAATGCATCAAAGAGACAGGTAAGATTATAGAAATTATCTTTACTCCGACAACTCCAGTCTCCCCACATTCCTCGATGGATGCGAATTCTCACTCTTACATACAAGGCATTTAGCTTTAGGGTCAGTAAATTTAAATACATCTCGACATCATATATTTGAATGAGTATATAACAAGAAAGGGAAGCGTTTATGTACAGTTTCAATAATTATATCTTTCTCTTCCGGAAACTTTAAAATCTTGATGACACAGTCTCGTGAAAGATGATTATCTGCATTTTCGATTTGTGAAGATTCAGAGGTTTTGAAGTTCATCCAAGGATCAATCCCAGTTTTTTTCATATACCTTTTATATAACTTGGAATGAAGTTTATCAGATATAATGGTTGGCAAATCAGATAATTTGGGGAGTTAATATTATATCAGACTTGGTTTGTATATCCGTGTTATCTTTTATATAATTTTAAAGTAATTAAAAATAGTATATAGAATCCATTTTAATAGTTGTTTTAAGATCCCTCATTAACAAAGCTTAATAATTTGATTAAATTAAATATTGATGTTAGATTTTGCGAATTACATCTGAATGCAATAGTGTATAATAATGAATTAATAAAGTTTGTCCATATCGGATCTGTGACCATTAATGTATTGTGCAAATTGTATGTAATCAGTAACATTATAATATTATTAACAAATAATTATTTGCTTTGCAGTAACACTTCCATCAATGCGAATTTGAGTTTTTTTATTTCTATCAGATAGCAAATACTTACGTTCTTTATTACAAATTAGATTCTCTTAAACCGTCAGTTTTCACATGCTACTATGTTTTAGCGTCCAAATTTGCCCGCTAGACGGTTTAAGAGATAAATTTTATGTTAAGACTTGAAGTATATGATTAAAATATATGTTTACTCCACATTCTAATACATGATGTCTATTCCATTTCATTTTGTACCAACGAATTGCATTGCACACGAGCCAATGGCCAAGATATGGAGCAGTAAAAGGACGAGCCGTTTTGAGTTTTCCACCATTGAACTGGCACCTGGATTTGAATTTGCTAAAAGGGGAAGTCAAGTCCAATAATTGGAAGAACGATGATTACAAATTCTGTGTTTGGACAGTGAGGTTGAATGCGTGTTATTTTATTTATGGCATTATCACGATCGATAGGTCTGTCATAGATCACCTATAAATATTTTGATTTAGCCTATTCAAAAAATAGTTGCATAGATCGGGAGATAAGGAAACAAGATCTTTACCTCAATCCATAACAATGGTGGTGGACATGAATTAATAATAGGAGAAAATCTTTGATCAAGTCGTGGTTTACCATCTACATCAGGTCGATACTGATTACCATTAACCACACATACTGTATTAATCTCAGTCCACCAAGTTGGAAGTTGATGGTTAAATGAATTTTCCAACTTTCTATGTATTTCGGTTTTTATTCCACCATCAAACTGGACAGTAACAAAAAGAATTGGAAAAATGTATGTAAAATAACTATAAAACAAAAATGGTAACCTACTTTTATAAAAAATTCATTGTCAATAATTTCGACGCTAAAAATATTATGGATCGCTTCAAAAATTTTATCACGTTTCTTATCCTTAATATGTGACAATTCAAATTCTATAATATCCACATCAACATCATTATGTACTTCGCATATTGTTGCATTAACTTCATTTTCGATTTGGCTAATTGACTAAGAGAAACGGACTTTTGGCTTAGTTCAAAGTACAATATTCCAAAAGAATGGAAATACATTATTAATACCTTTGATTCTGAATTATCATGAATCGAATTAACTAATTTTTTTATAAGGTAACCCAATTATTCCTTGTACTATATGTTATAAGAATATGTAAAGTTCTCTTTATAAAACTTTCGGATAAAATATTTACTTCATACTTTTTAATTAAGAATAAAATGGTACCTTGCTTTTATTACTTGAATGACTACTAACCCCACTAACCCAAAATATATTCGTAATTCCTGAAAATGTGGTTGCCATTGCACTTTGGAAAGTGATAATCGAAGAAACCTTAGCGGAATTAAATAAAAAAAAAAGTAATTACGAAAAATTAAATTGTAAGCAGACTTTTATGGCCTACTAATGTACTAGTAATAAATTTGACTCCATTAAAATAGTTATATATATATCTCTTTTACACATCTTCATACGGCCCAATAAATTTGACTCCAGTAAATAGAAATAGTTACGTATATATATTTTTTACACATCTTCGTGCGTACAATTTAGTCCCAGCAAATAAATAAGTATAACAATTTTCAAATTGTTACTCCTCCAAAAAAGGTAATAAACCTAAAATAAGACAGATCAAGTCAAGATCTATAACTTCACGTTGTTAAATTTTTATGTGACAACGTGATCAAATATTCTATCGTTTAATTGGTTGATTTCCATCTCGCGACATTGACCACGTTTTAAATTTGCATCTTCCGCGACATCGATTGCTGACGCATTTCATCGAATTCACTTTTATTAAAAAAAAAATTCTTTTTTAAAATCAGAATTATCTAAGTTTATTATTTTTTCTTTTTCTTTTTTATTATTTTTCTGTTTTATTTTTTATTTTTTTTTATACTAATTAATGTTATTTTGAAAGTATATTATGTATTGTTAGAAAAAAGTTCAAATAAAAATTAATTCTTCAGAAATATTAGTGTTAGTCATAAAATACGTTATTAAAGAAAATTTTATTAGTGAAATCTCTAGATATGGTGTTTTATCGTTGTCCTTATATTCTCCGGACTGGTGAAGTCTGTAATGAAGGTTGTTATTGACTAGAAGAATGTAAAGATCATTGGGATTCTCCTAAACGTATACCTTGCAAAGATTGTGGTAAGTTAACATCCTCTACATTTGGTGCATGCAAAGATCATTCTAGATTATTATCATCGGAAGAAGCTAGAAAAGCTGGTTCAGAATGGATCAAACCGAGTAGGTATATTTTCGAATACTTATAGAAATTTGTCCCTATAAAAATCTGACCTTATGAAAAAAATATATAAAGGGTACTATGAACCAACTTTTTAACTCTTTTTGAATTCCCAGAAAGCTTTCTAGATAGCTAACCCAATGAACCCTATCAGTCCCTATAATTTTTCAAACTTCTTTACTTTTTTTTTATTTTTTTGATATATTTTTATCGGAGTATATATTAAAAGGTAACATATAAAAGGTTTCTTTTTTTAAAATTTATATTTTCATAAGGACTCATAGGGACATAGGGTCAGATATAAAAGAACAAAACATATCAACTCAAAATCGTAAAAAAGCTGGCCTTATATGAAATTTCTAAAAATTTTAATTGAGACAAAAAATCGTAATTATGGAAGAAGACCATAGCAAAATAGATATGTTCTTGAAGGTATTCAAGTACGAAAATATATTATAATAATTATGGCAGAACACTTCACCTTAACATGACTTTTTTCCATGTAGTAACATTTATTTTTCTATTGAATTTTCTATGTCACGCATTATTTTTCGTAACGCCGATCACTTCTTGAACCAAGTTCACAAAGTTAAGACTTCATAAACTAAAAATTATAAATCCCACCTCAAAAACTCTCCCAAATAACTATGCATCCCACCCCGCAATAACTACATTCAATATTTTTTTATCATCTTAAATCATCTATAAAACTAAAAATATCAAATTTAAGTATAATGCGTCCTCCTTCATAAACTAAAAAAATGTATAAATTCTATCTACACCCAATATCACCCCTCATGACCTAAAACCAATAATTTTTATCCATATCAAAATCATCTTAAATAAACATTATCAAAATTGAGACTCTTCCTTCAAGACGCAAAAAAAAACCCATCTCATATGCGCAAAATGCAAACTCAGCGTACTTCGAACTACGCGCAAAATGAAATCACCACGTACCCCTAAGTGGGAATGACCTAGTCTAAGTGGGTTATTTTAAACATAATATATATATATATATTATGTTTAAAATAACCCACTGCATTAATGCATAAACATAACCAATTTATTTTGATTTCTTTTAATTTTAAATTTCGATTTTTACCAGTGTTGAATCATATTACAAATTTCAAAAAAAAACGGGAGGATCAGATTAATTTATTTCTGCTATTTTTATTTTTAGAAGGATATTTGAATTTAAAGATTTTTCTTTAGGTTTACACTAGTGTTGTTAACAGTCCAACTTGAGACCAAAGTCAAATAAGGCCGCGAAACTTTATAATCATATGATCAACCCATTACCATATAAAAATTCTTCTTCGTAACATTGAAAGAGTTGAATTCAAAGTTTCAAGCTGGCCTAACATCAAATAACTTATTTTAATTAATTATAATCAATTTCATTTACATTATTTTACAGAGTATGAGTATTTGAATTCATGATCATTAAAATATCATTGAAATCAAAGTTTTAAACTAATTCAATTCATACAATATTTTTATAAATCAATCGAATGACATTCTTTTACAGAGAATTATTACATGGATTAATATAATCATAAAAATTAAAATTTAAAGTTACTTTGATATTAATTAATGCTTTTTAATTAATTATCAATTGTAAAGATAAAGTTTTCAAGTTAATTAATTGTTAATTAATGTTCTTTAATTAATTAACAATTATATTACAAGGAGTAAGTATTTAGCTTTATATAGTTGAATTCAAAGTTTTAAACTATTTCAACATCAAATAACAATTTCTATGCATATTACAGGATGTGAATATTATTTAAATTCATAAATATTGTTATATTACAGTGAGTATTTATATTTATAATAATGAAGTCAAATTTTAAATTAATTAAATATCAAATAATATTTTTCTAATCCATTACATGTGTGTGCCATTATAGAAGGTATTTATAACTATTATTTTCAATATAGAAGTTTTCATAATTGTTTATTTTAAATAATACATTTCGGTAACAACAAAGAATATGGAAAATGTGAAGACTGTCAACAAGATAACACTGGACAGCAATGGTGCAATACATGATTTCAAAGTAATTTAATAAATGGACAAGTGAAGATACAGAAATTGATAAGTTTATTCAACAAACTCAAATGTTGAATATCTTGCTAAAAAAGATTTTGGCAAAGTTTTCATGGCAACATGGTCTGATGGATTTATTAAGCAAGCATTGGGATTATGAAAAAGAAAAATTGGCATAAAGCGGACAATCAAAATGTTTGTTTAAAAAGTTTTAATACATATACATGTAAAAGTGAATTTTTACAAGAGGTGAAATATTTTATATTATTTTATTTCTAATACCATGGGCAATCACAATGTACGGCTTAACATACAATGATGGTTATGGCTATGAATCATGCTCAGCAAGTCTATCTTTAAAAAATTAAGTTGGATAGAGAAAATTAGAATTTTAATTTATATAGTTTTAGGACTTGCTTTATAAAGTAATTCCAATTATGGCACATGAAATTTACTCTTTTGGCATTATAATGTTAGAAGTTTTTACTAGTTATCTACCTTATTATAAAATTCCATATGATGAAAACTTGACTTGTTAATTTGTGATGGTCAAACCTGAATTAATGATTACTCAGTTTCAATCGTCCAACTGCCAAAGAATTGGAATCTCAACTCAGATTTATTCCTAGATATAATAAATTGAATTAAATAAACAGATTGAAAAGCTAATGAAGCTAATAAGTTAAATAAAAATATATTTTTTAAGTAATAAATAATTGTTTTTATAAAGTATTTATATAAATTATTCTTTTAGAACAAAAACAGTGGGATCTTAAGATATGAGTATTATATTTCTTGATAATTGGTAATATTTAAATTCGTGTAGTTGAAGAAATAAAATTCCAGAGAACTAACCATTAATTTGTTGTGTTTAGTCTTGATATTATTATGTTAACTTTAATATTTGTATTTTGTCAAACAGTTATTTTTGATCACTGGAATTATTAAATCAATCACAATTATGTAAATTGCACAGCAAATTTCAATTAAAAAAACTTTTGAATTGAACTTTTTTTAATTATTTATTATGTAAATAATAAAATGCATAAGGATATTTTTCACAAAATCTGAAATTATTACCTGAATGTAATTTTTAGAAATGTCTTTTCCAGTTAATTTCATCATATTTAGGGCAAGACTTCACCCAACATTATCTACATTGTTTCAGGTATACTGCTGCGTAAGCCACAAAAAAATTCATTGTCCAAGGCAAGATCTTTATTACAATTTTAAGGGTCTCGTACATTAGATAAATTTCCAAATTAAGCACACAATGTAACTTCTACTATTTTAACAAACAAAATGCAAATCGTATAAAAAATGTGTTTTTTTTTAGATTACCTGACTCAAATAAAGAATAATAAGCATAAAACAGTTTTTACCTTTTTAGGAAAATGCAAAAACAATAAAATCACTTTTAAAATATCCCAAACTTAATTGAAATTTCAGCACAAGTGCATTGACTACTTATCTAAAAAAAAAAAAAAACTTTAGAATGAACTTTACTAAATTTGAATCCAAATCTTTAGATTTAACGTTCTTATTATTCCATATAGAAAGAACAAGTGACAAGATCTAATTATTCAAGAAATCATGGAAATCACACCATTTAATAAGGAATTAATTAAGGCTAATTCTAACCTCCGTCATTAGAGAATATGAAGAATATGAAAGGTTAAAAGAAAAATACAATAGTATTGGTGAATTTAATATATTTATTATATTAGATAAAAAAATAAATTTATGCAAAACTTGAATTTTTAGTTAAGTCATTGTATATTTTATACGCATTTAATAATAGTCGATTTATATCAAGCTAATAAAATATCCCTTCTTGTTAAAGTCAAAGAAAGTTGAAAGAAAAGAGGCCAAGTACAAATAGAAACAAAAAAAAATAAAAACAATAACTAACCGAATACATTGCTTATAAAACTGAAATGTCGATTAAAAAAATTAGTTCAAAAAAATATAAAGAACAAAAAATTTGTCCAGAGAGCATAAAGAATAAAAAAATTGGTCCAAAGATCATAAAGAATAAATAATTAATAAAATAAAAAGTCGCTTGAAATTTTCTATTTATATTTAGTTATGATTATCAATCAATTTTAGATTATCAGCAAAAAATTTTCCATGTTTTCCAAAAAAAAACACTTAATTTTGTCAAATTTTGCTTTCACGGTGCGTTCGATAAACATCCGTAATAATATTTCTAAACATGAAATTACAAAACGTTCAACAGATAGACAACTGCCACTACCACCACCATCAACTAAATCAACTAATGTTCACGTTAATCCTACAGAAAGACCAACGTTCTCAGGAACATCATTTACCAAAATAATAACTATTGGACCAGATAAACCAGATACTCAAAAAAAACAAAAACAGAAACAGAAACCAATGACCAACTTGTTTCCTATCAGAGGACGATCAAATGCTCAGAAAAAACTACCAACAAAAATAAGGAGGGAATCAAAACAAGTATCAAAAAAAACGCATGGTTTCGTTCCTGCAAGGTTTAAATTGCTTCCAATTGAGAGTGATGTTAAACTAGCTGGAACGGCATGGGAAAAAGATTATATTGATCCAACAACTAATATTAGTAAAAAAGCTCCGGCAGTTAAAAAAACCAGAATATTCATGGATAAAGTTAATATGATGACAAGAACCGAACAATTAGAACTTTTACACGTGAAGAAAAAAAATGCAAGTTTGGAAGATTTCAAATTGGAAGATATTACATTTGAATCATTTAATTTAAGACCGGAAATTTATGAGGCAATAAGAAAAGGACCACTTAAAGGTGCTGACCCATTTATGCCTTCAGAAATTCAAGCATTAGCCATTCCTGAAATATTGAAAGTAGATAATAGACACATAATGTGTGCAGCAGAAACTGGTTCTGGTAAAACCTTGGCTTATCTAATACCTATAATAAACAAATTAAAAGAAGAAGAAGCAAGAGCAGGTAAAATTTCGAAAGAGAGTAAAGAAATTGAAAAACTCAAAGAAGGAATAGATAAAGAGACTCCGCAAGTCGCAGAAGCATTCAAAGAAGAGTTAAAAGAGAAAATGCAATTAATGGCACTCAAAAAATCAGCGGTTAGAAGTTTCAATCGTCCTCGGGCAGTTGTTCTTTTACCATCACGAGAACTCGTAGACCAAATATTATCTGTAGCAAAACTTATGTCCCATTTTGCAAAATTTAGAGCCATAGCTATGACATCACACAAAGATCGAACTTTTGTAAAAAAAACGTTACAAATGCCAGTAGATATTGTAATAGCAACACCAGCAGGACTTTTAGATTATTCACGCAAAAAATTTGTTAATTTAATGGATGTAAAATATCTCGTAATTGATGAAGCGGATACTTTGTTTGGTAAAGGGTTTGGAGAGGAAGTTCTAGAAGTTATACAGAAAGTGAAAGGCTTTAGTCATAAGAAAGAAAGACCATATCAAGCAATTGTTGTATCAGCTACTTTGCCAAAAACTGTTAATGAAATGCTGACAAAAGAATTTCCATTCATTAAAAGGATCACAAGTCACTCACTTCATAAAGCATTACCTAATCTTCATCATCATTTTGTTGATACAAAAGAATATAATTTTAATAAAAGTGCAGCAATTATAGATATACTAAAGCGGACACATGATGAAAATTCTAGTACAATGATATTTTGCAATACTCGGATTAGTGCGATGGCACTTGAAAGTTTTTTGAAATCAAAGCAATATCCTGTGATAGGATTGTTTAGTGATGCCGAAGATCGAACCGTTTTACTTGAAAAATTTCGTAGACGAACTTCCGAAGCAAATATATTAGTATGTACAGATTTGGCTTCTAGAGGAGTGGATACTACTTTTGTAAATCATGTAATTCTATATGATTTTCCAACAACTGTGGTAGATTTTTTGCACAGAGTGGGTAGAACAGCAAGAGCTGGTAATTATGGGAGAGCAACACACTTTGTTACCAAAAAAAGTAGAGAATTGGCAGAAAGGATAAAAAGAAATATTAGAGATAGAAGAGTTTTGGTGTAAAAATATTTTTAAATATTTATTATTTTCTTTTATCAAACTTCTAAATTGTAAATTAATTTTTTATTTATAATTGTCAAAATAATTTGTCAAATTAAAATTTTATTTTATTACATCAAAATATAAATTAAAATCTAATTGACTTTTGAAATAAAAATAAAGAATTAATAAATTAATAAAAAATAAATAAAATTTTAAAATAAAAATAAATTAATTAATAAAAATAAATAAATAATTTCTATTCTATCTTTTGTAATTCAATCTTTTCACCATATTCCGAGTCAGTGTATCTTGGAACTTTGTGAGACGCTGCTCCGGGTCCACGATAATATCTGTAATCTCGAGGAACAAGACGTGGCCAATTAACAAACTCGGAACCATTCTCAAAAATAAATCGAACGAGAAAAATAATAGCAAAGACATTAATTATCATAATAAAACGTATTAAATGAGCATAATCTGAAAAAAAAATTTTTGAAATAAAGAAAAAGAGTTATTATATTGAGCAAGACTGTAAAATCGATCAACAAAATGAATAAATGTCATTGAACAAGTACCATCATATTTGGGTATCAAATTAAGAAATATCAATAATGCTATACAGCCCAATAATATTTGAGGAACCTAAAACATGTGCGAAAGAATATCGAAAGAATGTCAATATAATGTAAAATAAGATTTAAAACAAAAAGGCAATAATAAAAATCTTTATTTCTTACAAATTTAATGTGATGTAATTTGGTTTCTATAAATGGTGAAATATTTGGTTTGACCTCATAAACGCCTAATAAGAGATCATATGCATCCTATATAACAAATAAATTATAATTAGATATGGAATAAATAAAATTAATAACGAATTAATAATGTATTAAAGAAAACAAACCTGTCGTAAACCATCCTTAAAATTATTTAATACATAACGAGTAATACTATTATGTATATCACTAATGGCTCCTTGTTTCGTTCTTTTGCCCATTCTGAAAGAAAGAAAGAAATAAATAAAGATAAACGAAATATTAATAAGAGATCGAGAAAATAGAAATTAAATATATAAAGAATTATACCTAGTGAAGTCAGTTTTCTGCGCGCCAGTTCCAGCATATGGTAAACTAACTGCATCAGCATTATCAGCCCAAACTAATAATGAATAATAATAAATAAAATATTTAAAATATTGAAAAAAATATTTTTTATTTATATACATTCAGGCATATTTATCAAGCCGTTTTTCTCACCATTTCTGAACAAATCCATAAAACTGGTAATTTCATCAATCTTTTCTTTGTTGCTCAACACACCAACTTCACGTAATTGTTGAGTCAACATCCATTTAGCTAAAGTTGATTGAACAACATTGGTACGGTCAAGACAATCCATACAATTCGTACGAACTACAGATTCCTGAAACCTTCGAACAATAAGAGTGGTTGATTCTTCAGCATAAAAATAGCTAAAAAAAATGAAATAAAATAAATAAATAAATAAAAGTTCAAAAAAATAAAAAATAAAAAATAAAAATAAAAATAAAAAATAAAAAATAAAATTATAAACGACAAATAACAATGATAATAATAATAAATTACCCTTGTTGTATCAATTCTTCTTCAATTAAATCAAGCAATATTTGTATTCGATCCCAACGCATTTTGCGACATTCATGATGAAAATCAAAATGAAAATAAACAATTCTAGGATCGTTCAATTGCTTAACAATTTTTTCATAAGCAGCTCCAACAGGATATTCGAATCCTTTCTTATTAATAAGATTTACCAAAATTTGTTTACCATATGATTTAATTTGTTCATCAAAATGTCTACGTACAGTCGCATTCTAAAATAAACTTATAACATTACTATTAAGAATGAATAAATGTATTATTTTTTTAAATATGACGTTTATATTAATATTACCAAATTGGGATAGTCCATTAATTGTATTTTTGGTGTATATTTTATATCATTAATTTGAGACCAATAAACTGGAATCGATCCACGTGTCTGTACGTAGGATAACTTGATTTTTCCTTCAAATGAAGTATTTATATGATGACTATCCTTAGGAGGATCCAATAAAATTATTTGTTCTGTTTCGTTAAAATTGGAAACATTTCCTTCTGCGTCAATTCCACGCGAAAAATAACGCGTTCCTTAAACATCAAAATAATAATAATAATAATAATAAAGTTAAAACACATTTCGGAAAAGATGCAAGTAAAACTAACCAAACTGATATCACCGAAATCGAACTGAATAAAAATTAATTGATATATATACCAACACGATATCTGCTCCGACGAGAGATCAGACAAAACGTGATATCTCTGTTGTTTATTTTTGTTAAACTAATGGAAGTGACTGGAATTATCAAAATTATCACGTAAATGCATTTTTAATAAATATAATAATAATAATAATAATTAAGAAAACGAAAAGAAAAACGATTAAGAAAACAAAAAACAAAAAAAAAACACATACATCCAAAAACTACCGGAAGAATGAAATCACTCAACTATTAAAATATATCATAAATAATTTTAGTTTTGGTTATCTCAAAAAATTAGAACAAATATCTACACAATATTTTTACTTACATCTTGATCAGGGTTATTGATAGTAATATCAATTAATTTCGATTGTACATAACGATTCCAAAAAAATCTATCATCTGCCTGTTTTTTTTTAAAAAAAAAAATATCAAACATCATTAATAGAGATTACAGCATCAATAGATTATATTAAAAAGTAAGTAGCATTTACTCTTTGCCATAAAGGTTTAGAAGAATCACCCAATTGCGCTTGTCTTTGCAAAGTGTGTGTTAAATCATAGGTATACGAAAAATAATAAGTTCCAGACGTAAGTAAACTTTCTAAAAGTGACAAATAATATTGTTCGTCGAGTGCCTAATAACAAGAAGAATAAGAGAGAAAAATATTAATTAAATTATAAAAGTTCTTGAAAAAGTATTTGAAAAAAAAGGTATTTGCAAAAGTTACTCGCCTGTTGCTTAGAAAGGTGAAGAATATTTTTAGCGAATGGAAGAATTCGAAATTGATCTGCCTGAAAGATATCATGTCGACCCAATCTTCCAATACGCTCTCTACCAGTGATCACGATTAGATGTTCACCTGTTTTTTTTTTTTTGTTGTTTTTTTTTATGTTTAGAAAGATTAAATACTAGGAGAATTATTAGAATAATTGTTTAAATTAATTTATTATAGTTTGAAATACCAGATAGTAATTTAATAACGCCAAAAACGCCATAAATTGTTAAAGGTTCGGAGTGATATGGTGGTAACGTTGGTTCGGGTGCTATAATAATAACGAGTTAGTAAAAAGGTCACACATCAAAAACCAGTATCGAAACAAAACAAAACTAATATCTAAAACCAAATAAATAAAAACTTACAAGCACCACCCAGTTCAAAAAATCCATTCTCTCTATTAATAACTAAAGTCTGAGCTGGTATAGTTGGATCAAGGTAATATGGAACAAGCGTGTACGAGTCATTTGCCGCATATCTTGAAGAAAAAAAAAAGAGAAATTCAATACTTTATCTAATTTATTATAAAGTTTCCCGACCTAACCCACCACATTAACACCTTTTAACCTACAATCTCAAAGATTCGTGTACCATTATTGGATTCTTATCCTTTAATTTAAATGATTGAATATTTTTTCTTTGAAGAAAATGCTGCAAATGTAGAGAAAAATTTATCCCACAGAAAAAGAACCACTCAAATAAGTTTTATGTATCAAATAAAAAATTGCCAAACAAACGTGGAGGACCTGGGTATCGATCCCAGTACCTATCGCATGCGAAGCGATCGCTCTACCATCTGAGCTAGACCCCCTCTTAATTTTAGCCCCACCGCCCTGAAAGATTAATTTTGAAATTTTCTTTGGTTGAAATCATATATAGTAAAGATTTTCTCTTACAGAGAGAAAACACGAAAAGAGATTTATATTTTTTCAGCAGGTGAAGTCTTTAACCTGTTTTATTTATTTATTTTTTTAAAGTGTTGCTAAAATCAACTGTTACAAAGCAGTTATTTCTACTTGATTACAGAACTCCTAATTCTTGTACCTAAATTTTTTCACCTAATCTTATACCTAGTTTTTCAACTAATATTTGTATTTAATTTTTTATACCTAATTCTTGTAATGCCAAGAAAATAATTTATTCGGTTAATAAATGAAATGATGCCTATTATTAATCACAAAAATTATTAAAAACCCGAGATTAACCTTTATCATTATGTATTGTTATAATGTTTGAAAGGGAAATATTTTCTGGAAAAAAGAAAATAAAAAATTGTCAATTTCATTGTTCTATTGACGTCCAGCGGGACGAGCGGCGGCAACTTGTCCTCCTCCACCACCACCACCACGTTGGCCATCATCTCCTGTTAATAACAATCCTATAAATAGGATAGCGAAATATATCCTGTTGATAGATAAATATAAAAAATAATTAATTAGGAATATTACAAAATTAAAATTAAAGTTTTTATTTATACCTACCAATATTTTTGTATAAAGCTTTTTTCTTCTGGTGGTTTTTCTACTGTTCCATCTTCTCTCAAGGGTAATGCTCTTGTCAATTTCGGGCTTTATTATTATAATTATAATTATTATTATTCTAATTAATTATTTTGTTTTTTATTTTATTTTAAGAAATATATATATATCCATATATATAATCTTTTAGAATCTTTTATAATTACCTAACTCCATTAACGGGTATTACCATTTGTACATCGGTTTTAAATTCTACCGGGATAAAGTTTGAGTGATTTGAGCCGCCGCATTGATCGTTCAATGAGTAATAATCAAAATGGAATACATCATTATATTTGTCTAAATGAATTATAATTTTATCTTCAAAATTAGAAGATTTTAGCAAACACTATAAATAAATAAATTATTATTATTATTATTTAATAATAATGACATTAATAAATAATTAATAACATAAATAACATAATGAAGGATAATAAATAATGTGAATTAAAATCTACTGACCATCTTTGTAAAAGATTTCATGACTTTTTGAGGATTTTTATCATCAATTATTTTTATCAGGTAAAGAGAATCAGGTTGAATTTTATTAATAACATCAAAGGCTTGAATAAAATCCGATATATCAGAACTCTGGTATTCTACATATGGAAATACCATCAATTCTCCACGTTTCGAATATTTAGGTTGATTAGAAAGTTTATGATAAATATTATATTTAAGTTCATTATTATAAGTAGTAAATTTAGGTTCGCTAGACTTGGAATTTTTAAATAAATATTATTAATCTCGAAATAAATGTAAAGACGAAAACTGCTTTTAATTTTATATATATACCTCTCTTGCGTCCTCAGCTAATAAAAATTTTGATAGAGATAAAACCAGTATTAATATAAAGAATACTCGAGACGCCATGATAAAATTATGAATTTACGAATTTAGAAATTTAGAATTTAAAAATTTTACACGTAATAAAATAAAATTGTTTGAAGATCCGATTTTTTTAAAATCACATGATATTTATACGAAAAAATACGTCTTCGAAACAAATAACGCAACTTTCCAATTTTCGATAGTTTAGTTCTACCTTACATTTAACGTTTTTTTATGATTCCATTTGTTGTTTGAAACAATTCTTTAAATTGATTTTTCCTTTTGACAATTTTATAATCTGTTAAACTCATTTCTCAAAGCAATTAAAGCAATTTCATATAAAAAATAAATTAAATATAATGACTTTAATTATAAATAAGAAATTACAATTTTATAAAGATTAATAAAGATGTGTAGAAATAATCTTCTAAATATAATAATGAAAATAATATAGTACATTTTGGATCAACACTTGATCCAATAAGCTTTTCAATCAAGAAACTGCAACGTAGCATCGCATTGACTTATCATCGGATACCGATAAAAATCTATCCCCATCAGGATTCCAAGAGAGTGAACATACCTTTAATAATGAAGGAATAATAATAATAAGTAATAATAATGAATATAATGAATTCATAACGAAAGTAATCACGAGGAAATAGATGTCATCAAGAATAGAATAATTAAATTTTCAAAATACAATAAAAAATTCTTCTTACTTGATCTTTGTGTTCACCAACTGTATCCACACATTGCCTTGCAGTTATGTCCCAGAGTTTTATTTTACCATCTGTAGACCTAAAATTACAAAGATTAAAAATTGAAATATTATCAAAAATCCAAAACTTCACAAGAAGAAATTTGCTTTTCTTACTTACCCACTAACAAAATGAACATTATTAGCTGAAGATGTGACGTTTAAAACGTATCCATCGTGTCCCGTAAATTTTGCAATATTATTAGAATGACGTCTACAAAAGTCACCACCATTCGATTAGAATGAATGAATTCTTCGTTCACTAATTTTTTTCAAAACTATTAATCTTAAATTTAATGTAATTAATTAAATATAAAAATTAAAAAATATTATAAGAATTAATAATTACACATCGTAAATATTTATCGTTTCATCATCGGATCCAGATATCAATAAAGATGAATTTGGAGTAAAATCAAGTGTCCTTATAGGACAGCCTGTGTGTCCTAAATTATTATAATCACAAAAGGAAAAGTAAATGGAAAAAAATAGAAAAATAGAAAAGTAAAAGAAAATTTATATATATTAAATGTATAATAATCGTACCCGTATATTTATGAATATTTCTTGTAGTTTCCACATCAAACAAATAAATTCGACCATTTTCAGTACCGAGAGCCAAGTATTTACCATCAGGACTCTATATATTTTTAATAATAATATTATTAAGGATTTAAGGATTATAATAATAATATGTCACCAGATAATTTATATATTTATATATAAAAAGTAGGATACAAATCTAACACACAATCCAAATTTTCCTTCAGATGTGTAAGTGGCTTTTTCAGCTGTAGTAGATTCATAAAGACCAGTATCATAAATTTTAATCATTCCTTGATGAGTACTGACAGCAAAATGTTGTCCATCTGGTGAGAAATGAACACTCCAAGCATCGCCTAAAGAATAATAACCAATAATAGATTTTTTTTTTATAAATATTTATTTATTTATTTTATTTTATTTATTTATTTTTCAGATTAAATTATTCCCTTTTTATTACAATTACCAGGTTTGACAGGTATTGACTCAATCAAAATCCCATTATTAACATCCCATTTCTTGATTGTATTATCTAAAGATAACGATACAAGAACTTTTATTAAAAAACAAAAAAAAAATTTTTTAATTAAAATAATTAAAATTTAAAAGATAAAAAAATTATATTTTTTAAAAAAAAATGAAATTATATTTGATTTATAATTTTATTTAAATATTTTACCTTGCCCAGTATTCTCAATATCCATTGACAAAATTGCCAAATTATGTCCACTTAGAGTTCTATAATAATCTCCAGTTTCAGGATCCCTTTTGTTTTTTACAATCATAAATTCATTTAAATATATATTTAATATTAACATTATTATTATTATAACCATTATTATTCGTCAAGCAAATTCATTAATAATATTTTGTTAAACCAAATTTTATTAGCAAATTACAAACCAAACTTTTATATTTCTGTCCAAAGAACCAGTTGCTATAACATTACCCGTTGGAGACCAACGAGCTGACCATATTCCACTAGTATGTGCTAATAATAATATTATTATTATGGGATAATTTTATATTTATCTTGATCTCGATAAATGTATGAAGAATTTAAAAAAAAAAAAAATTTATTTTGTAACTACCATTTTTCTGTTCAAATTGCGTAGTAAACTTAACGCTCTATTTTATTTATTATTTTTATTATAAATATTGACCAAATATTACATTGTATTGTAAAAAAAGAATAATAATCAAATAAATCACAAAAAAAAAATAATAATTTTGTAACTATTATTACCATGATTAAGTACAGGCAAAGGGAATGTATAAAAAAATTTTTCGCTATATTTATAGCATTTTATCTTTTGTCGATCATCGGAAAAATAAAAAAAAATCAGATAGATTTTTTGTTAAAAGAAAGGCAGGCTTCAGTATAAAAATGAAAAAAAGAATTCCTCAAGAACTCTAGTATGAATTATGAAACATTAGAAAAGAAATCTCAAATTTCATTGGAATTTTTTTCAACTTTCGTTAAAATATCTACAAAATGAGAAAAAAAAATCTCAATAAAAAAAAAAGATGCGGCACAAAGATTCGGAATATAAATAGCGAGAAGAAAATAAACGAACACCTCATTCAAAAAAAAAAAGATGGCACAACCTAAAACCCAATAAACCAAACCCTCAATCCCCTCATTACCCAATCGACATATTTTGTTCACCACGGATTGAAAATACCTTGATCAGTATAACAAAGGTTGCGGGTATCTGGGTCGACTTGTATTAACTTTTCGGGATCCATACAACCAGTGTAAACGAAATTCGGGTAATCACATATTTCTGGAACGTTTAGTTGAGAGGTAAAATATGTTCTTTGGTTATATTCAAGTCCCGTATCACCACAGTATTCCGTAACACCTAATTCCCAAGTGATGGTTGGTAGGCTCGTCATTTCTGTATCGGTTTCTTCTTCCGTTGTAAATCCACTGCCTATAATATCTTCCTCTATTATGGTTTCTTCAGTCATTTCCTCACTTATTTCACTTTGTTCATTTTCTACCTCGGCCATATTTACATAGTTGAACGGTACTGATAAGGTACTACTTTTTTCTTCCTCCGAAGCATCTTTAGAATCAAGGTACCCATTTTCTTGCATGTACTTCATTATTGAATTATATGTTATTTTTGATTGGCGAGGCGCAGATCTGGTAATTCTCCCACTAATTGTTCTATGAAGTCGGGGAGTTGTAGTTGGACGACTTTGACGCGGTGCTGATGATGGACGCGTTGATGGTGGTGAACGCGGTGATGGACGTGATGATGATATAGAAGATATGGACAGTTGTAAAGAATGAGGTAGGTTTGTGGATGATATGGATAACCGTGAAGTATGAGGTAAGTTTGCGGATGATATGGACAGCCGTGAAGTATGAGGCAAGTTTGTGGATGACATGGACAGTCGTGAGGAATGTGGCGGGTTTACAGATGATATGGATAACCGTGAGGAATGAGGCAGGTTTGCGGATGATTCTGGAGGAGGGATCTGTTCTGGAACGGCCGATTGAGGGATTGTGACCGTTCCTTCGGTCCCTTCGGTTTGATGAGTCAAATTAACTCCGAAGAAACCTACATTACTGGAGGAGCTAAACCCTGAGGTGGGAGCACTTTCTTCTTTCAATTTTACTTCTTTTGCTTTATCATTCTTGAATACACCATTGATAAAGCACATTTCATATTCGTCGGGAATAGTCCAAAAGGCTCCTTTTCCTTTAACTCCGTCGTCCCTATCGCGACGACGGAATGCAGGGCATAAGGTTAGATTGTGTCTTATTGAATTCTATAACATTAAATAATAATATTATTATTGATCTTTAAAAAATAACAATAATGTTTTGAAATTTTATTATACATACTTGCCAACCCTTATTTTCCATTTTATAGAAAGGGTAAGTGTCAGAAATCCACTTATAAATTTCATTTAGTGGACGTTTTTTATTAGGAGCCGCCAATACAGCTTGCCCTATTAATGATGTATAGGTATATGGAGGTTTAGCTTCGGCACCTTCGTCATTAACGTCATTAGCTTCGCTACTACTATCTTCATTGCCTCCTTCCTCTTCGAGTGGCTCCAGATTGTTCTAATTTACAAACAATTGACAAAAGTTAAATTGACAGGGACAAATCCCATTGTAAACCAGTAAACCACTTAAATAGATTTCTTTTTTTTTTCTTCTTTTAAACAATAATTATTCCTAATTCTAACTAATATGAAACAAAGAAAATGGTATGGTAATTGCACAAGTTGTTATTCCCACAAATTATATTATATAAGTTAATGAACTCTTTTAAAATATATTTTTTTTAATATATCCAAATATAACTATTATTTTCATTTCCCATCATTTTGTATGATCTTTACATACTTACCCCCGGTTCATTCTGTTCATTTCCGTTTTGATATACTTCAGTTGTCATATTGGCATTCTGAACATTATTACTAGTTTGAAAATTATTCATAACAGTTGATGTAAAATTGACTTCTGGTTCATTAGTTGTAATGGTATTGGTGGTGACAGATATGGGTGTTGTGGTGTTATTATTGGTTATTGGTGAAGTAGAGAGTGGTGAAGGAGTGGTTACGGTAAGTGGTGAATTAAGATAATTATTAGTGGCGATGATATTAGTTGCCACGGCGATAGGTGCAGTCGCGGGTGCGGGCTGATAATAATTATTCATATAGTATCGAACGTCTTCTTGGACATTATAATAATACTTATTATTATTATTATTATTATTATTATTCAATTGATTATTCATTTGGTTATTCATTTGGTTATTCGTTTGAATTTGATTAGTTTGATTATTCATTTTTGATTAGAAAGTAATAATGCTTGATAGAGTAACTTTTAAGGTATTATTATCAGAATAAAAATATAGAGCGACGTGAGATTATATAATCAGATCGTTTATGCTAAGAATAAGAATTAGAGCAACGATTAAAAAACGAGGGACTTCATGAGTTTTTATAGTTTTAGTGAAAATCAATGTAAATCAGACGCGTCGAAATATTGTGGGATGTTTTGTATTTTGATTTTTACGCGTATTTGATTGTATCACATCATAAATAAATTAACTATATGCATCCATATACAGCATAGTATATTTTAACTATTGATACTTTCGTAATACATAAAAAGTATATTTGTATAATTTCAATCAATTATAAAAATTATATTTCTCGCGGAGAATTATTAACAATGATGTTTAAAAATAATCTAATCAGATAATGCACCAGTTAATTATTTAGAACACAAATATTACGTTTTGTCTTTTGTTGTGGTAATTTTAGAAAAGGTTAATTTTTTGACTATCACTGAGTTATAATACTTTATACTTGTTATTATATCAAAAAAAGTCTTATTCAAATTAAAGAATTTTAAAAATATATTTATAATCTCATCAGATAATTCTTTCTTTGATTTTACTAAGATTGCTAGTGAAATGTTAAGAAATCAAGAATTATCTAAATAAAGAAAATAATTAGTCGAAAGATATATTAATAAACTTAAGACTTTTGTCAAAATTCATTTATTTTCTGCAATGAGATTTTATATGTGTATATATGTGAATTGGAATTGTAGCCAATTTATAAATGTGATTCTTTATCATTCAAATTGATATAATAATTAAAATTAAAATTAATTAATTATAAATGTAATTACAAAATTACTCCCCTTTCTTTAGCAAAATATAAAAGAAAAACTTAACCCTTTTCTTTATTAAAAATAAATTGGCTATTTTCAAAGCCAAAATACCAGAAAAACAAAGAAGTACATTACTATACCTATAAAACAACATTATAATTCATTATAAAATCAAATAAAATTATCAAATTCAAGGAACCAACACTTTGCTTATCATAATTATTTACTAAATTCCCTATTACAATTATTTTTATATTAATCTTGATGATTTTTTGCCAACTGCTCAAACAAATCCATAATATTTTGGCGTTTTATCGCCAAGGTTAAGGAATCCCAATCCTCCTTCTTTACAGTATTTTCAAGGATACCCTTCTCAAGACTTCGGTAGTTCTTGAGAAAGGTTTCCACGAAGTGAAGTAAGTATACCCCGCAATCAAACGCATTTGGCTGCTTTGGAGTTACGACAAGTCCGGTCGTAAAATTTGGAGGAAGGACTTCTGGTCCTCTTGCCCAACTCGCCTCACAAACGAAATTCTTTAAAATTTCATACGCCCTATCATGTGAGAACTTCATTGCGAGGGAGTCAAAGATTGCAATATGACAATCTTTGTTGTTGTTACTCATTGTCACCAAGGCCAAGTACCAGTGGCCCCTATCACAAATAAATATTAAATAAATATTAAAATAAGTTAAAATTTATAAATGAATAAGTAGTAAATAAACAAAATTTACCGTTCGCAGACCGGGACAAAAATATATTTTAACGCAAATAAGTTTATTTTTCTTTTCGATAACCACCTTTGGGCGGCCTTATAGACTTCCAACGTGCTCTTGCTATAAATAATTAATATAAAAATAAAAAACTTTATAATATTACTATGAATTAATAAACTATTTAACAAGTTAAAATAAATTATATTTACCCATCTCTTGTTAAATTTGATAATCTCTCGTAGAAAAGGGAATCAAAGATATACGTTTGTTCTGCACCCGTCGGATCCGTCTCCCAAAGGCGATCATAAAGGTATCTATTTAAATAATCAGTATTTAAATTATTAAATAAAAAAAATTTTTTTTTTTAAATGAATATTTGATGGAGATAGTACCTCAAGTAAAAAACGACAATATTGTCATTCAACTCATCTTCTTGATATAATCGTAGAAATTCTCGGACTTTAATATTAATCGGGCAATTGCTATTTCGGGATGTGTAGCTAAACAAAGTTTTATCTGGATTATCGATAGATTCGAATGCTGTAATCTCTACGTCATTGATAGAATTGGCCTCTTCCGTCTCGGATTGTTGCTGTTGTTGTTGTCGCTTAATATGATTGGACTCTTCCGTTTTGGATGATTGTTGTTGTTGTCGTCGATTGATAGAATTGGACTTTTCGGTTTTGGATTGTTTTTGTTGTTGTTGTTGTTGTTGTTGTTGTTGTCGTCGATTGATAGAATTGGCCTCTTCCGTTTTGGATTGTTGTTGTTGTCGATTGATAGAATTGACCTCTTCCGTTTCGGATTGTTGTTGTTGTCGATTGATAGAATTGACCTCTTCCGTTTCGGATTGTTGTTGTCGTCGATTGATTGAATTACTCCAGTCAGTCCTCAATTCATTGTATTCTTTAATAATACTTAACGATTGAGACAATTCTAATGGCACAATTCTATTTATTTTCGTACTTAGGTATTCGATTGTAGACTTATATGCATTTAAATCTTTAGTAATACCAATGAGTTGAACGTTTGAAGATAGTCGTGGGACCTTGTGCTCTTTATCAGTTTTACCACCAGGAGCTTTGCAATGAAAAATTATTAATCCAAGGTAACATTGCATAAGAGTAACGTACTTGATGGAAATTTTGGCTATCAACTCATCCTTACAAGTAAAGCAAAGTATATCATCAGTGATAACGAGAGTGTGAGGGTGTTTACATTTCCACCAATATTCATTAGATTCGCTTCGGCAAAAATCGACTTCTGATAAGCGCAAAAATATTGAATCATTCTGAACAAAATCATTAGCAGAAGATTTTGATGATGGCGGTAGTAATGCATCATCATCAGAAATCAAGTTGACAATTTCATTATTGTTGTTTTCTCGATGAGTCTTTCGTTTTTTGTTTAGCAATCGACTCAAATTCTTGTTATTATTATGTGGTTCCGAACGTTTCTTTGATTCATTTATAGAAATTGCCTTATCAAAAGGTACCAAATCAATAACTGATGATTCTTTCCTTTTACTAATCGTAATAACTGGTTCTTCATCAGATAATATCATGATTGAATCGCGATACTTCTGGGCACTCCGTGTTTTTAGCTTAATTCTCTTCTTCGGAGGATTTTCATCACGCGGTTCTTGGGAATTAGGACGTTTTGCCAACGAAGTGTTTGACGAATTTGATGATGTACTTGTTTCTTGCTTACTAGAAGGTTGAGTATTAGAATATTGTGTATTAGGATATTGTATATCAGGAAGCTGATCATTGGTTTCTTGAGAATTAGAACGGTGAGCATTAGGACGGTGAATATATGTACGTTGAGAATTGGTACATTGATCATTCGGGCGTTGAGCATTAGAACGCGTTATTAACAGACTAGATGATTCTTGCGTATGTTGCATTGAAAAGGTACCTAATTCTTGAATACTAGGAAGTTTCATATCAGAACGTTTCGTGATGGGATGTTGAGAGTGAGAATTAAGACATATTGTTGATAGCTTTGATGTTGTCCAGGTTTTTTGTATATCGGTATCCTGCATTAAAGATGTACTTAAATCTTGAATGCTAGGACGTTGCATATCAGAACACCGCGCGGTAGGAATTTGTGTAATGGGATGTCGATCTTGAGGTTTAGGACTAGTTGATAATAAATTTGATGCTGTCCACGTTTTTTGTATATCGGTATCTCGCATTAAAGATGTACCTAGTTCGTGAATGCTAGGACATTGAAAATCAGAACGTTTCGCGATGCGACTTTGTGTAATGGGATATCGAGATAAACTTGATGCTTCCCGCGGTTCTTGCAGATTCATATTTTGCGTTGAGGATGTTCCTGGTTCTCGTCGCATATCAAAACGTTGAGTGATGGAAACCTTTGTGATAGGACGTTGAGTATGAAAATCATCTGATGCTACCCATGATATACCTAATTCTTTAATACTAGGAAGTTTAGTATTGAAATTTTGATGTTGCACATTAGACGATTGTGCATTAGATTGCTGAGCTTGATCATTAGTTCGTTGACCACAGGAACCTTGCATATGAGAACGTTGAGCATTCGGATCTCGAGTATTAAGAGGTTGATGATGCTGCATATTAGGCTTCTGAGCATTAGAAGATAGAACATTGTGACGTTGAGCATTGAAACATTGCATATTGGGATATTGAATATTCGGAAGTTGAGCACCATGCGTATTAGGACGTTGAGCATTAAGGTGTAATATATTAAGATCTTGCGGTTGAGTAGTATTGAGTCGTAGAATATTAAGATCTTGTGGTTGAGAAGAGGGACGTTGAGAATTAAGGCGTATAATCTTAGGATCCTGCGTGTCGGATTGTTGCATGCTTTGACTTGAAGCTTTAAAACCTTTCATTTTTACGTGTTGTTAATGAATTTGGCCTTGATCAATGCAGAAAAGTTGATTTTTAAAACGTTCTTTCTTTAAGTTGATTTTAGTTGATTTTGAAACAAATATATATTATATATTGAATTATTTAAACTGATATACAAAGCATTAAATAAAATTTTAAAAAAATGTCCTTCGATGTTTACGTCAAAAAATATTGTTGTAAGAAAGTTACTAGACAACACGCGGCTTATCTTAATTCGCGAATTGAAATGAAGTTCTTTTAATACATACCTAATAAACCTAGTAAACCAACTAAGAAATTTTATTGAGAAAATGCAATAATATGGACTTTTTATCTAGATTCCCTGTGATTTTACTGACGTCACACAACTCTTGTTCGCGTTTTTTTTTTTGAGACGCGAAATTTGAGTAATCGATATCGATGATCATGTGCAGATCGCGCACATGATTTTAATCTGATAGCGCAGTTTTCTTATAACTTTAATTTTCTTTTTCAAGTGATCTAGTGATCTCGTACTTTTTTTTATTATTTACAAACATTTTAAATTGACATTGTATAAATTCATTATATATTTTTGTATGTATTGTACATGTGTAAATAAAGAATAGACATACTTTATGATTTTGTTTAGATGTATATGAATATAACGGAATTAGTATAACATTGTATAGTTATCCCTCATTCCCAATTTCTTCTTCATCCCATGCCCACCCGGGACTATTATTTTCTAGATTATTAAAAGAAGTGTTTTTAATATGAAGGGATGGTAACAATTTCTCCTCTTTTTTCTTTATAACATCTTCACCATCTTCGTCGTTATCGGAAACTTGCGGTATTGTATTGTCAATTTCTTCTTCATCGATTTCGCCCTCTTCAATAGAAGAAGAACTTACCTCTCCAGAAACAACTTCATTACTATTACTTAAAGAATCGTCATTACTTATTTCATTTTCACACCACGTAACGGTAGTAGACTTTTTGGCGGATGCTTCTTGTTCGTGATCATTCCCGGCATACAATTCGACCTTTACTGTGTTTGTAGCCGTTATCACTTCTTCTCCATCATCGTCGTCAGCATTCTCAATCCAACTTTCCAATTTGTTATATAACGCTGCTTCATCATCAACCCCATCCAGTACTTCAAGTATTTCCAACAACATTTCATATTCTCTACATGATTTTTCATACAGAGAAATTTTCTCTTCTGTGCAGGTTATAAGATGATGTGATATAGCACTCATTGCTCTACTAATATTTAATTCATTTATTGGATTAAATAAAGACGTCGTGAACGAAGATGTTAAAGATTCATCAAAATCTGTAGAGCAATGCAAACTTTATAATTATCAACAAACGATATTAGTAATATATCAATTATTAAGATTATTATTAAAAAATTAATAAATAAATAAATAATCTATTTCTAACCTATCTTCACCGAATGCCTCATGTAGATACTCCGAACCTTGTCCGGGAATGATCATGAACGGTGCAGGAATGACGTTAGTTACTTCGTTTGAGGGCGTTTTTACCTGAAATCACGTTACGTAAATAATTAAAGAAAATATAAGATAATATAAAGATAAAACATAAACAATATATATTTACCCTTTTTGACGCGTTCCTGCCATAATTCTCAGTATCAACACCTTTTCTTTTCCTGCCATTCTCCTCAACAACATCTTCGGAAGTAGTTGAATAAGACATCCGCCGTGGTAAACCGTCTACTATATCCGTGGTGCTTGCCCTCCTTGTTCTCGATTTCTTGTTTGACGACCCATGACCATTTCCATATATAGAAAATAATTCTCCAACTTCATCATCATCCTCTCTATCATCCATTAATGAAACAAAATTCGTGGTTCCGCCATTAATTCCCAGGCCATTAACACCGGTTGGTAAAACATCCGCCAATCCTTGTAAAATGCTCATCCCTACAATATCACCTTTAACATCTCGATTTAAATTTTGTAATAGATTCATAACTTCTGATAAATTTGGTGCTGAAAAATAACATTGCGCCGTGGTATCTTCAATTGCAATAGGATTGACGGAGTCCGTAATTTTCGGAACTTTCTGAACAATAATTCCGATAAGATCCTGAAATAAAGCGCATGACTCGCGTGCTATCGAAGGAGTAATTTCTCTAACGTCGTATTCTAAAATTTAATGGAAATTACGCATTAAGTAAACATTTAAACAAACAATTTGAACTAAACTTTAAAAGTTTATTTATAAAAGAGATACCTGTATGTAACTTTAAATAATTGGCTACAATGACTTTTAACATAGATGACTGTATAGTACGAAAATAGGAAGAAGCTATTCGTGGGTTAGAACAATGTGCCAAGACCTCGGGTCCGGGAGCCTATAGGATACAGAGGCGTAGCAAAAAAAGAAAGATTAACGCATTTTGAAAAAACAAATAAATGAATGTATATATAATATATTATAACTTGTTAAAGAGCTTACTGCAAACCAGCCTAGTACCGTCTGATCTCTCCAGTTCATTAGCTTTGCAATTGTGCTTATGAGATCTTGGGAACTAGATTGGTAAGGGAAGAAACCCTAAAAAGAATTTCGTTAATAACCTTTTCGGGAAAACTGTAAGATCTTGGTAAAAATCATGTTACACTTAAAGGTTAATAGACTTACAAACCTTTACATGAATTAAAAGCCTTCGATCTAAGGTTTCTTCTCGTTGACCGAACAAGATTCCTTGAACTGGAGTACCGTCTGTTGCTGGTCTGAGCCGAGCAAAAACATCTAAAGGATATGAAAAGATAAAAATAAAAGATTAAGATATATATAAAATGAAAAGGTTAAACTATATTATACATACCTTTTGGGATTTGAATTGTGGCAGGCATTGAGATTTCGTTGTATATTTAAGAATATGATTAGAAGCTAAGCAAACAAATAAATATCATGTGATTTATAATAGTCGGTTAATAAGCAAAAAATCATAAGATTTCTGAATTAGAATACAAGTTTTGTGCAAGTTATAAGATTACATGGAATAATTACGTAGGTATTAAAGTTTTTTCGTATCTAAAAGTTTCTTTATTACAATAATCATAAAATTCATATTCTTTACATTACAGATATTACAGATGTAAGTTTTAGACGTGTAAAATTTTCGAAGGTTAAAAAGAATGTGTTGATTACTAATAGAGTCTTTTCCATTTTTGCTTTTTAGCTTTGGAATATTTTTTTTTTGGAAAAATAATTTTTTAACTATTAACAACTTCTGGGGGTCTAGCTCAGATGGTAGAGCGTTCGCTTAGCATGCGAAAGGTACTGGGATCGATGCCCAGGTCCTCCAAAGTCAATTCTTTTTCTTTATTTTAAAAGATTTTATTGTAAGAAAATAGTGGCTTTCATGTGTCACCAAAAAAAACAAGAAAACAAGAGATGTTAATTAATAATAAGAATAAATTTTATTGAAAATATATATATATTACATTAATAATATATTTTGATTTAATGAATATATTTAAAATCATATTTTTAAAGAGGATTCCTATCTAAATCCATAAAATCATTTTCTTGACTTAATAACAAAGAATCAAAGAATGAAAAATCGAAAATTTCATTTGACAAATCTGACAATTCTTCAGAAAGTAATATTTCATTTGGTACCGCAATTGATGATTCCGTAGAAATGTCTTGATTAGAAGTGAATTGAGAACTTTCCATTGAAAATTGATTACCCATAAAAAGATCATCATTAGCTCCAATTCGAAATGCATTCACGATTTCATTATTATTATTATTTGTTGAATTTAACCATAAAACAGCCGAAGGTTCGATTAACCCATTATCTTGAATCATTGTATCAATTTTTTTCTAGCAGAGAGAACAATTGGTTTTTTTTAATAGAATTATTCGATGGTTATAAATCAATAAATTACAATAATAAATGTAATAAAATATTACCTCCATTCTTTCGATGGGCTCATGCAAATAATGGTCGACTGAGTTCTCTATACAACCATTTTCAATTCCGGAAGGAGACCAGTGTTCTATTAACATAGGCATTTGCATATTAAGATTCCCCAAGTTGTTTTGTGTGTTTTCCGAAATTAATTGCCGATCCTGATTATCCAATGATTTTTCTCTACTTGATCTATCAGTAATAACTTGATTCATGGAATTGTCAAGTTGCAGAGTTTGCAGTTGCTCATTTGTCTCGATTTTATTTTTTAGTGGTCTTTCAGGTTTAAGTTTTGGTAGTGTTTCTACTGTTTCCTTGTCTACAATTGAAATAGACGAATTATCATCCAATTCTGATTCATTTTTTTCATGAATTTTTGTTGTTGTGCACTCATCTATTTTTTCTCTCAAAGATTCTTCTTCCGAAGAAAGTTCTTTTGGTGATTCGATTTCCGGATCATTATTCTGTGGTGGAAAAGAAAATAGTCTTTTACCCCTAACTGGAATTTTTTCAAATTCAAGATTGTCAAGATTGTCGGGAACAAATTCAAATTCTGAATCTGATTCTGATTCATTTGAATAATAGACTAATGGGATTAAATGTACACTTTTTCCTAAACCACCTCTAGTCTGAGGAACAATTTCAGTTTCACTTTCATTAAATGATTCAAATGAACTTTTTCCTTTGTCACCCGCCGTTTTAACAGGAAAGTTTGATTTTTGTGAGTAACTTTCGCTTTCTGTATATTCATAATTGAATGGTGATGACTCGATTGGGATTTCCGAATAAGCTTTTTTTTTAACAGTCTTAATTGGATTATTCTGAAAATTCTTTATCGAATGTTGTGTACCTTTGGTAATTCTTGAAGACATTTCGGTAGATGTTTTTTTGTTAGATTTTTGTGTGCTTGAAGATTCAGATGTTGGATCCTTTCTCAATCCGTTCAGTTTGCTCGGCCTGCGTTTTATTGTTGAAATTTCTATTGTTTCTTGTTGATTTTTAGGTGTTTGACTTCGACGAAGTCTTTCAACTTTATTGTTAACTGGTATTACTACTGATTGATTTTTTGATGGGAGTCGTCCGTATCTTTTTTCAGAAGACGAAGACGATAATTGTCTCGATTCAATTTCATGATATATTTTATTTATCTTATTTATCTTTGATTGATATGAATTATTATCATCTTCAACAAATTCATTAGTCTGTGGTGAAAGCCTCCTTTGACGACCGCGCGACACGGACCGCAAGGGGGTTTTTTCGGTTTTTTTTTTAGTTGTAAAATCTTGTGTATCCGAATTTTTGTTTTTTCCATCCTCGGCTTTACTTTTTGATAAAGGTCGGCCACGAGACATAGAACGGTTTCGATCAGAATGGTTAATTTCTTCATTATCTTTTAGTGAAGATCTTTTTCTTTTGAGATCATGTGGTACTGAGAGATTTCTTACTTGAGATTTTCCTGATTTCTTTTTAAAGTTTTGCGCAAGATTAGTTTCATTACTACTACTTTCTGATGATGACCTCCTTTGGCGACCACGTGACACAGAACGATTCAATTTTCGAAGTGTTGTGGAACCTTTTACATCATCAAATTTGTCTTTGTTATTACTTTCTAGAGAAGGTCGAACTCTCTGAGGACCACAAAAATTTTTGTTTGAGAAATCATTCTGCATCTCTCGCTCCTTTTTAACTTTAAATGCTTCGATATCAGATTGTAAAGGTTTTCTTAAACGATTAAATTTAGTAGAGTCATTTGCTACATCAAATTGGTTATTGTTATCAACTTTATTCTTTGGAGATCCTCTGTTACGACCACGCGATACAGGCTGATATCTCGAAAGAAAAATTTTCTGATCACTATCAATTTTTATTAAGGAGGATTCATGTGAATCATCAGAATCTTCTAAAAATTCACTACTTTTTGGTGGTATTTTTATTTTGCGTAGCTTACTAGGCACCCTTTCACGTGATAAAGATCTTTTAAGATCACGTTCAACTTTTACATTGCCCTTTTGGTTAACCTTTGAATTAGGAGGTGGGACAGAAACAGACCTAGGCTTACAACCACGTTTTTGAATTTCATAATCTACTTTAACAGGAGTAAAATTTTCAAGACGATTCCTTGAAGGGGTTTCTCCTTTTTTAGAAACAATTGTTTCTCTTCCTACAGGAACGACTGATGGACGAATTCTCCTTTTGGTATCATTATTTGTACTACTTGCGCCCTTAAATGAAGTTGATTCTGGGGTTGAGGCGCAATTTTTTGGGGGTCTTCCTCTTCGTTTTGCAATTTGACTAGTTTGACCTTTTTCAGGAGTAGAAGGACTAGATGGAGCAGGATCTTTTGATTGCACAGATATAACACCAGTTTTACTCAGAGGTCTTCCGCGTTTTCTTTTTGGAACTTCATTTGATGACTCCATTATTTTTTTTACAACTATTTCTTTGCAAAGAAAAGAAGAAAGTTCCAAACTAAGTAAAAAAGGATAGCTATTTAATGCATTTTGGCATAATATGATGATAGAATGACGAATGTACAAATTTAACAAAATCTTATCAGAATATATCTGTCTTGTCATCATTATGTATTCAATTTGAAAATTTATATTTTTTTATTTAATGGATTAATTGATTAGTCAATATATACTGTATATTAGATGATAAAATAGAAATGCGGGGCTCTAAAAAATTAGTTAGATGAAAAAAAAAGAATACGATACAAATAAAGAAAAAGGAATCAAAATTTTAAATCCAATTACTAATCAAATTATCAAATCAATCTAAATTTATCTAATTATGAAATTAGTTATATAATATGTACAATAAATAAAAATAAATTTTCCATGTATAAAAAAAGAATTATCGATTTTCAAAACTCTTTTACATTTTACTAAATGGCAAGATTTAAATAAGGGTATTTTCTCTCGCGTTTTATTCCTTCAAATTCTACGTTATATTTTTATTGCATTATTTTAAAATAATTAGAATAAAATCGTTAATAAATTAAATACCTGACATTGCAAAAATTGAAAATATAATATTTTATTTACCCTAAGCATTAAAGAAATTCTATGTGACTTTGGAATAATATTTCCTTTGAATTTGTGTTCGGTTGGGTTCACGGGAATTTCGTGAGTAAAATTATATCGAATTGAATCACTTTTTGTAATTTATTACGATTTATTATAATTATAATTTATTTAAAAATGAAATAATGATGATGATAATAATAATAATAATACCGTTGAATGTAAAGACATCCTGGTTCTAGTAATGCATCAAAATAAAATTGAGGATTATCTTTGTGGCGAAGTCTCATTACAATTGAAGACATCAGACATACGCCAGCCACTATGTTTCCAGAATACTAAAAAAAAAAGTTTTTGAAGTTTTGAATTTTGAATGTTTAAAAGCCAATAATAATAAGAAGAATGATAATAATAATAATAAATAACAAATAATTATTATAATAACTATAAAGGATACCTCAACATTATCGATATGAGCTTTAATTCCACCATAATTTGCTAATTCCAAAAGATGTACAGGTAACCATCGAAGATTCTCAGGAAAAAGACTAAATATTTTTTTATTAAAAATTTCATTCGTCTTTTCATCATCATCCCAGTGAGTAGACTGACATTCTCGATATCCATGAATTACTCCATCAAAATGAGCATCTTGATAAGTTACTTTTTTACCAAAAACCCTTTTAAATTTCTTTAAGGATTGGTCTAAGAGAAATTCTTGTTCGAGTGAAGTGAAATGATTGGGAAGAATAATAAAATCATCTAAAGAGAAATTGGACTGATTGGACTGATTGGATTGATTGGATTGAATAGATGAATTAATATGAGAATAGTCAAAATATTTAAGTGATTCGGGAGGATTTTTGACGATTTTCTGAGCGGTTGTACCATTTATACATTGATGACGAATAGGAATAAATTGTTTAAATTGTTTAAATTGTTTAATTTGTTTAAATTGTTTTAGAAAATAATTAACATTCTTAATGTACCATTTATACATTGATGACGAATAGGAATAAATTGTTTAAATTGTTTAATCAAAAAAAAAACCGATTTTTAACCCAATTATAATTATAATAATAAAAATCACATGTTTCCCATGTTGAAAATACTAAAAAGTACTAAAATGTTTTTAAAATGGTATAATATTTCGATCATAATTACGTTTTAATAAATTTTACTCACAATTAAATTATTACATAAATAAATTGAACAATTTTTTTTTATCTAATTATATAAATTCTTTTTTCCTGTTTAAGGACGAATTGATTTAATTTTGATTTCAGGAAAAGGAAATAAAATTCTAAAAGATAATCAATTTAAAAATGCGCGAGAGATTTTATAACCGCGTTCAAGCTGGTATTATTCTGTCGAATGATGTCGAGAAGAAATATGATAATGCTAATAAGAATGTTATTATTTTAGCATTACCAAGGTACTTTTATCATGGATGATTATATCTTTATTATCTTTTCCCCATTTAATAAATGAGTAAAAAATTCAATGAAAATTCGAATTCAAAGAGGAGGGGTTCCGGTTGCTTACCAGATTGCACAAAAAATAAAAGCTCCGTTGGATGTATTTTTAGTCAGAAAAATTGGTGTCGAAGGGTAAGTTGTAAACGATTGTAACACGTGATATAAATATACGTAGTGGATGCTAAAGTAGAAGACAAAAAACTAATTTAATTTATAGTCATGAAGAATTGGCCGTAGGTGCCATTACTGAAACTTCCAAAATTTTTAACGATGACATAATCAAAATGCTTCACATTGGTCAAGATTCAATCGACCGTGTCATTAAGCGTGAGGTAATAATTAAATTTCAAAAGAAATTATTATTATTATTTAAAAAGGAATTAAAACGAGTATTACTATTACTATTATTATTATTATTATTATTATAGACCGAAGAATTACAAAGGCGAAACCAACTTTATAGGAAGGGAAAACCTGCAACAGATATTACTGGAAAAACTGTAATCCTTGTTGATGGAAAATATTTTTATTATTATACACATGTTATCTTTTCTTTTAAAAATCAATCAATTAATAAATATTTATTCTAACAGATGGAATTGCTACAGGAGCAACAATGCGAGCAGCTTATACATCTATAAAAAGGCTGCAAGTATAACCAATATTGTTCAAATACTTTATATATATATATATATTTCTTTTCATAATATATTTATTTGTTTATATCGTGTAGTAAACCCGCCGAAGTTGTTGTTGCGGTTCCAGTCGCTGCTCCTGATACACTTTCAAAAATGTCAAAAGAAGTGGATAATATAATTTGTACGATGGTACCTCGAAACTTAGGTGGAATCGGTCAATTTTACGTAGATTTCTCACAGGTAATTTTGCTTAAAACTGAGAATAACATATTTGATAATTATATATAAAAAAAATGGTATCTTAATTATATGTAATATTATATTCATTAGACCGAAGATGCGGAAGTCTTGGAATTATTAAAAAAAGCCGAAGAGAAGTATAGTGTTCCAACTATTTCTGCTGAAGATACTGCCAAATATAAAAATGAAACTATTTTGGAATAAAATTCTTGTAATCTTAATTGTGAAAGAATATTATTTTCTTATGTTCAAGTATTCGAAATATTTAAAATTCATCTAAACTATAATTAATTGTAAAATAATAAAATAAAGTTGTATTTTTTTCTTTTGTTAAGCAATATCGTATCCTTCCTTTGCATTATTACTTCAAATATATAGTGATACTTCAAATAATGACAACGATATCTTAAATCAAATCAAAGCAATAAATCTCATTACTTTAAATAATGGCAACAATATCTTATATCAAATCAAAGCAATAACAACATCTCCAATTTCAATTTCAATTTCAATAAAAAAATTTTTGAATTAACGACTTTTTTTTTTTTTGAGTTTTAGAATTTTTTGAAACTTTTTTTTTTTTATATTAAAAAAGTAGTTGGAAAAATAAAATAATATAATATAATGGTAAAAAAAAATCCAATAAGATATAATAGATAGATAGAAAAAATATATATATAAAAAAATAATGAAAAAAATAAAATAATAAAATAAAATAAAACCTATATACAACTTTAGAGATTTTTTGTCTCAAAGTATTAATAAAGAAACTACTTTACTATATTTAGATATATTTGGTCAAAAGCGAGACTAGCTACATAAATCTCGTATAAAGTAGTTTTTATTTATCCAAAAGGAGTATCTTGACGCCATGACACAAGTTGTCAAATCCTATTCCTAGTTAAAGGTTAGATAAGTCGTCTATGAAAAAAATAAAAAAATAATTTTTTTTAAAATAAATAAATAAATAAATAAAAAGATAAATTAACAAAGTAACATGATTTATAAACATTACCAACCTTATGTTTGCCATGAACAAGTTAATGCCCAAAGCGACGCAAGAAGTCTATATATAGATGCCGATTGAAATAAGATTGCGGCGCAGTGGGGATCCCTAAAACTATAATAAAAAGATTGTTCAGATAAATGTTAATCGGATGTTACACAGCCTCATCTTTCCCCAGACAACAAATTTCCTAAAAAGCTTACCATAATCCTTCAAAAAAAAAGATTACCAACAGTAATACCAACAAATAAAAAGGATGGCGTTTATGAGAGAAAATTTTCAAAAATGAAAAAATCCGATCAGAGTAAAAAATAATTGGAGTATAGAATTGGAGTAATTGAATTTGGATTTTATAAAGGTAAATCGTGTACAATAATCGTTTCCGATAATATCATGAGAATGATGTCTATGAGAAATTAAAAATGCTAGCCTTCCTCGCCGGTATTGAGCAAAAAAAATTTCCGCAAACCCAAATCCGACACTAGCATTTCTAATTAATCATGTTTTGACTTATTCCATGAAAAAAATGTGTATCGAAAGTTTTTCGACGATAAAATAAAATAAAATAAATTTTAAAAAACGAATACGTATTGTTCGTGAAATAAAACAACGAATTTTGTTTTATACGAAATTAAAAAGAGTAGTGGTTAAGTGTGTTGTTTCTGAGTCAAGACGAACTATAGAGTTAAAAATATTTGATATAGTTTTTTTTTTTTTTATTTTTTTTGTTTAAAACCCGGAATCGAGAGTCATTATTAATAGTGCCGCAAAGTAAAAATAAAAAAAAAAGGTTCGTCAAAAAAGTATTTGAGTTCATAGAAAAAAACAAAGGAGAAACTGTATAATACGGAAGAGATGGAAAGTCTTGTGTTGGTTATAAGTTTTTTTTTTTTGATATTTTTTATATACTCTGAATTTTTTTCATTTTTATTTTCTCTGAATTTATTTGAAAAAAAAAAAGGAAATACGAATATTGATAAATATATAATTTAAATAAAAATAAGAAGGAAAGGTTTCGCAATGACTCAGAAACCACACACTATTCATTATTGAGAATAAGAAGTTGGTATTACTGTTTAATTAATTAAAAAAAAATAAAGAGGACAATTTTTGATGTTTTCATTTTGAGGAAATGTTTTAGAGAATCCTGAAGCTTCTCACATCCTCCAAGTGAAGGTCATTTTATATGAAAAATTTTGAGGGAGGTGAACGGAAAAAAGGGAGGTAACGCGAAATATTTCACACACACGCAAGTAATATCAGTTAATCAGTAAACATACCGACTATTTTATTTTATTTTATTTTATTTATTTATTTTAAAATTATTATTATTTTTTTTTTTTATTTTAAAATTATATTTTAAAATTATAAAATATTTGAAGTATTAACCGGGATTAACAAGTTTAAGTATAAATTTGGGGGACTATTCGAATAAACAGTATTTCATTGAAGAAAATTGTTAATCTGAAACGTAAAAAAAAGAACGTAGCACATAAAGGAAGATGATAGTTAAATTTAGTTTAATTTGTTGTATTAATTAAGGACAAACACATATGAAAAATAAATAGTGATAAACTATTGGGAGATTGAACGACAAAGAGTGTATGAAAATAGATAAATATATTATTATAAAACTATAATAACTAAAATAATAATAATAATAATAAACGAGAACGAGATAATTTGAAATGATAATTGAGGCTATTATTATTTAAATGTTATTAAACTTGTGTCAATTAATAATCGTCAAAATCACCTAGAATTAGTTATAATTATGTTTAGTTATATGCAATGAATATATAAATATATATAAGTAGTATCATTCAAAGCACTTTGCCGATATGTGTGTCCAATGCGTCTGTCAAAAAAAAAGGACAATCTATCTAAAAATTTCTATTCTTCCTTAATCTTATTAGATTTTCACATCATGAAAATTGTAACCCCCCCAAATTTTTCAATTTTTGAAACTTGCATTTTTCGTTCACATTTTTTTCAACTTTGTAAACAATCGTTTTCATTGTTCCAATTTTTTTCCCTTTATTTAACTCCACACAAAGTTACTAGCGTCACTTGGTATCACTCAAAACGTCATGTGCAGAATTGGACATACCTCCAAACTCAGTAAGTTGTGTGGTGTGGGGAAAAATGTATCACTCGTTTTAAATAAAAATGGTGAGATTTAAAATGGAAGTTTTTTTTGTTTAACGCGCGTGCACGATTTAAACCGATTGCAGATTATTAATAAAAGTGTATATCAATAATATTAATAAAGTATATTAATAATAATGCATATTAAGCTATTGATATTCAATTAACGGGTAATATTGATAGAATTAAATAGAATTAAATAGAATTAAATAGAATTAAACGGAACGAATTAAAATTAAGAAATATATAATTAATTTTAATGTTTTAGGAATAATCAATCTACTTCTCCGTTCTTAAAATTCTCATTTCGTATTTATTTTGACTCAATAAATTCAGAATTTACTTTTTAAATTTTTAGGTCAGATAAACAAAAATAGGTTAATTAAAGGTGTACAATCATGTGTACAAGTTAATAATAATAATAATAAATAAGTTTATTTTTTTTTGTTTATTAAATTATATAAACAAAAGTTTATCGCTTATTAATAAAAATTATAAAAACTATAAAAATTAAAATTTAATATTAAATCGAAATTTTTAGGTTTATTTGTCATATGATCTTTATTTCACCCAGTATTTTTCGTTTTCGTTCAATATTTCGTTATAACTTGATTTAAACTTGGATTAATAAAAAAATTTTTCAAGAACTCGAATAATTTGGCGTTAAATTTTGTCCTCCATAAACATCATTTATGATATTATTGGTTTACTCTGTCTGCCGGTTATTTTTTTTTTTTTCTTTTTTGGTCATTGTTTAAATTATTGTTTTTTAAGATTATTAATTATTTGAATTATTAATTATTATTATTAGAATTATTAGAATTATTAAAAATTATCAAAAATTATCAAAAATTATCAAAAATTATCAAAAATTATCAATTATTAATTTGTGAAAATCAATAATTTAAAAAAGAAATTAACACGTTAACTTAAAATTTTTTTGACAAGAGACTGAATTGATATCAATTCTTAGATGATGATTCAATAATTCAGGACAGGATTCATTCATATAATCTAAACTAAACAATTACACAATGTACAATATACATTTATGCGCTTATCCGATATGCTAAATTTGCTAGGTTTCCGATTTTAATTATTATTTTTATTATTAAGGTTTTTACAATCGATCATCTATTATTAATTATTATCATTATCATTATTATTATTATTATTATTATTATTATTATTATTATGCATTATAATTTGACAAGTTCTAATTTAATCCGAACATCTTATTATTACAACGACATTGGAAACATTCATGCAAATAATTGATGCATTACATTTCCATTCTTACTATATTTTTCTCACTTTTGATTATTCGTTCATTTTCCTTGTATTTCGTCTGTATTGTTTATTTATCTATCTTTCTGTCTGTCTGTCTGTCTGTCTGCCTGTCTGCCTGCCTGCCTGCCTGCCTGTTTGCCTGCCTGTCTGTCAGTCTGTCTTTCTGTATGTCTATCTTCTACTGTTTGCTGCTTGCTTCTTCTGTTGCTTCTATTGTTTTTGCTGTTACTTGTTTTATTTTCTTTATTTCTTTACTTGCTCTTATTAACTGCCTTCTTTTCGTTAAATCTCATATCAAAAAATCCGAGTCATACATAAAAATATCAAATATAGTTTAGTTTTTCATGTTCGATTACCCCATATTTGATTATTTAAATATGTTCGTCCCCATAAGATAATTTTAAAGATAATTTGATTCAAAACATCAAATTTTTGACATTATGATTTTAATACATATTTTTTTTTATTTATTTATTTATTAATGTATGTTAATGTATAATAATGTATAAATATTTTTAATGTATAATTCAATAAAATATTTTAATGCAAAATTATTTCGTATTACCACAGTACTTCTGTCATTTGATATTTCACAAAGAAACGTTCTGGTCGGCGTTTTATGCATATATCTTTCTTATGTATATTCATTTATATTATATTATTTTATTTTATTTTGAGAGTCCCTTTGATCATATTAACCTAAAATTGTATTATTTACCTAAATTTCTTTAAAGTTTTATTAATTAGTTTTGATTTATTTCTTAATATGGAAGTATCTTCATGTACTAACCAAAAATGTTATTCTTGCATATTATCGTTCTACATCACTCCACATTAGATTAATCAAAAAATGTCATCAACTTACTTTATCATTCACTTTATCATTGCCTTTATAGGTCATGGTTTCATTATGATAAACCAATTTAGGCATTATTTAAACAAATAATAATTAACATAATATAAATAAAAATAAAAAAAATAATATTTGGATACTAACCTTTTTTTTATTTTCTTTTCTGAAGATCTGCGACCGCGTGACCGAATGATTATAATGTTTAATTGTTTCTTGTTATAGGCAGAAACTAGCAGAAACTAGCAGAAAGTTGTAGAAAATTGTGAATAAGATTAAAGAGTAGTATATAGTAATAAAGAGTAGTATATAGTAATAAAGAGTAATAAAGAGTAATAAAGAGTAATAAAGAGGGGTGGGAAATTGTTATCTAGAACTTTGACTTTTGGATCATTTGACAAAATTGTGTTTAAATTTTTATTAAACTTTAATAATCTTTATTACTTCAAAAAAAAAAATATTTATATATAATTTATATCATTATATTAAATTAACGGATTTTATGATATAGATCTCGATTACTATTTTCAATTACTCCTGCATTGATATTTATTTATTTATAATTATTTATTTTATAATATATATATATTTTGGTGATGATATCCCGAATGAAATATAATCCGTCTACAAAAAAAAAAATAAATAAATAAATCATGACGAAAAGTCGTGTAATATCTCGTTAGGAATAACTAAATGATTAATAGAAAATGTGAATGAAATGTAATTTGAATTTTAATTTTTTTTCTCGAGAACCACCTAATCAAAAATTAAAGTTTGAAATAATGATTAAATTTAACTGTTTAGTGTTAATTATGTTTTGGTTACTCTAAAATTTTAATTTCATGCCTCACCTCCCCCCTATCTATTTTAATTCAAAATGAATAATTTAATTTTATTCAAATAATTATGATTGAATAAAATTGAATATGAGTAACGTTAAACAACCAGAATGACAGGAACAGTTTTTTCTCAACTTACATTAACATCAATGTTAGTCGGTTGGTATATGTGATATTAAGCAGAGAAAGAATGATTGAATGATGCCAATGGGCTAAAAAATTACGAGACAAAAGAATTTCAAAAAGGAAATCAAAAAAAAAAAAAAAGCAATCACCTTTAAGAAATTTACATCTCAAAATCCAGTAAAAAATCCAGTTTAAGATCACGCACGTGCATTGTGAATGCAATATGATATGATGCACTATGAATGGCCGTGAATATGCATTGTGAAAATTTGTGAAAATTATGAAAGGGAAAAGAGAAATTCATTTTTTCATTGATTACAAATATTTTTCTCTGAATTTATTATCTAAATATTTTATAAATAAATAAATATTTTTGCATCAACAATTTATAGTGTTGATATTCTTAATGCATTATCCATCTGATTTGGATACTGTTTATGTGGGGAAGTTACATTTAGGGGTTAGTATTTTTTAATCAGGTGTACAATGATTAACTTATTTTGGAGTTATTTCAATAGTATAATATTTATTATTATTTTTTCATCTTTTTACGGTATTTTTTCATCATTTGTAGTAGTTGATTTATGTTTCATTTAAAATTTCATTTCTTCGTTTCTGTTGTTTCTGTTCGTTTCTGTTCCCTTCTGTCAAGAGGCGGAAGGCTAAATCTCTGTTTACCTGTTCAAAGATTTAAAATGGAATGATTTTCAAAATATCTCAAAATATTACGTATCTCGATTATTTTCAAACCAAAATAACTTGCTTGCATTGACCAATAAAAAAAAATAAAATCATTTTTTCATATTCTTGTATTTATGCATGTATATCGAATTATACTGAATGTATTCGTTATAATGAGAAAAGAAGTATAGACTGTAAATATGCAATTTTCTTAAAGTCGCTAGTTATTCAGTTAAATAAAGAAAAATATGAATTAAAATGAATAACTAAATGAATAACTATTATTGAACAATTAAATGGAACAATAAATAGAACAATTAGTTATTATTTAATAAGAATTTTTCTATTATCTTGAAAAAATATTGTTTTTTAAAAAAAGTTATTCTAGATTATTTCTCGATAATCATTGATTAGATTTTAATGATTTATATTGAATGGTGATATTTTTATTTAGGTCCCAACAAAATTGAACGAAAATTGAGTACGCCTGTAAATCATTAAAACACTAAATTGCTCTTTGAGGGTTTTTTTCTTTTCCGTTTTTTTTTTACCAGTGATTTCGTAGTCAACCTGGCTGTGGACCGTTTCTTGATCATGAAAACCCATCAGATTCATTATTTTAATTAATTATTTACTTTCATAAAACTATCCCAATTGATCTTGGTTACCAAACATTGCAGAATGAGTAATAATTTTTTGGTTTTCTTTATTCAATTTCATTCAATTTAACTTTGAAAAATATTATTGTCAGTAATGAAAACTTTTATTAAAATCTTTTAAATTTATGTATAATCTTCTACAAATATATAAATATATATATATACTGATCTGTATATATAATATACACACATTGAATAACTTATTAAAGGTAATGAACTAAAAAATTACATTGACAAGATGTAATCTCTTAAAAAAAAATAGCAGTGAAATTTTTAAATTCAAGTTTTGCTGCTGTAATAGAAGCCTTAAAAAAAGAAAGGAATAATAAAAATAAACAGGAATTAAAAAAAAATAAAAAAGAAACAACAATAACAACAAAATTATTCTTTGACCAATTAAATTTTTAATCATATTTAAAATCATTAACTTTTTTAATTTTTTTTTAAATAATAAAAAAACCAATGATTTGAAAATTAAATTTCCCATGATCACAATGTCGCAAATGTCACAATGTATACAATTTTATGAATTTACCATATTGGGATCATATTTTAGACCTTCTGACGCGTAAATTATCATCCCATAATGTGGATCGTTAAAAGTTATAAAACAATTATCCTCATTAAACGAAATTTTAACTCATGAAATTTTTGGGGGGAATTCTTTTATTTCTTGTAATAAATAAATAAGTGATAATAATAATAAAAGCATTTTTTTCTAACCGAAAAATAAAGTAAATATTGTTAAGAAAAAAAAAATGACAAATTTTATTAAACAAATTGTTCACAAAAGTTTTATTCTTTCTGCTGTTGTTTCACCGTCTTCAAGAATCACCGCAACAAAATTTAATTCATTTAAAAAAGTTGCCATAAAGGAATTTGGTGCTTTAACAACTTCTTCAACATGTCGCAATGCACAACCTCATACTTTCAATGTTTTAAAAGATGTTATGGAACATGATACTAGTTCACCTTCTTTCATGGTTGGTTACGATAATGGATTCTTACCAAGATGGGTAAATAATTATTGTGTACATTTTATATTTTATTTTATAATTTATAATTATTATAATTATAATTATAATTATTTTATATTTTATATTTTATTCATTTATTTTATTTTATTTTTTTTTTTTTATTTTATTTTATTTTAGGACCCTATGGCACAATTACCAGATAAATTTTATGCTCTTGAATATCTATTACAGAAAATGCCAATTCAATTACCAAATGGTGAACAAGGTTTATTGGCAAAAGGTGAATTAGGTGAAGCAGTTAAAGATTTACCTTTATATGATATTAAAGATATCTCAGATCAAAGACTTTTATCAGGTAAAAATTTTTTTTTTTATATACAGTAAATTTTATGTATAGTTTATATCCAGTTTATATATAACAATTTATATGTGTGTTTTAACAATATAATTATTTTTTATCTTTAAAATTAAATCAGCTTTGTTTAGAGATTACACATTTTTAGCATCTGCCTATTTACTTGAACCATGTGATATCATGTTTAGAGAGAAAAAAGATTATGGTCTTGGTCGTCAAATTTTACCAAAAAATATTGCAGTTCCCTTGGTGGAAATTTCCAAAAAATTAAGTGCTTTTCCTTTCATGGAATATGCTCTTTCTTATAGGTAATAAATAAATAAATATAAATAAATGAATATAAATAAATAGAGAGATATATATATGTATATTTGTTACTGAATTGCATCCCCAAATTCGTTAAACCATACTAATATCTATTATAGTTTATACAATTATCGACGCGTGGATCCTTCAAAACCCATTGTTTATTCTAATTTGAATCTTATTCGCGAATTCTCGGGTATTTTATCGGAGAAAGGATTCATTCTTGTTCACGTGACAATGGTGGCGAATTCGCCATCGTTGGTTCGGTGGACAATGGAAACACTTGACTCAGTTGAAAAAAATGTAGAGTTATTATTATTATTATTATAATAATTCTATTACTGTTATAATTTATTATAATAATTTAGTAATAATAATATATATATATATTATTTTATTTTATTTTATAAAGGATCGTACTAGATTCAATAATTCACTCAGTAAACTTAATGAAACGATGACTTTAATAAATACCGAAATGAAAACAATGTGGGAAAGATCAAATCCCGATGATTATTTAAAATTTCGTACTTTTATTATGGGATCTAAAAATCAACCAATGTTTCCAAAAGGTTAACAATTATAAGTTAATTTTTAACTAATTTAACATTTATAGTTTAATATTAACTGATTAATTTAACATTTTATTTGAAATTTTTATCTTAATTTAGGTATCATATATGAAGGCGTGTCAGAAGAACCACTTTTTTATCGAGGCAAGTACCGTAATATCAAAGATTCTTGTTTTTTTTATTTTATTTATTAAGATAAAAAAATTCAGTAAAAAATAATTTTAAAAATAATCATTTCATTTATGATATTTTATATAGGTGAATCGGGAGCAAATGATTCAATGATTCCATGCATGGATAATTTATTACAAATTACATCTAAATTGCCAAAAAATCCACTCACAGAAGCAAGTGAAAAAAAAATAATTTTATAAGCATCATAAAAGTTAGAAAAAAAAAAAAAATTATTAATTTAAATATTTTAAATAGGTATTGAAGGATTTCAGAAGATATCGGCCAATAAATCATAAAGAATTTTTGGATTTTGTTCAAAGACGTGCCGAAGAAGTTAATGTTCGAGGATTTGCTACTCAGGTTATAATAATTATTATTATTATTATTTTTTTTTTAAAAAAAAGCATTCATTTATTCATTTATAATGTTTACATATTTTCAATTATAATATTAAACAGGATGCAAATAGTACAGGTAAATATATATATATATATATACATTTATAAATGTCTCGGTTATTTATAGTTAATTTTTTTTCGATATTTTTATTTTATAGCTCTTTACCTAGCGAATTTGGATAAAATCATTGCATTCCGTTATCGTCATTGGAATTTTACCAAAGAATATATAATTAAAAATACTACCCATCCTGTTGCCACAGGGTAAATAATAAAAAGTTTATTCTCCTTTTTTTTCTATCTTTAATTCTCGTTTAATATTTTATTTACATTTTCTTTGATTTCGTTAGTGGTTCACCCATTGTCACATGGCTTCCTAATCAACTTTTAACTATTCTTGAGCAAATGTCTCAAATTTATAAAACGATTGATTATTCTCAATTAACACCTGAGAATAAAATTCTTATCGATGAACTTATTGCTAAAGCTAATAATAAAAAACGTGTTTTGAATGGTGACGTGAAAATTTTGAAAGAGAAATTTAGTCCAGAAAGTCAAAAACGTGTAGTGGTTTAATAATTATATTTAAATTTTTTATTTATTTATTATTTTCTTTTTTCTTTTTTCTTTTTTTTTTTTAATATAATTTTGTAGTGTAGCCTTAATTGAATATCCCCGCCCCAGTATGTTATTAAAATATCTTAATCTATTATACTTTTAAATAACTTTTTCTAATAAATAAATAAAAGTAACAATTAAAAAAAAATCTAAATGTTGTATTATGAAGATTTTCTATAGAGATCTTGTCTATGATGTATTAAGATTCGATTAAAATTATGTAGTTAAATAATAAAAAAAATCTAATAATTATTTTCTTACCGTATTAAATTAAATAAATTAGTTTACAATAAAAATTAAAAAAAAAAATTATTCAATTGACATAATAAGGAACTAGAAGATGAGCATGTACAGCTCTAAGTGCAATTTCTGCTTTTTCTTCATTAATTACACAAGAAATGTTAATTTCAGAAGCACCTTGGGATATCATTTCAATGTTTACATTGGCAACAGCAAGTACACTGAACATTTTCCCAGCAATACCAACCATATTTTTCATTTGCATTCCAACTAAACTTAGAATTGCCATATCTTTGAGAACATCCACCTAAATTATATATAAAAAAAAATAAATAAATAAATTAATTAAAAGATAATAGTCAGAAATGTTAAGAGAGGAAATTAAAAAATAACTACATGATTTAATATTTACCCTTCCTAATTTTTTCAAATCTCTTATTGCATTTTGTAGATCATTTTCCAGAATATTTGCACAAATAGCCATGGAAACGTGAACTTCACTTGTTGAAATGAGATCAACGATAATTCCATAAGTGTCCAATGCCGCAAAAATTTTAGCAAAAAAACCATGACTAATTGTTTTACGATTTGAATGAATGTTTAAAACAATAATTTTATCTTTTATGGTAACCGCTGTAGGATGCTTTCTTGACATATCAGCGTGATAACCATTTTGATCTAAAAGTTCTAAAATATTAGTATCCTTTGACCAACCATTGTTGGCAATAATATCTGGAAATATAATTGTTCCATTTTTCAAGGGATTCATAACATTCTTTATACGAATAGGGATATTATGACGCATAATTTGTTCCATTGTAAAAGGATGTATAACCTCTGAACCATAATATGTAAGTTCTGATGCTTCCTCGGGAGTGATAATCGGAAGAAGTCTAGCATCTAAAACTTTACGTGGATCTGCAGTAAAAATTCCATCAACTTCTTTCCAAATTTGAAGCTCTTGAGCACCAAGTCCAACTGCAAGAAGTGCAGCACATAAGTCAGTATAACCACGACCAATGTTAGCTATAAGACTTCCTGGAACAGTCCCAAAATAACCTATGAAATAAATAAAAAATAAATATTAATTATATTTCTAATTATATCTAATTATATATCTAATTATATACCTAATTATATATCTAATTATATATTTAATTATATATCTAATTATATATCTAATTATATGGTTAGTTAAATATTTAATTATAATTATATTATGTTGCAAAAAATATTTACCAGTAACCACAGGTACACGATTTCCACACTTTTTAACTTCTTCAGATATTACTTGCGTTAAATAATCATAAAAACTTTGATCGAGGTCACAACGATCAAATTTGCCTTTTTCAATAATATTTTCCAAATTTACATATTCTGAATCAATGCCCTGATGATACATTAAAAAATGAATTTATTATTAAAATAATTTCATAAATATAAAAAAAAGGTTTATTAAATGTTTATGAATAAAAGAGAAAAAAGTCACATTATCATTTAAAACTGCAGTAATAACACGACAAGATAATTTTTCGCCATATCCAATTATGATATCCTTAGAACGAGGTGAAATCTCTCCAAGAACCTAAAAACAAATTTTAATATATAATAAAATTTAGAATAAAATTATAAAAATTCATTATTGATAATATGATTAAAAATGCATACATACTTGAGTTGCACTCAAAACGTTTTTAAGTTCTGAAATTTCGTTCAAAATCTTTTGTTCTAAATCATCTAGGATTTTAGCATTACAGACGAGAGAACGTGAACCCTTGATGTGATCATTTGCAATTTCATCAATTGTTTTAAGATATTCCTTTGAGTCCGGATCTAAAGATTCATCAGCTGCTTTGAGAAGCCTATTAAAAATAATTTCACATGATTTTAATATAACTAATTTTTATATACTCGACATATTGATAATAAAAAAAAAAATTAACTCACATATTAGTAGTCCCTTTTGATTTTGTATCACAGCTTCGAGCAGAACATACCAAAACCACTCGATTATTTTCTAGATGTGTCCTAATAAAGAAAAATAATAACAATAGATATATAATATATATATATATTAATATGGTGAAATCAAAAAGAAAAAAGAAAAAAAAAAGATGAAGGTGAATGCAAAAGCTTCCCAACATTAAATACAGATTTCATTTTGAAATATCGAAAAAATATCATTGACTACAATATCGAGCTATTTCAAATATTTTACACTAATTAATGATAAATCTTTTAAAATAAAATAAAAAAAGGTCCTCACTTTACTATATTATTTGCGATATTCTTTAAAAATTTTCCTACACTAGTGCCGCCAAATTTTTGAACAACCCAAGGTTTTTCATCTTGATTTGAAATAAGAGAATGCATTTTTTTTTAAAAAAAAAGTAAAAGATTAAATTGAAAATTTTTCGATGGATATATATAGATATCCAATCATTAATTTTACCCAATCATAAATCATAATCATAATTGCAATCGATCAAAAAATCTATAAACTATAAACCAATTTGCCTATTTTGAAATGTCAAAAAGGGTCATTTCGCAAATGACATGTGATATTTTCAAATCGTATTATTTTAAATTTTGAATGATATAACTCAAGTCATCAAAGTCATTAGAGGTCATTATCATTACTGATATAAACCACGTGTTTTAAGCGGTTTGTATCACAATAAGCCATCCAATAAATCGATCGAACATAAAAATGAATTAGAATTTTCCTATTGCATATATTTAAAATATTTGATAGATATTGACTCAGAAATCTAGATCAAAAGTTATTAACTGATAATTTTAGGTATTTTCTTAAGTAAAATGGATTTAAAACATATAATTCCGGCTGGAATTATGCTTAAATTTTATAGTGTAGGTCACTAATATAAATAATTTAGATTGCCATGTGTTATTTGATCGACTGTCTTTTTTAAGGGGAATCTTAACCTAGACCCGGGTCTAGGATAATATCCTAAACCGGGGGCCTAGGTTAAGGATCCTCTTTTTTTAATGTGCTTTAAATTTTAGCCAATCATTAAATCGGTATGATGTTTTCATGTGATTAAAAAATTTATTACGCATCATAACTATTATTTTCTTTTATTTATTAGCATATATGATTATGATAACTGTTTCTTTGTTAATCAAAGATTAAATTAAATTTGTATACAAAATAAATAACGTACACTATAATAAAAATAATTAAGTTTATTTATGCACAATAATAATAATATTTGGCATATAAAAGCATATACAATAAATAAAATTTATAATTTAATCATTATTCCAGGAGGATTTAAAAATTAAAATTAACTAAAAAGGGAAAATTCATAATTCATAGAATTCATAATTAAAGGTTTCTAGGTGCATAAGGGGCGGTATTAAAGAAATTCATTTGTGTATGTTGTTGACCATACGAATTAAGCATGGGATTATCCACCATGGCTTGCTGTTCGCGTAATGCGAGCTGAGCTCGTTTTCGAGTCATTTTCGCAAAATCTAAAGTTTTAATAAATAATTTTAATAATTTTAATAATTTTAATAATTTTAATAATAAAAATTTGAATCATTTTAATAAATTTCATAATTCAACTTACGTAAACCACATGCATTACATAAAGTTCTGGCCCCATCGGGACCGCGTCTCCATTCAGGTGTTTCCTGAATATTACACGAATGGCATCTGCCTGGAAGGGCAGACCGTTTCTATAAGAATTTATAAAAAAAAAATTTTTTTTGTTAAAAAAATTATTTATATTCAACTTTGTGAATTAATATACTTACTGTTCGTTTTCGATATTTTGGTCGTACAGGAGAAGACCCATAATTTGTACGCTTATTGCGGATTAGTTCTATCTCATTTTTCTAAAATATTTTATTTAAATATTATATATATTTATTTATATATTTTATTAGTCTCTCTAAAATCAAAGGTAATATAAAGTGTATATGTGCATTCATAAATTCTCACTTGTATATATCTATTTTTCTCATCCCTTAAATCATTTAGCACATATAGAACCTCGAAGGCTTTATTAATCATTTCTGTAACATTTGCCTCGAGGGTAGGTGCTGATGTAATGATAGAAGGGGATGATACCCAAGGTGAATCCTTATTCTCGGGACTATTGCAAAAATCGCTGTATCTCTCGGCGAATTGGCCGATTTTCGTACAATGATTCATTATCTAATTGATGAATAATAATTTGGTAATTTTTTAAATTATTTATTATTTATTTATTTTTTTTTATTTTTTATTTTATTTTTTATTTTTACATTATTAATTTTATTAACCAACCTTTTTAAGGTCCGTTACCCTCTTATTTTCATTTTCATTTAGACATTCTCCCATCCCATATTGAAGTTGATGTTGAGGTGATAACGGTGATAGTTGAGGTGTTGTAAGAAGTCGCGAAGATTGCGTTGTTGTCTGTTGCTGAGGATAATTTTGCTCAACCTGATGATGTATCGTTGCGGGCGAATACTTGGACGCTAGTGAAGGGGGAATCACTAAAGAACACAACGGAGGTTCAATATACGGCTTAGGTTTAGCTTTAGCGATCCCAAGCTGTGAGGTATTATCAGGTTTAGAGGGTTGGGGATTCAATAGGGTAGATATTGGTGGCAGGGAGCACATTTCTTTTACATTCATGTGTATAAGAAGATTCTAATAAATTCTATAAAATATTAAATTTTTATTGGCTTCAGGAATTTTTTTTATATAACATTTATTTAAATTTAATTTATGCTGAAGCACTACGATAAAATTTTAAAAATTGTAAAAAAGAAAGAGATTTCTATCAAAAGAAAGAAAGTGGACAATTAATAATTTAAAGATTCATTTTTTTTTTCATACACAACTAACCATAAACGATAATTGAGGATTTAAGTACTTCTGTTCAAAAATGTAGGTTTCACTGAGATATTATTGTAAAGTAAACAAATAATAAAATCAAATTCACATATAAAAATTGTATGTTGTTGAGATCTCGCTTCCTTAAAAGAAATCATTGTTTTACCAGATACAAATACAAGTTTAAACATGTCATGTTCTCGTGTGATAAGCTTTGATGGCTAAATTCTAATGAGACAGATTTTTCCTTTTTTGAAAGCATTTGCCATTCTAAATAAAGTCTTGAAGGACAAAGTAGTTTGATTTGTAGAATACAAAGATTTCCAAGAATTCCTGCATCACATCAAACTTATAGTAATATCGTTAACATTATTATTTATATTTATGCGTTTATTACACGTTTCGTTATGCGATACATCAACCTTAAAATAATCGATACTATTAAGATAATATAAAAACACCATTTTTGAGCAAGAAAATTTCTCGACAATTTGTCTAAGGAAAATAGATCCCTCTTTAAATAATATCTTTAAAATTTTATTACGCAAACATATTATTAATTTCTCGCTTCAAAATATCATCGCTTTTTCAATAATTCATTGTAAAATCAAAAATGTCAGCATCTTCTAATTGATCAACATAACAAAACAGATTCACGTTCGGAAAAATATTGTCATTATTCCGATTACTACCTGCATTTAACAAATGAATTCCCTTCTATATATAAAAACCTGTATTCCCTTTGTTTCATTTTTATTTTCAAGCCATTCGTTTATCTCTTTTCATTGATAATTGAATTTAATAAGCGAAAAACAACCTTTATGTAAACAAACAAAGAAATAATGTAACAATTCGAATCTTTCCTGCAGATTTATCAATGAGAAAAAATGTTATCTAAAATATTGTTCTTTTTCTCTTCAATGATAATGATATGAGGAATGAAACGACCACAATAATCAATTGTACACAAGAAATGCCACATTTACCAAAAATAAATTGGTACAAGAGATTATTAATTTAACGAATTTTGGTTGGTTCAAAAAAAAAAAATCAATAATTTATCTTGATGTTGTGTGAATCTTTGATGCTGCTTGTTAATTATAAGCGCAAGATGTTGTACCGCATGAATCAATAATGATCTTTAGATATTAATGTTTAAATTTTTTTATAGCATTTAATGACCCTTAAAAGGTGTACTTCTCCGCTAACTTGGGGGAAGACTTCCTTAACAAAAAAAATCATAAATTTTCTTTTTGATTACGAAAATCAACCATTTTATGTCTCTAAATTCATCACATAGTAACTATTTGTACTATTTTTTATTTATTTAAAAGAACCAATTTTCGAAACAAATTAACAAACAAATCGATAAATTGTCGTACTACCATGTGCACAGACTATATTCTTGTATAAAAAAGGAAATTATTACCAACAAATTGGTTGATAAGGAGAGGAAAACCAATTTGTAATTTCTATATTGTAATGCAGAACAAAATCTTATTTCCCATTATTCATCATGCAGTGATAAGTGTTCAATTTGATTGTGCCAATAGAAATTTTTGGATTTTTAATGCCATTGTTCTAATTTTGTTCTTTTTCGTGCCACATTAAACTCTTTAGTTCGGAGTAAATTGATAAAAATTTCCGCGCCTTATGCATACTTGTGTTATGTGATAATCAAATCCTACTGTGAACCAATCAAAGAGATGACAGTATTTTGTATGCTATATTAAGAAAAAGAAAATAAACAAAATATAATGAGAAATTAGTTTAAATCAATAAAGTTTTTGTCCCGAATAAGTTATTAATGGAAAGCAAAGATTTCTTAAAATAGTTTAGTTTATTTTTAGAATTTTAGAATATTCATAAAATGGAACATATTTGTTTTGGGATTATTATGAATCCGATAATATTCACGCATCTTTCATTCACACAAACCAGATTCTTCCTAAATCTACATTTTTTTTTATCTTGCATTTTAGAAAATTCCACATTTGTGATCTGGAAACACAAAACTCGTATAATGGAGGAATGAAGTGCTTTTTCACAACTATATAAGGAATTAATATTAGATGTTCTTATAGGCTTTTCTGAGGAACTTAAATAAAAAGTTTCTCATCATGTAAAAGTATAGAAGTTTGAAAGAAACACCTTGTATAATAAAGAGAACTTTATGTGTATAAAGCAATTTATATTCAGGTGATATTTTTAGTCAATGGATTCATTTTGTCGTATATCAGCGTTAGATCATGCTACCAATTTTAATTTCTAAATGTATATTTGCAAAATTAATGCGTATAACAATTCATTTACAAATATTTATAAAATAAACTTATAAATCTTATATGCTCAATAAAATTTGTCCTTGTCTGTTTGTATGCATGAAAATACCAGCGCCATTGCCTCTGCATTCAAATGTTACGCGGCCGAGTTTTTTGTTTCACCTTTTTTATTGTAGTTTTTATTTTTAGATAAGCGAATAACAAATGGAGAACGAACAACACTTGATAGTAAACACACAGACACTAAGGAATTTATATATATATATATATATATGTTTAAAAGTTTTGGACCATCTGGCACTTATTGTTACACGATACTTTGGCAATTATCGCGCGCGCAACAAAGATACATTGTAGCAAACTAGATCTAATATTAAAAAAAAAAAAAAATTGAGTAGTCGCACTGATATTCTTGAGCATCGTTATCAGTGTTACTCTTCTCACTTTCATGTTACGTATGATGGATATGTGGTGAAAAAGCTAGAAAACGGATATACAATAAAAAATAATAATAATAATAATAAACTCGATTTTCGCAAAGTGAGAAGGAAAAACCAACGAAAATGAACTTACTATAATTCTAGGAAGTAAGCTCGACTCGATTTATCAATGATTTACATTTTTATGATCAAGTGATTACGTAGATCACGCGGTAGAATCGGGACTTTAATTTTTCCTTCACCATAAGAGGAGTTGAAATTATTAAATACATTTGTTTTTTGATTTTTTTTTTATCATATTTCTCTTTGTTCTCTTTTCCATCAAATTGTTCGACTTGTACAAATATATAAAATTGGTTTTAGTTACTAAATTTTATAACCTAGAAAATGCATTACATGAATAAGATAAGAGCAAGGAAATTTTGTGGACTGGTAGAATTAAAACAAGGTTGAAGAATATTTATGACTATTATCAATCAATCATAATATTTGTATAATCTTAATTAAATTTTTCGTTTTTCATTTATTCCCAGGTGTCATTTTTATAACTGTAGTATCTCTGGTAAATTTAATTCATTAATTATTCAGTTAATGTTTGTCATTTATAAATATTTATAAATAGCATTTTTTATTATTTTTTTTTTTTAAGCTCAATAAATTATCAGGATTTTTTGGCATATCAGCAATATTTTATGGTGGAGGAATAGTTCCAATTTTATCATTCATATATTCAATAGTGACATCAATAGTATTTACATATTTTCTTTATGAGGGTGTTCTAAAGGTAAAAAATTTCAGATTTTGTATTTAATTAATTATTTTATTTAATTTATTTTTTAATTTAATTAATTCATTTTGATTTAAATTAATTATTTTAATTAATTTGATTTTTTCATGGATAATTAGGAAGATCCAAAAAAACTTAAAATTTATTCTTTAATTTATTGGGGAGATTTAGTAATTAATATTCTTTTTTCATTCACTTTTGAGTTGTTATGGTATCTTGTAATGGATCATGCTCCATTACATCCGAGTGATAATAACGGAAATTCAAATAATAAACATAATAATACTGTTTCGATGGAAGGAAATTCTACAACTTTACCTGCATGGAAAATTGAATCAACGATAGCAAATTTAATTTTAGCAGCAGTGACAATTGTGCACGTAAGTGATCAAAAAATTTTAATTGTCAAAAATTTCTCAAATTTGAATTTTGATTAAACTAAATTTTATTAATTTTATTCAACAATATGAATATAAAAGATTTATTTTGCTTTCGTAGTTCATACTTATGCGCATTATGTTGGTAAAAGTCGTCACAAACATAATTCATCATCTTTACATTCATCATCATCTTTACGTTCATCATCACCTTTACATTCATCACCTCGAATTTCTACCTCAAATCTCGCTTTGTTGAAATCAGAAAATGGTAGTTCGTCAAGGCATACAACTGTAGAAGATGATTTAGAGTCACAGGAGGAAATTAAATATTTATAGATGATTCATTTTTAATCTCTAAGAGATATAGAGTTCTTAACAATATAATTTTTTATTTAATAAAAAACTTGCATTCTTTTTATTTTTTATCATAAGTTAATTACCATTTTACAAGAATATCATATGATAGAAGGATTAAAGCAAACAGAATACAAAAGTAAAATTATTACTACATATAAATATGAGTATTCTGCGACTGCACGTTTATCGCGTGTTGAGTTTATTTTGTGCTCGTAATTGATTGCATCATCATATTTATATTAATTTATCACTTGATTTATGCTTTTGCTAAAAAACATTCTTATCTACCATGAGAATTTCGATCATAGAAATGGAGTCGGTCCAATGAAAGTATGAATTTATTTTAAGTTATTTCTTTTTAAAAAGCGGACGTAATACTTTATTGGCGCAGTATGAAATTAAATATTATCCCTTAAACGGTAGTGACGTCACAAGTTACGTGCCCGCAATTCACATGATTTACCGTTTTTTTAAAATCAGATTATTTTACATTCTGTTTTTATATTTTCTTTCTTTAAAAAAATAAAAATGACTACCCAACATAAAGAACTTTCTGAATTTCAACATGGAGAAATAATAGGTGCTTGGAAATGTGAAAGAATGATAAATGAGATACTAAATTATCCAAAAAGCACAATATTATTTTTACTTTTAAAATGATGGATTAGAGAAATGCAAAGTGGTCAACCATCTATTATGACTGAAAGAGATAATAATCATTTAATGCAGGTTCTTAATAAATTATAGAACAATATTAAAGAACTTTGTGAAAATTTTATTTCTTCAACAAATATAAAAACCTTTTGTTAATGTTACAAATAAAATAAAAAGGTTAAATTGGATTAAAAATTGGATAAATGAATGGAAAAACATTGATGAATCAGTTTGGAAAAACTCTTAAGAAAAATATGATCCAAAATGTCTTATTCCAACTTTTAAATTAGATCAAGAAAGTGTAATAGTTTAAAGTTGTTTTATAAAAAATAAACTTGGTTCATTAGTTAGATTAGAAGGAATAACAGTATTAATATATATAAAAATGTTAAAAAATATTTAATATCATTTACAAATAGTTTAGAAAATAGCATTAATCATATTTTTCAAGAAAATAATGCTCCTATTTATATTACAAAAATAAACAAAAAATAATAATATTACAAACCTTTCATGACCTGCACAAAGTTCAGATTTAAATCCTATAGAAAATTTATAAAATGAATTAGTGTTAACCTTGGAGTAATATAAATTATACTGTGCCACTGATCAACATTAAAGAAACTGATGATGCAAAACTCACTGAATATAAGATGTTTGTCTAATAGAGCAGAAAATCAGTTTATATGGATTTTATATTTTATTATTCTTATATCTCATAAATAATATATATATATATTATTATTAACATTATTTATCTAATATTACTTGTTCAAAAAAAAAAACTCTTTCCACTTAATTTCATTTTATTAAAAATACGCAATAAAATAAGTGAAAAAGTTTTAAATTTTTCTCTTGAAATTATTAAATATGAGCGAAAGCTCAAGTAGTGGTTGTCCTAGGAGGACCACAACAAACTATTCTACAACAATTAAACAGATACTTAGAAAGCAACATACAAGTAACCCTCTCTAACAAAAAGAAAATATTTTGGAAAAAACAAAATGAAGAAAAACTACTGTTAATAGAGAAACTACCGAAGAAACAGAACATATGCAAGAAATAGAAGATATTACTAATGAAATTAACAATGTTAAGGATATCCAAATTATAATTGAAGTTAACAATATCAATAGAACCAATAGTAAAGGAAAAGGAAAAGTAAATAAAGCCTAACTTGACACCTCAACTATCGAACTAGTCTTAAAAAATAACTCAACAGAAGGAAACCTTGATGAGAGCGACTAGACTCACGTTACCAAAAACAAAAATAAAAATAGAAAACCAACTAAAATCTTGAACCCAATTGTTAAAGATGATAGAGACTCTATTAAATTATATGAAACAGAAAATAGCTATCAAGAAAATTGGAGATGAAACTTCAATACACAAAAATATAAAGTATGAACTTTCACTAATAAAGTTCTAGATATGATGATAAACTGTATAGTACGAAATGCTATTTTGTACTGTACAATTTTATATAAATTTTTGTACAAAATTCATACAATAATAAGGTAAGACGGAAAGGTGTGAAGTTCGATTAATCACATGAGTGGTGTATACCCTAAAAATCGATATTAAGTACAGTATGACGATAAACTGTATGGTACGAAAAGCTATTTTGTACTGTACGATTTTACATAAATTTTGTACAAAAATCATACAACACCTATAAAATTCATACAATACAGTACAGCCCTTATATAATAATCTAAATTGTACTATATGAACTTTTTTATATTAAAAAACCATACAGTACAGGTATTTTTTATATTAAAAAAAAAAAACCGTACAGTACAAGTTTTTTACTAAATATAAATAATTAAATATTAAAAAAAATATAACGTACATATTTATTTAAATTGAATTTATTAATTATTATATGTT